TCCTGCTTTACTTCAGAGTTTACAAGGTTCCCACCTTCAGAACACTGAAGAGAGGAACCGTAGACCCAACAAAACCCTTCATCCTGTTGGTTTTTCACTTCATTCTAACTGTGGGGCTTTGTGTGCCACATTCACCCGTAGAACTCCTCAGAAAAGTTAAAAAGAAAAGTTCTACGGTGACCAAAGAATATTCCTTTTCTTAAGTAGGACAAGAAAAGAAAGGCTTTTAAAATAATTTATGTCCCGATTGCTGAATGTTTTCTGGTGAGCTCGACCCCTTTTGGCTCAATCTCTGGTTGATGAAAGGATCAGCTTTTCTCATTGATGAGGCTCTTGCGCTTTGTGCTCATTACCTTGTTTTCTCCGGGACTCACTAAGTAAGTCCTAAGAATTCCAACATTGTTGAGAAAATTGTTGTGTATATAAATAAATCTGCCGTGACTGTGGCTGAGGCCACGTAAAACAGCAGACATAAATAGAGCAAGATAATTGTTGGAATGCATTAAGATGCATTCCAAGTATTGTTCTTCGAATCTTTATTAGTTGGAATGCTTTAAGCATTCCAAGTATTGTTCTTCGAATCTTTATTAAACTTATTCTATTTCTTCCGTGGCACCTTTCAACTCCTTCACACTTTCAGCTATTAAAACTGTTCAAATATTAAAATGTTCAGCTCCTTTCTGGCTTGAGGGCTATGTATGTTCAGCTTTCTACCTCTTAAGCTTGAATTTATATAAATCAATAATCATTAATATTTTAACATGGTTTTCAAATGGAGTTTGTTTTTCAAATCCTCTTCAACTTCTTCAACTTTCAGATTTTTCAGCTTCGCAAATCTTTCAGCTACAGACACCATTTCAACTGTCAAATGTTCACACAAGTCTCAACTATTTTATGAAAAAAAACTGCTTCTTGATATCTATTGTACTTTTTTCATAATCACTGATTATGTTTCAGTAGTTCTTCGCTCCGTTTCTGACTTTTACATGAGTGTGTATTGCGTCTGCTAGAGTGGGGACCTCGAGTGGCCCGCGTTCGGTTGAGGTGGGCTGCATCTGGCCCGTACCTGACTTGAGTTTGAGACCCCTGGTCTAATAGAAGCAATATGCCAGAAGACGGGACTTTAAATTCTTGTGGTTTTTCCGAGATGTATTTTTGGTTTGATGACTGAAACATCTTCATTTTCAGCCAAAATTCAGTATACGAAAGTAGTAAGTTATGTAAGTATGCAAAACAACTTTTACCACAGCTAAGATTCTGTGGTGCTGGGTGGATGTTGGGGTTAATTAGCTTAATAAATACATTATTTCAAAATTGTACAGATAACCCTACTTTTCACCAAAATAACGCATGATGAAAACAGACCTCTGTGTGTGCGTGTTTGTGTGTTGTGTGTCTTTACTTGGTGTTCGCAGCTGTAGGTGGGAACAGGTGAGAGCCGGCTCTTAAGATGCTGTGCTTGCTAAAGGTGATGTGTAAATTGTCTGATATGGACCTATTCAGCTTGCCGTTAATTCAACAGCAATACATCAGAGTACACTGTCCAATGTGCGCTGAGGCCGCTCCAATATGACTTACAGATAAAATGCCTTATTGCACATCTGCAGACGAGGCGACGAAGGTGGTACTGCTTTCAGTTGAGCACCACTGGTGATGCATTTCCCATTAAACCAAAGTAAGTGTAGTAAGAGTCTTAAAATTGGACAAAAACCTCAACAATATTTATTTCTGAAAGTGGTTTCCAGTTACAGGATCATTACGGATGTTGGCCCGTTATCAAAAGTTTGAAATATTTAAAAATTGTTCCTCTGTTCTGATAAAAGAAAACTAAATAAGGCTGAATTTGAACTTCCTTCCTTCCTTTTACACAGTGAAATTGTTGGACCAAACGCTCTGCCAACAAAAAGGTGTTGATATTACGATACAATTCTATTGGTTCTTTTCCGGAGCTACGTTACACAAACACTTTGTGAACGCACACAAAACGGCCCTGATGACAACAGCACCATGTCCTGGGAGCTTTGAACAGCCCCCCCCCCCCCCCCCCCCCTCTCTCTCCATCACGGGTTTGCTATATTGACCCAGGGAATGGGGATAAAGGATGTTATTCTCCTCAAAAGGGAGAACAAACAGGGAAGGGAAACTCTTTGCTTCCTACAAAGTATGCTGCCAAGTGCAACGCCCCGAGCCATTAGGATCCATCCCACCGGGCCAGGGGACGCCAAACGCTTCTCCACGCAAAGAAGATAGCAAATAAATATAGCTTTTCTTCTGCTGAAGCGTGGGATACTGCAGGGAAGATATCATTTTCAGATGATCTCCAAACTTCAACTTCATCTCCATACTTGCTGTGGTCTAATTCTAGAGAAAGATCTGTCAGAGAAAGAAGAACTGTCAGAATATACACCTCGCATACAACGTTGTCATTATTAAGTAACTCACTGGGCTTTTTTATGGTACAAGATTAACACTCCGTAGCCTTTGTACCGTTTCCTCTTAACTGGGGACCTGGATTATGTTCCACTAATCCTAACAACCGCAAATTCACCAAAACAATTGGGACTGGGAAGTCTGTTGCACGGGAACACGTGAAGAGAGCGTCTGAACCGCTGGAGGCTTTATTTCAGAACAGAGATAAGGCACCGTATGCCTGTGACAGACTTTCTCAGCACGAGGACCCGGTCTGGGGTCGGGGGTATTAGGTTATGATTTGATCATTCGGTGACTCATTGGAGAATATTTAATACTTCTGTACCTAATACATAAATGTATCTTGCAACAGAATATGTTTGTATTACTTTTCATTTCAATAAATGCAGTGACAGACGTCCTTTTTCTGCTCCTTCCTGCACGGCAGTGAGCAGTCCTTGCTGTGGATATGAGCTGGAAAAACGGGTCTGAATTTTGGGGACGTCCCTTTGAAACGCGCTCTACTCTGCTGATATTCTGCCAGATTACTGAGCCTCGACTTTCAGTGCCGTTCAAACACAACGAGGGCATTCATCGCCTGTGACCGGATCCCTTCTTATCGGGCACACGGAAACGAGGCACGGCCCCCTCAGCCGCGGCGCGAATGGATGACCTTTAGACGAGCGAGGTCTTGGGCGGCTGCTCTTTGGCCCGCCTTGATTAGCTGATGTCACAGGAAGTGAATAGTGATGATGACGGTCACTACTGCACCACGTTTTGTCTTTCCTGTGACGTCATCGGGGGGGGCGGGGGGGGGGGCTGGGGAGGCGCGGGAGACGAAGATCTGGCACGATCTCTCTCGTTTGTGCAGCGTGTGCACATACATGTGCATGTAAGCCTTTGCAGATCCGGCAGGCCTGAGTGGTTTTCAGCCAATATCATAAAACGTTTGAGTCAATAAATACTTTCAGTGACAGAAAAACAAAGTCATTACAACAGCAGAAGACCACGCTGAAAGTATGCCTCATTGTTTTCAGGTGCTATACGTGATATTTGGAGCATCTCTTTTAGGCCCTGTGAGATTTAAATCTCTAGTGAACCAGATAGGCGTAAGTGGTAAAAAAAAAAACTAAGTAGGTAACACAATGAATGTCTGGGTAGATTTGTATTGGTTGTGAAGGGCAGCAGCACAAGACCTGCAGAAGTCCAGAAGAGGAGAACAGGAAGTGAACTTGATGAGAGCAGATGGTCAGGCTGAACTTAAACAGGAGATCGGCACAATACAAGGGCGAAGTGGGGAAAGGTTCACGTGGTGAAGAACAAAGAGGCGTAAGGAAAGGTAAAGATGTGGGCAGAGTGGTGATGTCAAGAGAGCAGAGGAGGGAAGTCTGCCTCACAAAGGGGGCCTGAGGAAGAGGAAGTGGTGGAGGATGAGAGGGTGGGGGGGGTGGGGGACACATTGATCAGTCTTTTTGAAACAAACACGTAAATGCACAGTGACGCAGAGGAAACTGGTGGCATGTGACTCTCACCCACATACCTCATACCCTCTCTTCTAAAAATAAACATCAATCTCCACGTTTACCAAGTTACCATCCAACTTGTTTCTCACGCAGCGGATTTAAAGAAGTACTCTGATGACCAATCAAAAGGGGTTGATAAACCGCACAGGTTAAACTTTCCTTTGGGCTTCTCACTCTGAACCTGTGCGGTGAGCAGCCGGGTCCCACTCTGGGAATGTGTTTGCCTGCGTGTCTCCATGTGTGATAGAAACACAGCTCGGTGCCCGGACAACGCCGAGCCACTTGATCACTGCTGGCAGCAGACGAGAGCAGACAGAAAGCAGAGGCAGAGCTCCCTGACTACAACCGGACCTCTGTGGACCGTCGCTGGCTAAAAATACACGCGTGCACCGAGCTGGCCATACCCAGCTTCATATGTCATGGACATCAGCAAAGTATGACATTGTACGTGAACGTGTGTTATGTTTGTTCACATTGGAACGTTTTACATTGTAATTGATCAGTTCCTAAAGTCCTGACAAGTTTATTCAGAACATCCCGAGTTTGCATCCCTCTATTGTTATTAATGACACAACCTGCAAACAACCACACGCATTCACAGCAAGGCGTTAGGAAACTGGCACATCCACTTCATAATATCATTTCTAATAAAAATCGGTTGACTTTGCTGATTTCTTTTAGTAATACAAATATCTTTCCTCTGCACTTTCAGAGAGAAGTCTTTTGAGCACATCCACCCGGGATACAACCAGCTGCAGGCTTCTACTGAGAGCGCAACAAGCACGAGGGGACTGCACAGTATCACATCTATTCTGTGTAAACACCTCTGGGACCGTGAGCCCGCTGCAGGGACCAACACTTGCAGAAGCCAGTTCCGCTCACAGCCCGAGGCTTCTCCTCCTCTGGCTCAGTCGCGAGTCATCAGCTGATTGTTCTCGTGCATGATTAAAAAAAGCATCGCACTCATCGCAGTTGTATAATTCCTACTTCCATGACAAACTTCTCCTCACTCAGCACCCGCCCTGGTTGCTTTACAAACATTTTGCAAACATTTCTCGGGGCACTCACCTCCCCAGGTGGATAAAAGGGCCAGGAGTCCGACGAGCAGAGAGACGGTGTTCCGTGCAGCCATGGTCCGTACTGGAGAGGGTGTGTGCGGTGTGTGTGCGTGTGCGTGTGTGTGCGTGGAGGCAGTCCGACATGGAGCGGACCTCCTAGAGATCTGCGTGAGAGGAGAAGCGGTGCAGCGCGGGGAGACAGATGATGCGGGCAGGAGGTCCTGCCGCTGCAAAAAATGTCGGTGTGTACGACTCCCACACAATCAGAGTAAAGGCTGAAAAGACCTTTTCTCTCCACACAGGATTTGGTTGACTGAGTTAAACAACTTGGTTTCTATTCATTTTTTTTTATGTGGATTTTTTTTTTAGATGAAAGGAAACAACGAGTTCATTGTCCGAGTTCTGAGGTCTGTGTGACTGAGGTTGATATTTTGTGCAGCGTGCAAAAAAAGGAGGAACTAAGAGCAGCAGGAGGGCGGAGGTCTGCAGCGAGATCTATTATGAGTTTATCAGTTATAGAGGGCAATGGGGCGTGGCTCCACCCTGAGCCACAAAAAAAAACGATAATTTTTTTATTATTATATTAAAAATACATTTTACAAATATTAAATATGTTTCTATTTGCGTTTTTGAAGCATTGAATATACCCAGTATTATTTGTAAATTAAGATATCTTTAACAAGTGCCCGTGTGTGTGCTTGGTGACCTCTGTCTACTGATGATGATGATATCAGGACTGCTGTTTACTTTGGTGTGTTGGGCAGGATCAACATGAGACATAATATGACCTTTTGTGGAACGGACCCTGGAGGATGTGCAGTAAATTTAACTCCACGCCGAACTAAACCTCCACCTGTTCCATGGTGAACTGATGAGGCTCTGAACATGTTTTGCCGCCAACTCCTTATCTTTCACAAAGATGAAATATTTAACACTTTACGGCTGAGCAGGGCACCTAAAATAACAAAACACAAACATGTTCTGCTAGTTATTGTGCGCATACTACATTCATCTGCACAGTCCAAATAGTGAATGAATATTGGGATGATGGATAGTTTTTTTTAAATTCAGTACATCGGTAATAAGCTCAACTTTAAATATGTTTTTAAATTATACTTTCATAAGACTTTACTAAACAGAAGTAGAGACCAATACACCTAAAAACAAAGACACTGCAAAAAGAAAAAGGAAAAGTGTCTCTGGTTAGTCTTTGATGATTTTCAACTATAAAATGAACTGTGCCGATCGAACATCTTTCAGGGCCGTACTGCTCAGCTTAATCCCGGTGTTTGGCACAGCCCATGATCGCCTGAGAGGAAGACCTGAGGGGCCAATGTGCGTTACACACGATCCAACACTTCCTCAAATTCTGCACGGACGGTGATAAAACCTCAAACAGTACGGTTACAACAATTGTTTAATCTCAGTATTATTTGATCCTGTGTGAACTGTCACAACCTGTGCAGCTGGAGAGGGATCAAAGAACAGGGCGGATGTGTCATGCACGCTGATCTCCGTAACCTTCACTGCTGGAAACCACTACCGTCGGCCATCTGATCCGACTGTTCCCGCCGAGTGGATGCAGGTCAGAGGCCCATGGGAAGGAGCAGGCGAAGGATACCAAACAGTGGAGACGAGGTCTGACCGCGCTGCACAAACTGCTGCACGGAGAACGCCTGAAGAGGAGGAAGGTTTTTGGGGAAGATGGAGCACTTGCGGTCGGGTTCATCTGAGACTTTTTTTCACTTGCGTGTGGTTTTAAAAGCCTGTAAAAGGAGAACACCCAATAACTCATTTACTTTATGTATTTCATTTAATGCTGGTTGGATCAGGACATTTAGTCAAGGCCGTTTCCATGTTTCAGAACATTATCTTTCTGTTTATGAAGGAATTGGGATTGTTAGGTTCTAAGACGTTTTAGATATAAATGCTGTTTGTTTATTTGGATTTGGTGGCACCCAAATAAAAAGGCCATGAGAGAACTTTGGGCAATATTCTTTGCGTGCATTTCCTTGCCAAACTTTTTTTTCACAGAAATAGAAAACGCACGTTCCCGTTGTTAAAACAATTTCAATCACAGACTGATCCACAGACTCGCAAAGGCCTTGGAGGAACTAAACTGCCACGTTAGAGGCACGAGGAGCTGGCTGTGGAGCGAGGATCATTGTTTGCCTTCAACCATGCATATACCTTAAAGACAATTATATATATATATATATATATATATATATATATATATATATATATATCTTCAGAGAGGCACACATTCCTGAATCTAGAACTATTCCTTTTATAAACGATTTTCTTGTAAGTATCTCTTCATTTCTCTATTTTTAAGGTTGCGGTTTCTAAAATGTGAAAGCAAGCAAACCGCAAATAAAAAAAGAGCGGCAGGAAGAAAGTGTGTCTGCTTTGACGGGGGCTTTTAGAACCTCTAGAGGATGTTGGTAGACGTACCAACACCCTGTTTTGATGGAAATATGAGGCTAATACTCAGAACACATTATTTCTTTCTCCTTCTACTGTGAAATGGGGTTAATTGGGTCTATTGATGTAGTACATCAACACCACATCCTATCGGTATTGCTGCCAAAAAGGGGGAACTATTGTGATTGCTCAACATGTACACAATTGAGAGATGTGAAGTTCCTGCTATTGGAAATGAAAATAAGTGTGTAAACTGTCATGTTGATGGTTTACTTCCTTTGTGGTGAAGCACAACCCTCATGGTATGCAGCGATAGCACAGTACTCATAACAATGTTGTTCACTGTGTGTCAGTAAACGATGACCAAATCTTCAAGGCTGCGTGACTTGCGAGCACAAGGTCTAAGGGAAGTAAAAATATAAAATGTTACTTTTTTTCAGATTAGAATCCCTAGTGGATCAGTATTCCCCCTTTCACCCTTTATTTAATATCATACATCCTGGACAGGGCATTTGGGAATACCAGGGGGCAATGGTTTTGGGAATGTGACTGAAAAGGGAAAATAGAAGCAGATAAAGCAACATCCCCTCCTCCACAGAGGTCCCAGGGACAGCATATGAGAGTATGAACACAATCCTTAACTTAACGTCAACGATTAAATTATTAGCATTTGCACATACAGTAAGATTAATTTATAAAGAAATCTCCTTTATCGGCATAGTCACACTCTGTTTTACTTTACTCATCCAAGAATAATTTAACATTTTGGAAAATAAGCTTCACAGAGGGACCGGGGGGGTTCCTACGGCAAGCCAGGGTGGGGCAGTGCAAAGGTAATGTCACCGTCAGATTCCAAAGCAAAATAGAAGGTTTATTCTCCTTAAATATACAGTCAAACGTAAATAAGACCTTCAGCCATTTCTCAGCTTCAAAAGACAACCAGAGAGCGTCCCCTTCACTTTGGGGTGGAGGGAGTCTCCTTCTCCAAGCATCGTTAGGGGCTCCAATGCACCGGTCCAGCCCGTCCAGCCCGTCCAGCCCGGTGCTCTCCTCCAGTCGTCTCTCCTTCCAGCCAGGTGCTGTGGCTTTTAAGCCCTGCTGTAATCAAGTGGCTTGAACACCTACAGCTCGGGGTGCTGTGAGGCATTCTGGGGGCTGTAGTGTGTGTGGTGGCGGCGGCCATTTTGGGGTGGGGCCACCGATCCTGTGTGGGAACGCTGCAGCCTTCCACCACGTGTCCCCTTGTGATGCCACAATATATTAATGTTATGTGGTTTGTCTAATTGAATTCACTGTTTCATTGGGAGTTGTTTCTAATTACCAATATTGTAACAGTAGTGAGCAGGTCCAAACAACATCAACCAGCTCAAAAGTGGTGTGTTTTCACAAATGTATATTTTGCGTGTATTTGTGTTTATGTATAAATGGGACATATTGTGGGATTGTTATCAGAAGTAGAGAATCATAGACAATGAGCAAACAGTTGTAGTTTCCGACTTAAGGGTCATTACCCTGCACGCCCTGAGAGTGCCATTCCTCTGTGAGTGATGACTTCTGTTTATCTCACCGGGGCTCACAGCGCTCTGCTCATGGGCCGAGGAAATTCTTTAGGAAGGAAAGAGAGGAAAGATGTCACTCTTTCCGAGCCACTGAGAGCAGACCCGAGAGCAGGCTGTTTTGGGGGGGGGTAGTGTGCCCCGGCATGAGAGGCGGCCATTGTTTTGAGTCGCTCCAGAGGACTGGGGGCTTTGGAGCGTGCACTGATGTGGTGAGGGGGCTTGGGGGAAGAGTGGGTGAGAAATTAGAATTTCTGATGAACTCCGTCACAACGGCAGGGATTGTGACAAAGAGACACTTTGATATCTACATGGGCCATGAATTGAAATTGCTTCTCCATGGTGATTATATGTAATAGAGGGCATTCATCATCATAAATCCACCCACTGACATGTTTCTACAGTGTTTCAGCCTGGGAAAAGCTTGTTGTTAAGAAGAAGAGAAAAGGAGTGGAAAGGAAAGGTTAATAACTTCAGTTTATTAATGCAACTGGTTTTGTTTGTTTGGAGCGATATATAATTTAAGAGAAAAGAGGATTTAATAATGAGAAATTAGTCACTCATTCTACAAAAGAAAATGAATCACCATCATAGAATTGACTTACTATGAATCTTATTTCTTTTGAACAATTTATATACATTGTCCTTGTTGACTAATAATTTGTTTGATTTGATATTTTATCTGTATCTGTCTGTCTGTAAAACCAAAAACTGGGTAGTTGCAGCTTCACACAATGGAACCATTTCCTCATAACTAAAGTTTCATATTAAAGCTGAAATTATAAATTATTGAATTGAGTCAATGAAGGAGACTGCAACTTGTTTTGGTGACTAATAAATTGTTTCAGTTTTTCAAAATTCCAAATGTTCAAGCAATCCAGTGGTGAATGTATTGAAAATGAAAATGTATCGATTTTTAAGATAAATATGTATTGAGGGAGAAAATAACCGGCAGGTTCATTTGTAATGAAAGTTATTGCTTGTTGCAGATGGAAATCATTATAATTTAAGTTTTGGTAAAGTTTCAAGCTGTTTCAAATTCTAAACGCCGCTGTTGATGACTAAGTTTGAATAGAATACATTCCAGAAATAAAGAGCCATGAGGCAGGAAGCTGCTACTTCAGCCTAAACTCTTGAACATCCTCCAGATGCACCGACAAGGTCTTGAGAAGACAACTCAAATAACGGGAATGTCCCACTGAGAGACCCCCACAGTCTTAGTCATCCTATTAATATCGTTCTGAGTCACATCAGTAAACCCTTTTTTTTTTAATGAAATCAGTTTTTTGTCCCACTCCTCATTTACCCACTTTTTCTCTTCCATCCCTCCCTTGTTTGTCTGCTCGGCGTTTGATGGAGGCAGCGGGTTTGAGGGTTTCGGTGGAATGCAGGGTCCTGCACTGGGTCTCCAAGCAGCCTGGAGGGTGACTTTGACTCCTTGGAGTTTGTATTTTCCCAGAGAGGCATGTTGTCTGCCGCCTACCAAAAGTCGATCTCAAAACACTCACACAGATGTACTCTGAGAGTAAATTTATGCGAGGCGAGTGTACTGGCTGCCAGCCAAAGTCATCATTGAATCACATCAGAGGGAATCAAACTCTACATCCCAAAATTAACTCACAAAGTCTGGGAACACGACACAAAACTTTAAGTCACGGCCACCATGACAAATAATCAAGATCATTGGGACACTGGTGTGTGCAAAATGACCGGGTCACTATGTACAGTGGATAATGTGTAGTATTACACTTTAGATTTATTTCATTATAGTCAACTTCGTTTTTTTCTTAGTTTCAGCATAATCTACCCTTTTGCGGCTTGAAACTGTACGATTACTCAAAATGTTTAAGGCATTAAACTTCCAACATTAGGGATATTCAACATGACAAAAGGCTATTTTGCACTAATAAATGGAGAGTTGCTGCTGAGGAATAAAGGAGCAGACAAAAAAGGTGGAAGGGCAGGTCTGATGCTCAAGTTTCTTTAAAGGGTGGAAGTGACCCAGCGGGTGAGAAGCCTTTTCGCTGTAAATCAGTCATCCGTTGACCCTCAGCTCCTTGCAGGAAGCACGTCAAAGGGTTGGGTTGTCTTGCGGTTTCATCCGGTGCAAGCTTCACATTGTTTCGCATGAGTGCATGTTCTTTCAGCCCTTTATTTTATAGACGATTTGTTTTTGTATTCAACACTAAACATCTCTACGGAGACAGCTTCCAGGTCTTATTATAAGATGGATTTTAGGGTTTGTAGTCATTGACGAATGGTCAGTTGCTGTCTCTGCTTGAGTGGTGCTCTCAGGTTGCCTGCTTGCCTTCAGCTGATTGAGTGGATGTCAACGTGCACCGTAAAGCAGTAAGGCCGAGATCCTCCTTGTGGCAGTGGCAAGTGGGTGGCATCAAACTTGAGAGCCCCACCCCCTACACGGAACCCGCCGGTCCAAACCTAAAATTAGCCTCTGTAATAAGAAGACGGGGGCTCACGTGTCTCAAATAAAATTAAATAAAATTAAATAAAATTAAATATTTACAGCAGCTGACCTGTCGTACAAATAACAGTTGTTTCTGGGAAAAATTGGCTCCTCCCACCCAGCGTGCCGTCGTGACGCCGACTGATTTACTGGCGATTGCCGCTGCCTGTCACAAAGTTGCCACCCACTTGCCACTGCCACAAGGAGGATCTCGCTGTCACTCCCGTAAAGACTGCTGATAAATCAGGAAGATACACACTTTGAGGCAGCTGTGGATGTTGTGTGCAAGTAAAAAGTAAAGAAGAACCAATAAGCCTTGGATCTACCAAATATAGCCTGCATGATTGTTGTGAGGGCCGTCTTTCATAAAAATAGAATCTATGACAGTGGATACCACAGAAACTCTTGAGTTAAAGTAAATGAAAAAAATGTGGATATGTGTGCAGATGACTTTGTAAGGTCTCGCCATTTACAGGGGAAGGGTTTGGTTGACCAGAAAACAAACAAAGGAAACTGGCGACTGGGCTGCTGAAGCACCACGCAGAAGGTTATAGCTACCATAAAAGGAGCAGGGAGAGAAGCTCTCTGCCGGAGACAAATAAATGCATAAAACTGTTTACGGCTTCATGCAATGTTTCCGTGTATCCCTGTTGGGTCGTTGAATGCTTAAACAAATGCTTGTTTGTCAAGTATCCAAAGGTTCAGAACAGGATTTCCCATGATAGTATCAGACGGTTTCCCTCTGCTATATTGTTGAACAGCTCAGATGGGCAGGATGAGACACAGGGCAAGGAAGGAAATACTGTATATTACTTAGGAAAAGGAATCTTTTGTGTTTCATTGTCAGTGAAGTAGCTGAGGTAATGGGAGAGTACGTCACATTGTGTTAGTTAACGAGTTGGGAAAGCTGGAAAACTCTGGTGACAGCATAAGAGCACAATGGTGAAGATGTATTCTTTCTAAGAACAAAAAATGCATTGCATTTACATTCCTCCTTATTTTATAGATAATTCTGGGGAGAAGTACTACATTTAACAAGACCCCAAAACAACCAATAGTATTTTGTTTTGAATGAACTGAACATAATGAAGACTAATCTATAGGAAGTAAGAGTATTTCTTTGTTTTTTGCTGTCGTTTTTCCCTTTGGTTTTTAGTTATAGAGTCCATTTCAGTACGGTTTATTATTATCTCTCTTATTACTGTTTGTGTTAATGATTCTATTAATCAGTCATTTAAAAACAACGGTTATTCATTTCATTTAGCTTATATTTTTATACTTTTGTTGCAGTTGTATGAATTCAAGAACATGTTTTAGTATATATCATCATTGCATTATATTCTATATTCATATTTGATTTTATATCAATCGTCTCTGTATCTTCACCGTTCTGTGACGTCATGAGCATTGGGCCATCTGACCGGAAGGAAGTGGAGAGCTCAGTCGCTGCAACCAAAACAAATATGGCGGCCACAATACCGAAGGTAAACACATCGCGTCCCTGTGTTCTCTCCGTCTGTCTTGCGTTAGCAGCTCAACTCCACACACAACACGTGTTATAAAGGGACCAGCTAACAAACCGTTTTTGAATCTGTTTCCAACGGCGAGCCGCAACGAAACCCGGAAAACAAGCGGAAGTGTCTGCCTCTCGTTTGAAACTAAACATCCGCCGCGGCAACGCGTGTGTTTACTACGTTGGCTCGTCGTCTCAGCGGAACAAATTCGAGGAAAATATGAGAATGAACCGTCTCGTCCATTCCGCCGACCGACTCGTTTCGTGCTGTCCCGCCTGACTCCCAACGGACAACACGATGTAGCTAACGTTAGCTTACGCTAACGTCTGTGTGTCTTGCACCGAGCAAATTGACGTTAACACGACATGGACTTTACCGTGGAGCGCTGAGAGCCAAACACGCACACACACACTGCCATGGGTTTGGTGAGCTTCGTATTCGGCACTGTGGGAAAATGCCTGGACGCCGCCTGCTTACTGCTGGACCTGAATTTTGTCATCGTCCACAGCGTGGTGCGCGCCGTGCTTGCGGTCGTCTCCTTCATAAACAGCCTGCCCACCCTGCTCCTCCACTCCGTGATGGAGCTGGGGAACCTGGCCGTGTTTTGCCTGATGTCCGCGGCCGAGGCGACGTCCAACGTCGCCCACGGTACCGTCACCATGCTGGGGAGCCTGGTGCTGGCTCTGGAGGGCCTGCTCGAGAGCCTGAAGATGGTGGGTTACCTGTCCATGCACGTCCTGCTCCGCGGGAAGGAGCACCTGTGCCGGGGTCTGCTCTCCGTGCTGGAGGGCTGCGGCATCGCCGTCAGCCTGGTGGTCTACTTCACCAACACCGTGGTCAACTTCGCCCTCATTGCCACCCAGAACGTCTACAGCGTGGTGGTCAGCGTGTGGCAGACGGTGTCCAGCCCGCTGCAGACCGTGCTGGAGCTCACGCTCACCTCCTTCACCTTCCTGTACAGCAGCTTGGTGGGGACGTCCGCCTTCCTGTGGTCACCGTGTAAACTGATGCTGGACTTTTTGGTCTCGCTGATTCACATGTTTGTCAGCGTCTTCATATTGAACATCTACGGTCTCCTGCTGAGTGTCACCATTGCTCTAACCACCACCGCCTACCTGAATCCGGAGCTGACCCGTCAGACTGCCGTGCGAATCGGAGATTACGTTAACCTTTCCCCTGCCTTGCACAGACTCAATCTGGTTTACCGCCGACTGGCCTCGGCCGTGCAGGACGCCCCGCTTTTTTTACGTGGTGCCATTCAGCGCCTGCAGAGAATGTTCCTCCACCTCTGCCTGCTGGAAAGAGGGCTTTGGCAGAAGCTGTCCCGACTTAGCAGCCAGCTGGGTTTAGCTCTGAGGACGGTGCTCGGCGGGGACAACAACGGCCGAGTACGAGGCGACGGCGACCCCCGAGAGGACAGGCGGGACCCACCAGATGGAAGAGCGGGGGACGGAGCCCACCAGGAGATGCTCGACTTAGTCTTCCCGTCGTCCAGCGTAGACCGACCGCTAAACAAGCTGTCGTCCTCGCGCAAAGATGGCAAACCTCTGCCTGCTATGAATCTGCTGACTCTGCTGAAGGAGCAGGAGGACAGGAAGAAGTGTGTGATCTGTCAGGACTGTTCCAAGACGGTGGTGCTGCTGCCTTGCAGGCACCTCTGCTTGTGTAGAGACTGTACGAACATTCTGTTGAGGCAGCCCTTATATCAACAGAACTGCCCTCTATGTCGACACATGATCCTCAACACTATGGACGTGTATCTATGAAGGACGGCTGTGTGGACTCTGGGCGGCTGACCACGGGGAACACCCCATCAGTATTTGTGCTTAAAGTTTTACCAACACTGACATTAAGGTGAATGAGCTTCGCTTTTCCTAGTTTGTGTTAGAGGAAGTTCGGTAATCCTGTTCGTTTTTTTTTCTTTCTTGCTGTCAACAATAAGTCCAAAAGAATCATGTCAGTCCGTCCTTTAATACTTTCCTGCTCTTCTACCCCGACGGCTGGCGGTCAGCCCCAAAACCTTTTTGTTAAAGATGTAACATTCTAGATGTTTCTCTGAAAAGTCTCACTCCAACAATGCAAAGTGTACGAAATGGGATTTTTTTGGCTTCACGGACAATTTCCGCCTTTAATGTCAATCTATTGTTGGTGATGGATTTATTGAGAAACTAAAGGTAGAACAGAAAAACCCAAAACAAAAACACACACCGTGTCCAACTTCTCATGACAATCAACAACTGTACACTATTCTATATATTAATACTATTCTGTTTTACAGTCTGGCAATGCTGTTTCAACTAAGGGAACTGGAAATAACATACTACACACGCTGTTGGATATGAATCAAACTCCAGTAGCAAAATGCCTCTAATGCCACTAATCTATAATACCTGTTTGTTGTCGCCCTTCACTTACCTGCTCATCCTATGCATTGCATTCTGGGAGAATAGTGAACGCACAACACTAAGAGTCGGTTTGGGCAGTGTGTGTTTGTGACACTACTACAGTTTGTTTTTGACACCTGTTTAGATTTTCCGGTTGTTGCCACGTTGAGTCTCAGGTCTCGTTGCCACGGTTACCCGCCGGTTCCCTGCCTACCGCCGCTCAAGTCTTAAAATGTTGTGCTTTCAGTGAGACAAGCTGTGCCGAAGAGGAAACTAACACTGTGCTCTGTTGCATGGGTTTCTAACGGAGTGACTGCTGTGTGTGTGATGACCCCCTGCCTGTTTCGTTCTATTGTTAAAACCATTTCAGAAAAATGTCACCACTTCTCACAGAGCCACGTAAAGAAGGTTTTCTGTGTTTAACGAACGTGATGTGTACTTTTCCAGTCAGGCCTGATTTACCAGCTTTATTCCAGGTGTTCTATTGATAGAGCTTATTCCAGTCAGAGGCACATTAGAGTCGCCTCCAACACGGAATCCATAGCAGGTTTCCCCTTCCCTTTGTCATTTCAACAACCTAAATAAGGCATTCAAATCAAATTTGCTTTTTTTTTTTTATTTGTTCTTGGTGAAACGGAAGTGTCTATTGATTGGTGTTTACAGGGCAGAGTTGTGACCGCTCCATGGTTGATAGTGTACGAAGTCTTTTTTAATAGTTTGTTTGATTGGGCTAATTAGTTCACTGCATTGTTTTTAGACCAAATACTGACAGTATGAGAGGCTCTAGGCATTATTGACCATTTCTAAAATGCCAGTGGCATTCCTAATGTAAGATTAGCAGTGAACTGAAAACAGCTCCCGTGACCATCTCTTGTTATCTGCAGTTTGTGTGACTCAACTTGGGACAATGTGAATTGAATACATGAATGTAACTAGTTTTCTAAATACTATGACTGCCACATAACGGCAAGTGTTCTGTTTATAATAAAACAACTGAAACTGATTTATTATTAACATCTTCTGCTCATGTTCGTCATAATTCATTTGGTCTAAAGCACGTCTGATAATAGCAATAAAATGCTGATTATAACTCCCAACAGCCCACGGTGAAGTCTAACAATGTTTTGTTTTGCTCTACTGCTCCTTGAGTGAAATATAAAGATATTCTGCCCACTCTCATAGAAGAGTAAGACATTACAAAACAAAAAAACAGCTTAATTGTTTATCAAAGTTTAAAAAAAACAGTGATATCAGTAGTGTAGGGGCATTGGTTCCCAACCAGGGAAATATAAACCTGGCCACATGGAAACATAGTGGAGTAGCTCACAGGACTTAAGAATAAGTCAATAAAATGAACCGCATGTGTCTGATTTTGAAGTGCTCCTTGGCTGATCTCAGGAATATTTATAGTCCCAATAAACACTGCGCCACCAGCTGTCCTGAGCCCGCGGTGTGTGTGAGTCTAATGAGAGGCGGTGTGCTGAGGGGTAAACAGCAGTAAGGCCCTTTTCTGCCTCATCGGGCCCCGGCGGCTCATCTGCTGCTGCCTGTAGGTGCAGCTCAGAATAAACAGAGCAATCATCACAAAGACTTTCCCCCCCAGAGGAAGAGTTGACATGTCAAATTAGGAAACGGGAGTAAATGATGGGACTGACAATGGGCCGAAGTGATGGTCGGTCTACTAACAAAAGGTGTAATAAAAGACCCGTGTAGAGATGAGCGTTGAGGATGTAAAGCCGAGCGCAGAACCACGTTTCCATCTCACATTCCTACCTACATAGTTTTACCAAATTTGGTTTCCCACATGACGCCCACACGGAGTGCTTGGTGCCCCCGGGTCTTACTTATGAGGAGAGGGAAGCGAAGTGAAATGCAGTGGGAAGTATTTCTGGGGGGGGGGGCTGGACAAACAGGATGATAGATTCCTCTTACTCGTATCGCCGTCTCTGCGAGTCCTCAGACAGCTCGACTGTCACTTCAATCTGGATAAAGGGGGATTTGGGGGGAGCCACAGTAGGCTTGCGGGGTCAAAGGAAGGGGGCCCCTAATGGTCACACGGGACCTCTTCCAGCACCATGTGACCATTCATCAGAGCTTTGTGGTTTACAACTTTACTCCCGTTCCCAGTTCTCTCTAAAAATATCTCCAGCTTCATAGCAGGCATCTGCTTTGATGAAAGAATGCATAGAATGACTTTCAACACCTGTTTTACAATTATTGCCCAAGTATTAGATTGGCCATTAGATTGACCCTCTTATTTCTATGTAATGATGTCTCGTGTACCTATATGATTTAAGTACACAGGGTAGGTAAGCGGGAGGTGGGAAATCATATCATTTTTTATTAACTTATTAAAATTAAACAACCTTGTTCAAGGCCAGAAAACTAATCCAGGAGTAGTTTTTTGGTCTCCTGACCTTTGAGTCCAGCCCCGGCAGTGTTTATGTGTCAAATGTAAGTGAGGTCGGTGTTAACAGTGGAGAGGAAGTTTAATGTCAGGGGAAGAGCAGGGAGGGGTGAACCAAGGAGCGCTCTGTACTCCGGGGATTTGACCTCCTTCTTTTGACCCTGGTTGTCCTGGCAAAGAGCAGCGTGGGAAAATGTCAAGGCTCTATTTTTTTCTGTTTATGATCACTGTCTTCCTCTCATATCTGAACCCTGTGCTTTAATCGTGAGCCTCTCCGCTGCTAGAATGTCGAACATCGTCACCGGCATCAAACGGCAATTCAGCCCTGACCTCTGACCTCCCAATGGGGGCTCATAAACAATAAGAGAATTGATGTGCATTGATGGGCTATGGCTTTTAGTGGAAGCTTCTATAGAGAACTGCAGGCATGTGTCCTGAAAATTGTAAATTAGTAGTAATTTGTTTCTGGTTCTTTTCATCTCCAAGTCAGAGGTTTTTTTGGGGCCTTTGGTTTTCCTAAAATGATGCATTTGGTTAAAAAAAGGAAGTTGTTAGGTCGTAGTTAGAAACCACGAACTCTGCTGATTACACCAGAGAACAATCACAGCACGAGAAACAAAGACACTCAGTCGACTTGAAAGTTTTACTTGCTGCAAGGTCAAGAATCTTAGAGTACTAGACTCTTCACTCGATCACAGCCAACTCCGACTGGACTTCCCCAGGCAGTCTCCTTTTACTGAGGTAGTGAACTATGTAAGCATGATGAGTCAACACTCGTTTGTTAAAAACGTCAGTAGTACAGCAGTAATAGCAAAAGGCATCGTACAGCAAACTGAGTATGTCGACTCGAGGTTTAAAACAGCTTATACAGGTGAATGCGTGTGTGCGTAAGATACCGTATGAGTGTGTGCAAATGTGTCTTGGACTTTCCTCCCATATATTGAGTAGCTTTCCAGTTTGGTGGAGAAAATACAGTTGAGTCCACCGTTTCCTGTTTTAACGCAATTGAAACAGGACAATGAAACAGTATATTGTGTAATAGCACAATAAGCAGTATTCCCTAACAGAAGTGGTTTATAATCTATATAAAGAAACTACAGATTGTCATCGCTGGTTAGCTCTGTGGTGAAGTGGTCATGTGACCATGCCTAAAGGGGGCTCTTTGCTCCTTTACTTCCATTATAAAATCCATAGAGTGGTTTTTATTTGTGAAGATTATGTTGCTTAAGCAGCCAGAAAGCTTGTTTGCCGCACAGCTAATTATCTGCAAGTTCAAGAGGGACCAAACTTTCATACATAGAGGATCAAATTTGAGCTTTACAAAAGGTAAGCGAAGACACAATTTAGAAATGTTGCCGTTGACTTAGGATGGAAAACAACAGTTTGTTAGAAACTTGAAGAGAGAAAGAACAGTTTTATTTTGATTGAATGCACCTGTATTAGGAATGTTTGATCAATGAAAAAGAATGACATTATTTTCTGTAAGACTATTGAAGCCATTGAAGCATTCTGAACACCGAGTAACTCTCAATAAAAACTAGAACCTTTTCTTTTTTTCTTCTCAGAAACATACCATAGTTACACTAGTGGAAATGATTCCTGGTTGTTCCATAACAGAATAACTCTAATCTACAATATTTAGTATTTAGCAATAATCTACATATTGTACCATTGATGAAAAAAATGATGGTCCAACAATAACATGCCAAGAGTAACTTGTACATCATGAGGAATGTGGAAAACTACACAATGACAAGTCATATTTAAGTTCAAACGTGCTTAAAAAATGCTTAAAATCCTCTCCTCGTCTCCTCGTCAAGTAATTTATACTGCAAACGTGTGAGTGTGCAGACAGTTGACATGTCTTTCAAACACAGACACGCATCACAAAGTCACCTCCGGGTTCACAGACGGTGGATGCGGACGGTGTAAATAATCCGCTCTCCATCACGTGAAGCACAAATTGATGCTATGTGCTTCTTTCCTGTGCAGATGTTCATCCGGACAAGTTTCCAGCTGCTGAACAGTGATACAGCACAGCCCCCTGCTGGACAAAGTAACAGCATTGTGCTTTTGAAGGATCATGTTCATGTACACATATCTTAATTTAGTTTTGGAGATATGCTCTCGATAGGGACAAAGTTTAACATTGTTTCTGGTCATTTGGGGATCAATCACATGAGGAAACGCTTGTGTTCTACAACCACACACAAACTATAGGTTTTATGTACTTTGTGTTTAAAACCAGTTTCATGACATAAAAAATATAACATAAACCCATAAAATGAGAATGGAATAGAGTTTTCATACTTAGTGGCCTGACGTTCATGCTGTCACCCGGTGGCTCAGTGTATATTATCTACATCGTCTCTGTGTCGAGGTCTTAGATCTCAAAGCATTGCCCTTCTTCGCCACAGACACCTGTCAAACAAAAAGAGCTCAGTGTTTTTCGGGGGAAGTTATGTCCCTGCTGGGCCATTAGCTTCAAACAGAGCGATTTACAGGCTGCAAAGAATTACCGACTGGAGGATTCATTAACTCCCTGCTTCTCTCATTCTCTCCACATTCACAGCCTGATTGTGTCGGAGTGAAGGGAAAATAACGCGTCCTCGTGTGTGAGGTTTTGCACTTGTCAGGCACACAAAGATGTTACCTGGGGTGTGCTGGTGTCAGTGTTTACCCTCCTACATAAACACACCGGCCTCATGGAAGCCTGTCAGGAGACAATGGGGAAGGACTCAGCTCAGTAAACCAGGACACCAATGCGTCACTGTTGTTTCAAAGCATCAGCAGTGAGGGGAAAAAGGAGGTGACGTACATCAAGCAGCTCGCGGTGCTGGAGTGTAGCTGGAGAGGCTCACAGTGTTTGGTGAAACCATTAGGCCGAAGTAAACCATGGAAGTCTACTGGAAAAATAATCACTTCCAGACCTTTTCATTCTGGTATTTATTTGGGTCGTGCTTTGCCTTCGGCAATGGAAACCGAAGAGTCGGGTGTGTCGAGTGGATTTCATTGGTATGAAAGACATTCGAAAGTTGATCAATTAGGCAGTTTTGCTGCACTACATTATATACAGTTGTACTTTTACTAGTTTATTACTCTTTTTTTTTGAGTAAGATATAAAAAATCATAATAACTGTCACGGTGTGGTTCACTTCCTGTCTTATTTTGTAGTTTTCTGCCACTCGTGTCCCCGGGTAACTTCACTTCCTGCCTTGTCCCGTCATCCCCTGTGATCGTCTAATAGTTTCCACCTGTGTCCAATCACCTGCACCTCCCTTGTGTATTTAAGCCGTGTGTCTCCTGTGTCACTTGTCGCGTCATTGTCTTTTGCCACGCATGTCCTGTTGTCTTTCGCCTCCGTAGGTTCATGCCTGTGTGTTTTTGCCCCTTGGGCCTTTTGGATTTTGGACCTTTTGACTATTAAAGTCTTTTGTTTTGGAAAAGTCTGCGTTTGAGTCCTGCCTTCCACCCGCACCCCGTGACAATAACCTTGAAAAAACAATGGTTCCCATCTTTTTTAACTTGAGGTCTCTAATACAGTGATTCTCAACTGGTGGGTCGCGATGTTTTTAATGGGTGGGGGCCTTTGCCTGAGAAAATGAAAATTTGAATTAACAGCTGGCTGTTTAGTTTTTTTCATTAAACTTGTTTTTGTGTTGGCATACGTATTCTGTCTCCATACTATCTCAGGTTCAAACTGCACCATATTTTCATTAAATAAATTTGAGAAGTGGAGAATGTTCCTCGATTTGGGTCGCGGCTTGTCATTAAGGGGTGATGGTGGGTCCCGGAGCCAGACCAGTTGAGAACCACTGCTCTAATAGAACCTCATTCTGTCCCTTAACTGTCATGTTTCAGATATAAGTTGAATTCAAAGTTGTCATTTGAATGACAATACAATTTGAGGGTTGGTGACGTGAAGTCAAATTTTCTGAGACATAATCTTTCCACTCACGACCTTTCAGATTCATCTTCTGACCCTTCGGAGGGGGCTTAACCCCCAGGTTAGACACCACTGGATCAACACACCTCAACAAGCTTGTAAGAATACGTGTTCAAGATTTGGAGCCCGGTCGGGGTTATCAAAAATTCAGCCAAATGACTTTTCTCGTTCTGGAAAATTTATTTGTCAGATCACAGGTCAAGTATCAGCGCTGCGTTTGCAAAGGCAGGAGCAGTTCAGGCAGCACACAGGCCGGAAGAACAACTAACTAACATCAGCAAGAACATCATGTTTTATAACCCTTGAAAGACAGAGAAGGAAATATTTCTATTGGCCCTAAACTGGCGTAGAGGAGGACCTTCCACCTCCCGCATCTAAGATCCGGTCACATCCAATGTCCAGACTCCTGACTTAACGTAAACATCGTAAACAGAGTGTGTATGTTGAATAGTGTTGGTGTGTCTCTAACCCCCCTTTGGCTGGTAAATCTGCTAGTTTACCCGCAGACCTTACATTCCTCAGCCAGGACAGAAACTGACTCCCCATCCTGTCAGACTCGTGTCTGCCTGCTTGGCAGATCCTGCTTACCCCCTTACCTAACTCTTAAATCAAGACAAGACAGCAAACCCCCAACTAAGCCCATGAAAATGACTTTTGATTATCAAGCTCAACAAGCTTCGACACTATAACAATGTCACTTACACATCAATACTTAATATATACTCAATTTGACTGTGCAATGTTTCCAAACTGTTTTATTGGTTCATTTAGTAAATAATCTGTGTGCTTTCATTCTTGCATGCAGGTTAATGGCCGGTGCGTGCACAGTCTGGCATGTTACAAGAAAGTGACCCAAATATTGGATTGGAAATGTGTACAACTAATGCATTGCAGTAAAATTAACCTCCTCCGTGTGAAATTGTATTTAAGCCCAAAAAATGCGTCATTCATGTGTATTTTAAAAACTGAGATGGTTCATGTATTTTTCATATTTGCTGTGCAGAGATTGACGGCAAAAAAAAGTACCAACACAAAGCTGTCTGATTGACTGTCACAATAATCTGTTACAATAATGAAGCCTCACAGCAGGTTGAAGGCTGCACCTGTAGGAAAAGACACTGAATAAACAGTGTTTATGTACCTTACGGCTCACCACCGTGGCGTTTTATACTCATTACCTTTTAAACTTATTAAACGCAAAACCCAAGTAAACAAACACAAAACAGGTCGCGGGTCATTTTCCCAAAATGGGATCATGAACCAAACACCGCAGAGTTTTTCCAGTCCGAGTACACGAGGAAGCCGGTGAAGGTGCTGTCCGTCTTGGTGCTGGAGTAAAACCCGCTGTACTCCGACAGCGCCATCTGCACCCACACCTGGTCGCCGGGGACCAGGTGCAGCAGCGAGCCGCCGGACAGGGACGCCGGTTTGGGCCAGTTGCCGTGGAACTGAAAGTAAGACGCCGTCGCGTGTGCGTTTTTCATCAGGTCGAACTGGAGGCTGGCGCGGTAGACCGTGGCGTGGACGGCGAAGTAGTAAACCCCCGGCACCCTGCAGGTGAAGCGCCCCGTCTCGCCGTCGTAGTCGCCCTGTTCGTTGACCGCGACCTCGTCGAAGCGGACCGCCTCCCCCGCGGCGAGGGGCGGGGCGCGGCCCACGGAGAGTTTGGCGCTGAAGGCCGATTTGGGGGCCACCGCGCACTCGCCCGCCTGCCCCCTCTCTCCCTTCTCTCCCGAGTCCCCTCTGTCTCCGGTCAGGCCTCGCACTCCTGTCCCACCTGGAGAAGGAGCAGGCGTTGAGCGTCGACGGAGGACACGCGAGACACAATCACACGCAAAGGAATGAAACGCAGAAACCTGGGTCTCCAGCGTCCCCCTTGTGCCCTTTCTCCCCCGGAGCGGCGTCCCTTCCGTCCCTGCCGTCCCTCCCCGGCTGACCAACGCCGCCGTGAGCTCCGGGAGAGCCCGGGATACCCGGCAGACCGGAACACAGACCGGGAGGGATCTTGTTGTCGTCCAACTGGCTGGAGAGGTGCACGTGGAGGAGGAAGAGCGAGCGCAGGAGCCAGAGTGACGTCATCGCAGCGTGAGGCCTGACACAGACAACAAGGGTCACAAACAAGTCCGAGGACGAGGGACATGAAACTGGACCACACGCAGGTTAAACAAGCACCACTTTAAACGGCCCCACAACAACAGATGCCACTTCAGCACATATAAATGTTGACTTTGTGTAAACACCCTGTGGTGAGGGTTTTACAACATCATTTAAGGACTTGTACTGCAAGTTAAACTGTGGCAAAGCTCCGGTTTAGTTTCAATTAGAGGGAATTTATCACAGCGATTTAAGGACTGCCATGAAGAACTGTGACATATTTGTTTTTTTTTCGAATTTCGCAATTGTTTAGAGGACAAATTACTGAAAAGACTGAAATAATCATATTGCATGACTAAGGCGGCATTATTCGTTAAATGTCAGTACTGCCAAAACCGCAAAGTCATTTAGAACATGGAAGTCTCATGAAAGTTCCCTTTTGGAGCTGGTTTTTATTAACACAGGTGTGACTCAGCGCTCTCCAATGACGGGTCCAGAGTCACAATAACAAGGAGTCTGGTGGAAAGTGGAAGAATGTCCATAAATATAATGATGCTAACAGAAAAGACCATCATATACGGGCAGACCTTTAGGAAAATAACTCTAAACTTGAATGAGACATAATTTAATTGTTTGACATTAGACATCTGAGAGAGAAATCCATGTGAAGGTTTAACGTTTGTTTCCGGGAGGGTCATTCAGTCCGAAATGTCGCTGTTTTTTCTTTTCAGAAGAAGAAGAGAAGGGTGGAGGCACAAAAACAGAAGGAAACAGTCAGAGAAAAAAGTAAGAGGGAGAAATTCACATCAGCGTTTTTGGCAGACGAGGAGACTAGACAGGAGGACAAAATATGTAGACTCTGAACAGCTGCCTGCCGTCACTCTTCGGATCATTAGAAACACTGAACTGTTTTCAGGACGAAATACACGCTATGTATTCATTTTCCTTTTCTGCTAAACTAATTGTTTACACATCATTTTACTTTTAACGTCTTCATATTACCGGACAGCTTTAGTTGGCTACTCGCATTACAGAGTAAAACTTAAAACTTTAAGCTAATTAACACGTTATTAGGTGCTCTGAAGGGGGGAAAAAGATGCTGGAACACTAAAGCCTTGTGAAGGAAGTGAACTTGACTTACCGGACGGTGCAGCAGTAAAGTCTTCTGGAGCTGCTGCTGCTGCTGCCGCTGATGTTTGAGGGCTTTTAAAGAGAAGCCAGTGAAAGCTGTTCCTCCCAAAGTCAGCTGGGGAAAAAACTGCAAGGAAATGGTGATGAAACCCAATTAGAGGCTGGTAGGAGAGAGAGAGAGAGAGAGCAGGGAGGATACAGAGTTACTCCAGCAAAAAACAAAAGCAGAAATAATCAACTCTGAAGCCACATTGTGACGGGATGAGTATGAAAGGAGGGGTTGGATATTTGGGAGATTGCGCATCAGTGTTTGGGAAAGTCTCCAAGACGTAACCTCAGAGCTCAGAGGGCTGAGGGCACAAAAAGGGAAAAGTTACAAACTGCAGCAGGGAACGAGCTCTTATTACATGAGATAATTTACACAGAACAGCAGCGTTTAATCGACTGAGGAGAAAAATGCACACTGATATACAAAGAAACAGATACAATCGCACTTCCTTTACTTCTCTTTCTCTGCCTTCGCTGCATTCAGATAACATCCTCCCCATTATCAGTCTCCCACTCAGACAAGACTCCATGACAGTAATCCTCTCCTCCTTCACCCGCAGTGTCAAAACCATAAGGACAGAGCTCCTCGTATCTTTTTTGGCAATGGAGCTAAACTCAAGCCGGAGGAACTCGGCAGCTCCCCTTGAATTTTGGCCAAAGAAAACAAGTTTCCCCCTGTTATCGCGTACCAAAAAAATATTTTTACAATTGAATGAAGTGGACGGTGTATTTATCTGAGTAATTGCTCTGAAGGTGTGTTGGAATTCAGCATCTTAGTGCTGTTTGAATAGCTTGGTGCAGAATGGGTGGTAAAAACATGGACTCACGTGAGCCTTGTATGTATTAACATTTCTGAATTTAGTAGGTGTCTGAAAGAGTATGGAAGCTTTAAAAACGGTCAACCATAAAAGTTAAAAGTTGTCAGGGGGCCAATATTTTTTCTGGAGGGCAGAATATGGCCCACAGCAAACCACTAGTATAGTTTGATTATTACACAGCGCATCGTGTCATTACTAGTAATTACATTACTAGTAATATATCTTTATTTGTTATTGATAAAACATTTTAAAAAGCAATTAAAATGACTTCCATGGTTATGAATGTGTGCTGTAGTAGTACTGCTGTGACTGAACACATGGGTCTGCTTAGTGTTTTAAAGATAAAGTGCTGGTTTTATTGGGGGGGTTGAGGCATGTCTTTAGTTAGCAGCCACCCAAATCAGCACATTCTGGTTCTGCTAATTTCCGGTAAAAGACCATAAACTGCTTTTGAAAGGATTAACCGTTGATTTACACCACTTGGCAAATGAAAATTCAAAGACATTTCTGGTGCAGTGGAAAGGTTGTAGCAAAGGTAAGGATGGTAAGCTTATCAGTTTTAGTGTGGGAATGTGCTCAGGAACACCCCCATTTTTTCAAAATAAAGGCTGTAAAGACCAGTAAAAGTAAAGAAAAGTTATTTCCTGGTCAATTTGAATAAGTCCAGTAAACGAGGCAAGAGACAACAAAGAGTAAAGGAGACATGTTTATTATTTAAACTATCACTTAAATAAAAAAGTGCATAGAAAATAAACATGATTAGAAACTTTTCTTTTTACACTTATATACAACTTTTTTTCCTAATTATACATTCAACCAAGTAGTTTGTGGTTTATTTTGACTGTGGTGGTTTTCCTTCATTTCGTTGGTGTGTTTTGAAAGAACACTGTTAAAACGGGATAAAATATGTCTAACCCATGAATACCATTATTACAGAGAGCAGGAGGAATATTGATGAGACAAAAAGGTATCTGTCAAGGCATAAGAAACAAGCCTGTTGGTGATCCATGATCCCTTCTTTCCGCCCCCTCTGTGACACCACGTCCCGTCCCAGGCTGATAGCTTCTATACACACGGAACAATTAGAAAATACACGTTCTGTACGTGTCTGACCTCTCCCAAACCGTGACTAGTAAAAGAACAATTCATGGTTGATGTTGCACAAAATAAATAAATGAAATGTTTTCAACAATCGGCATTATCTCAGCAATATGACTTTTTAGAAGTACAACAAAAGCTTCGGAGGTGAAAGAGGTCGTCGGGGGGGACATGAGAGGTTTTCCAAAATGGAAAAATGCCATTCTGGTGGGATCTTTTAAAACTCCCGGACAGTCTCCACGGACCAAACTCTTAATTTATACCACATCAAGTAAGCAGTCTAAAAATTCCCTGTTTAAAAATTCAAAGAAAAAACAAAATAAAATAAAACATTCACTACAACAACCAGAGCGGGAGGAAAGAAACAAAATGGCTGACCTCAAGAAGTTTCACAACCACGTTAATACAATTACATTTCTCATTACGTAAAGAAAAGGTTCCTTTCCAGAGAAGACGTTTGAAAAGCAAAACTGCAGTGCTCCTCGCTGACGGGGGAGCACTGCAGGCACAGCAAAACTGGTACTGGATATCAATATACAAAAAGAATGATGCACGTTAGTTTCATCTGATAGTACTGTAACACAAAACCATTATAGAGTACATTGAAACATTTCTATTAACCGTTATAAATCTGCTGTTTTGCTACTGTACCTAAGTTTGTTTGTCCATTCCATATATTGTATAGATACTAAAGAACAAGAAATTGCTATGTTTCCGTTATAATATTGTTATGTATTTATACTATAATTACAGATAACAACGGAGAAGGGCCACTGGTGTGGCGTGGTAAAATGAAGTCCGAAGAAACAACACAGACCATTTCCTTATTGTATATATGCCGTCTCAACAGTGAAATAAATGACTTATCCTTCACTGAAAAGTCAAAGTGGATCTCGAGGAGTGAGAGAGCCGCAGACAGAGCCCTTGGCATCAGTAAACGCGTCGCCACCGACGCTAGCGTGAAGTGTAGAGCTCGCCCAGTGGGAACCTGTTGCCAATTCGCCGTTTCCCCAGTGCTGAAAATGAAAACCGTTGCTGCCCAGTTGTCGAGGTGGTATCTACGTGTTGATCACATCTCTAACCAGGGTCATCGACACAAGAGCTGAAAACAAAAACGCGGCTGACGAAGCATCAACATTATCCGGTGACGTGAAGGAATATACATTCATCGTTGACCTTTAGCAGCTGAACCCAGCGAGCCCGACGGAGGCGCAGCTGTACAACGGCGCGGCCGGCCGATCGGTCAGGGTCAGGTTTAGGGGGGGGGGCTGATCTCGAGCCCTACGTGGGAAAGGCACAGCCGACGTTTGTACACACTGCACCTTCAGGAAGGGGAGGGCTGCTGGCGTGGTCCCTGCCTTCACTGCGTTATAAATAATAAAAAGGAAAAAAAAGAAAAGAGTCAAGTGCACTTGGCTAGAGCCTCGAACGTCTCTTTCGGGGGCCTGATGCACAAACGCAAAGTATTCTCAGTGACCGTCTGTGCCTGTGGTTTCAGCATCGGGTCGGTATCGTCTGCCTGGGGAAAAAAAAACTTTTCCTATGCCTGTTCAGTGCCTGTGTCACAGCTAAAGTGCAAATCATGTACGGGTCATCATCAGTTGAGGGAATATCCGCTAACGGCCTTTAGGTGACGACAAAGTCAGCATGAACGATGGACAACGTGAATTCATTTTTTCAAGAGACAAACATTTTGTACTTGAGTCGCATAGTGAAACCAGCCATTCTAAAGCTCCCAGTCAGATTTTCAGACTAAGACATGACGGCTCGTGAGAGAGAGGAGGCGCGCTCGTTACCCACGAAGGCAAAACCACGAGGACAGCGGACGAGAGAATTGGAAGTGATTTCTAAATGCTGCACGGAGGAGCGGCTTCTTTAATGAACCGATTGGCTCGACAGGGGAACGATAGACGCTATTGACGGCACTCAAATGTTAGAAAATAAAAAAGGCACCTCTTTGTTTTCAGTCTGGAGAGGGACAAAACTGTTTGATGGAACTCCGGCTAACGTAAAGGAAGAAAAACGACTCGTTTTGGGAAGACTGCCTGGTAGCAGCAGCCTGTGAGGGGACTTGATTCTCGGCGTGATGTGGTGTGGAGACAATAAGGCTGGAGAGAGGAGATATCGGCTGGGGATCAACAATCTTAACTCTCTCAAGTGCATAATAATAGTTCTCGACTGCCATTCTGCCAGTTGGAACTGGAACAATAAAAAATAACGTCAGCTTCGACCCAACGGCCTGGGATGGATAAAAGAGCAACTGGTGGACTGAACTCAACGGACCAAGCCACAGACCAGTGTCAGTCTTTGGAATCAAAGAAAACATTCAGGCTACAAATAAAAGACTAAAATAAAAATTAAAAAAACAAAAAAAACTTTGAAAAGGCAGCGGAATACAAAACATAGAGACCAAGCATTAGTGTTTGTAAACCTCTATTTCCTACAAAAATGGCAATAAAATAAATACAATTTCTTAAAAATATAAATACCATCATTAAGTGCTATTCACTAGTGAGTGCTTTGTAAGTCTTTTTTGTAGAAAAATATACATTATTTACATTTGTTTTTTAAAAGCAAGCATGATATTTCCCTGTCCATAATAAAAAAGACTTAATACAAATAAAAAAAAAACATTTTCCAAAGCAACGGTTATCACAACAAGCCAAGAGGAAAACAAGCTGTGTGAAAATTCAATTCAAGGGCGTGATGTTTGGTTCTCTCTGCTGTTGTGATTTGGAACGCGATTCAAAAATCTTAGCTTATACATGTCCCAATATAAATTTTGATGATGACAGCACGCACATGTCTGTATGTTTCTGTAGGATCCACGCCTGCATCTGGATCACAGCTCCAAAAACCACTTATAAATATGTCTACTAAAGCACTTCAGTAGGGTTCTCCAGGCCCCCGGCTGTCAGTCCACCAGCATCTCTAGCTGCCTCGCTCTGTCAGGCCAGAGGCTTAATCCCACCAATAACATGTCTACATAGCTACAAAACTCTCAGACTTAAAGTCAATTTAAGTACAACGAATGGTATCGACCTCAAATATCACACTTTACACGAACAGACAAAAATAACCGTTTGTTTGTTTGTTTTTTAACAAATCTACATCTCTACCCGTGTCTCTTTTTCCTCTCTTCCTTCCTGTGGCCACTGCTCCCCCTGGTGTTCCCACCTGCACGGCTCTTCTCAGGCTGCTTATTCTCAAGCAGCTCCTATTTACAGTGTTAAATGTAGACAAACACACTAGGGAGAGGGGGGGGGGGTGGTGGGTGTTGGTTTCAGTAAATCCCAACGGCTCTGGAGGCATCAGCGCACATTCAGAGAGGGAGAGATGCGCTTCAATTTTTGCTGACACTGAGATTTATAAAAATAGACACACACAAACAAAGAAAGCAAAAGAATTTTAACCTTTCAAATTGTTCCGAGTCCCTTCAACAAATTGCACTTTGGTGTAAAATTGAACCACGTTCTTGAATTTCGAACTAATGATTGATAACATCTCATTAGTGGACCATAACATACTTCTATAAAAGGTTGGGCCAATGTAAAAAATTATGAGGGGCAACTTTATTATCCAAATATAAATAAAAGTTATTGTTATATCGCGATGCTGTGAAGGCTCAAACTTGTTCATAACTCACCTCTGGAGGCAAAACTTCCCATGGCAAATGTAAATGAGACAAAAGGAGGCACAATATGTTTGAATTTCAACAAGTGGCCCCTCCTCCAAAACGGCCCTTCCTGTTTGCAAAGTACGACCCGCGGCCGCTGCCTCTGCTGCGTTCTGCCCATCCGCAGCCTAACCACTGACCCTGTTGGCAGCGGTGGTGTTACGCGAAGGCGGACACAGGAAATCGACGTGGAGTTTGTGCCACGGCAAAGCCCCCCCCCCGTAGGCAGGACCTCGGAACGCCGTGGACCCAACAGTCCCCTCTCTTATTTTTCAGATGTCAGTTGAGAAACTTGCGACACTTCTTGGCGGCGCAGTTGCAGGGCAGCTTGTTGCTGGCGTCCTCGATGGGGAACTTGTAGTCGTAGGTCAGCTCCTCCCCGCAGAATATGCGCCGAGAGGCCAGGATGACAATGTGCTTCTGACAGTCCACGGTGATGACCCGAGAGTAGCAGTTGGGCTCACAGGAGTGGTTGATGAAGCGGGCGGCGTTGCCGTGCACCGTGGCATCCACCACCTCGTAGTCGTCGATACGAAACATGTAACAGCCAATCCCCTTTGAGGAAAGAAGAGACCAAAGTTGTATGCATGTTAGATTATGCAGCCAATGGTGTTTTTTTGTGTTGTTCATCAGTTTATTTCTGGGGCCTCACCTTTCCATCGTAATACTTCTCCCGTTTGTCAGTGAGCACGGAGCGAATGACATTTCCAGAGTATTCAATGACCATCTCTCCAGGATAAATGGTTTTCTTGCAGAACAGACCTCGGCCATGAATGGGAGACCTGCAGAGGGTTACCGTTTTCAGAATTGAATCCCAGTAATGGCTTTAGCTTGCATATGTAGATGTTGATTTTGTGTAGGCTTTTTATACTCTTAAGTTTATCAAAATAAATGTAAACCACAAGCTATCTCCTTATTATGAACAATAAATGTAGATGTGACGTCAACAGAAAATGTCCCAAAAGCTACATTTTGATCACAGGACTTTCCACAGGGACTAAGAACTCATGTAAGGCTGTAATCATAAAAGAAGGAAGTATGTATGGAGTAAGGACTATTTCTCTTTCGTTGAGAACATAAATTAAAGGGGTGACACACTGCACACTGAACTGCAGGCTGAGCGTGCGTTTACCTCAGTGTCAGTCTCTCTGCTCTTTGGAAATACGGACAACAATGGCCTGAAGGAACCTTTTAGTTCAAAGTAGCAAAACCTTTCATCAACCCAAATGTAAATAATTGACTTATGATTGACAGTTTAAGCCCCCCTGATCTAACCTGTAGACTCCGACAGTTTCTTTAGAGATGGCTTTGAGCTGTTTGAATCTCACAGCCAGCGGGAGCTCCAGGGAAGCATGTCTGCAACAACAAGAAATCTCAATTCATGGTGGATTTCAGGGTTTGCAGCAGCAGAATCATAGATTGTGATGACTGTGAATAAATTACTAATCTTGTGGGGGCAGTAACTGACCTGGCAGACCTGAGCTGCCCTTCGTCATCATCATCTTCTTGCGGCCTGTACTCGGGAGGCTGGCGGTGTTTTGAAGCCAGGAAGTTGAACATGTCAAATACCGACCTCCTGGAAGGCAAACAGATGTAAGAGGGAGCAGTCAGAAACACAACCGTAAGATCCAAACAGGTTTGGTTCCAAGTTTGATTAACATGTGTTTTTGTGCATGGGCTGCTTCCTCACCTGTGCTGGATCTCTGCACGGGCCGACCCGTGGGGGTTGGCGGGAGGTTCATCGGTTTCCTCTGATTTGTGGAAGCGGAAGCGGTAGCTTCGACAGTGTCTGGAGCCGTAAAGCTGCTCGAGAAGGAAGACCACCGCCTCGTGGACGACTCCCAGCATCCTCAATCCATTCACACCTGGGAGGAACAAAGGATCCACAATGAATCGTTTGCATGCACGGCGACGCATCTATCCCTCTTTGTTTTGTAGTGCAGTCAGAGTGAGGCCTCACCTTCAAAGGAGAGCTCCTTGAGTTGTGCGCTGGAGCGAGCTTCCTGCACTTTATCGGTCAGGCATTTCCAAGCTTCTGTAAAGTTAGGACAACACAGCTCAGCATTTCATGCACAAAAGGCCTCTTAAATGTTATGATGTTATTCTACTCTTTTTTTTGTCTGCTTTATACAAATACATTTGCAGTATATATGTCAAACGGAACTATTAATGTAGATGTTGCAATTCCAGTGCAGTCAAGTAGGAAGTTGTATTTTCAGAAATGTGTTAAAATTAGTCCAAACACAACAAGAAGAACATTTTTTCTCCGTCTCCAGCCTTACTAATGGGCAACAAGCTACTCGATATAGCTCTAAATACATGAAAAGCATTCATTATATGACCTTTTGCAAGCGGCCTATTTGCATGGAAATAAAATGCCATTTGCTGACCTTCGATACTCTCACAGCGGATGTGGAAGCCGTCCTCACTGCAGATTTCAAAAATGATACCCTTCTTGGGTTGGCTGTCCAGGCTGGTGTCCTTGCTGTTGCCATCTTGGTCGGGTGGTGAAGCCACAGGAAGAGACCCTGTTCCGCCAGCTGCAGATGGTTTGTCTTTCCCCACTACTTTTCCCGCTAACATGGGAGTTTCAGATGTCTTCTTTTTACCGAGCACACTGGAGGATTATAGCGCATCATTAGAACTCTCTGGGTTATTGAATATGAAAATGGGCAGCTAGCATGGATGAGCCAATACCTCTTGTTGGTTGCCTTGTCTGCCGGTCTGCCCGTGTCCATGGGTTCGGGGGAGCTCAGCTCTTTGGAACTGCTTGCAAAGACAATTAGAGAGGCCCAAAATATATATTATGTCATGGAAATGAAATTATGGTGAGAGTGTGTTAGCCAGTCAGCCATTTCAGCACAAAAAATGATCTGAACAAAAACTGTTTTCATAAATGGTAGGTGACTTGATACATGCGACATGGAGAATAATGGTTTTTGCTAGTTATTCCTATATATTCGTGTAAAAAGGAATAAACACAAAAAAGAACACATCTCGAGCAGCCAGAATAACAATGGCCTCACCTTGGCTTTGAGTGATGCCGTCCTGCAGGGTTGCTTTGATGCTCCTCTGCCTGAGATGCCTTGAGCTTTTTCACGCTGGTTATGTCTGGACTCTGCCTGCTCCTCTTTGATTTCGGTGTTCCCTTTTCTGCGCCTAAAGTGGTGCAGTTGGGCGGCCTTTGTTCAGATGATCTTGAGATGGGAGTTGTTCTGCTACTCTGGGAGTGTGTGGAGGTCTGAGTTTGCGTGAACACTCCAACAAGGCGTCTATTGGCAGGGCCTCGCGAGGTGGCAAAGGTAACCGTGGTGTTTGGACTGGAGTCCACAGTCGGGGCTCTGCCTATACGCTGAGATCGGTGCTGTAAGTGGATATTAGTAACTTCCGGCTCTCCTCGCTGGTTGACGGCCATGCTGATAGTCTGTTGGGTTGGCAGGACGCAGATGCTGCTGGCGATAGATGTCTGCACGGAGGAGCTGATGTGTGATATCAGCGGAGCCCCAGCTGATTGGAGGCCCAAGCCATGTGGACTTGCTTTGAACAGGAGGTTGCTAATTGGCCCCGTGATATCAGTCGAGCTGAGGACCGGGGTGGAGAGGGAAACCGATCCTGGTGCAAGAAGGCCAGCGGCACCACTAGGGGGCACAGACACAACATTTAGCACTGACTGACTGGGGTTGAGACCAGAGACTGTGCAAGGTATAAGGTGAGTGGAGGAATCATGGCCCAGGATACCAGCCTGGGCTGTGCCAGGAATCCTCTGCTGAAGGAGAGTAGTTGGGTCCAAGTACATGACCCCGCCCGGTTTTGGTCTCTTGATAATATTTGGGACCTTGCGGTGAGAAGCGGAGAGGGTGCTTAACTCAACAAGGCCACCGGGTTGGCCAGAGATGCTGGCCGTAATCTGAGGGGAAGACAGGTTGATGAGCCTCATGTTGGGACGCCCGACTTCCGATGGGGCCAGAGTGGGCTGGCTACGGGAGCGGGCCAGCTTCTTGCTTTTTCTTGGCTGAAGACGAGATATGGGCCTCTTCTTGCCGTGAGCAGATGCGAGCACAGTCTGGGAGGAAGTGAGGGAGGAAGGACTGGACACTATGGCGACACCGGGACCCAGCTCGTGCCGGCGACCAGCCTCCGATACCAGAATCTGGGACTGGTCGTGGGGCAACCCAATGAGAAGCCCCGATGTCGTGCTGGGAATTCCGGTCTGGAAGCCCGTCTGTGTGGTTCCTGTAAAGGTGTGTATCTGGGATGGATGAGCCATGGTGCCCAGGACTTTGCCACCAGCAGGAAATATTGACTGGGCCGTAGATAAAGTATTCAGCCCCGTGGCGAGTGTCATGGAGCTCAGCACTGCTGCAGAGCTTGTGTCCATCACCCCTGTGGCACTCATTTTTTGGGCGACGCCATTGGGGACGGTCTGGAGAACGTAGAGAGGCTGGAACTGCTGATTGACCACGATGAGCTTGTCAGGGCCTGGTTTGATGACTGCTGGGCTGGAAACCTGAGTCTGGGATGGTCCTGAGACTGTACTGGGACTGCCTACAGCTGCAGCTGATACCGGGATGTACTTCTGACCCTGAAGAGGCAGGGAGGGTGAACTTGGCAAACCAGGGGTGCCAGAACTCCTGGGAACATCCTGGTTACCTAGCGGTTTAACCACCTGGCCAATGGCAGGGCTGGGAATAAACTGCTCAGGAGTCATGTGACCCTCAGTGTCCCTGTTGCCCAAAGCTGTAGCATCACGCTGATTTTCCGATGGGGAGACACCTGACCCTGCTCTTTTCTTGTCCCCAGTCTTCTCTCCACCGACTGTCTCTGGGTCAGAGGTCAAGCCCAGCATGGTGCGGCCTGTGGTATCTGAGATGAGACTCCCAGCAGTGTGGTTCTGACTGGCGTTGACGGAGGGGCTGCGTGTGGTCAGGACAGAGAGGTCAGAAGGTAGCTCCAAAGGAAGATACGGCTCCTCTACAGATATGGAGCTGTTCACACTGCCCTCCACTACAGCTCCGCTCTCTGCACTGGGCAGCTGCTGGGAAAAGTCATCAAACAGTATGTCTTTGGGCCGGTTGACATCCACTCCGTAGCCCTCGTCCAACAGCAGCTCTGAAGAGGACGGCTCAGACTGCTGGCCCAGAGCCCCCATCGACATGGAAGGTGTGTTGAGGACAAACTCCATGATATCAGACGGCAAAATGTTGCCACAGTCATCACTGTTGTTGTTGTCAGAGTCTGATTTAAGAAGGTCCGTGCTGAGGGAGAGTTGGGCCTCCAGAGGATCCTGACTCTGGCTCTGCGGCTGGGACTTGACCCCGCCCCCGAGAGGAAGACAGTTTTCTTTCTGGTTCTTTCGGCCTTCCCGCGCGCCGCCGCTTACAGCTCCGCCGCTGCCGTCAGCCTCCTTGCTCGAGTCACGGGAGTCCGGTTTCTCAGTGTGTCGTTCTCTGCCCCTTCTCTTGGGAGCACGTTTGTGTGGTGTGGAAGAAGAGGTGGCTGCAGTGGTGGCGGTGCTTGTGGTGCTGGTGGTGCTGGCGGTGCAGGTGCTGGTGTCGCTCTCTGATCCGTCGTCGACACCGTCGAGCTGGCCAATGCGCTGCTTGCCTAGAGTCCTGTAGCACACAGCAAAGACAGTCCGCCGGGTTAGTCGAGGCAACAGAAATTAAAACAAAAATCATTTGTAAATCATTCATTTGTAAAAACAAACATTGTGTGTACTCACAGAGCACTCAGCATGTCCTCTTCGGCCTTTCCTTGCGCCCTCTGTTGCTGCTCCTCGTCCTTTAGAAAGCGTTGCAGCTGGGATCCTCGACCCAGACAGCGGTCTATCCCTTCTATCGACGGCAGGGCCTCGCCGGGGTTTATTATTGTCCGAGTGAAGTTGTAGTAATAGGGGTCTGTGCCCCTCTGCTTCATCGCGCTGTCTTCATCCTCTCCACTGTCCCCCGACGAAGAGGAGGTGCTCATATCGTCCGCTCCATCCACCTGCCCCTCGGCCGACTTCTTGCGGCCGCCCGTCCTCCGCTTGACCACGGCGCCGGCTCCGTCGCCGCTGCTGTAGAAGGGCAGGTCTTCTTCGCCGTACGAGCGAACCCCGTAGAAAGGCGTGAGGCCGAAGAACATGTTTGAGCGCGCACGGGCACTGCGTCGGGGGTAGCGCCGCTTCGCCGAGCCCGACCCGTCGCTGTCGTCCTCGTGATGTTTATCGTCCATGCCTCTATCATGGTCATCTTCTGGGCCGTCGCCCTCGTCCTCCGTGCCTCTGGCGAGGAGGTTGTGGTGGTCTCGTAGCTCGCTGAGCGAGCGCTCCTGCCGCAAATCCTCCTCCATCTGAGTCCGCGTGTCCGACTCGGAGCTGTCGCTGCTGCTGCCTGAGGGGGAGAAGAGAGCGGCGCGCCGGGTCCCCTGGCCGGCAGCAGAGGTAGTCACGGGACATGAGGAAGAAATATCGCCCACAGCGCTGGTGCCATTCGGGTCGGCCTTGATGTCGGTCTTTAGCAGAGTTACAGCAGACGGTTTGACTGGTCTCTTTTTGTCTCTGGAGGACAACGGTAGCTGGTTCGCCGTTGGTTTAGTGTGAGACTGGGAAGCGATCTTTGCTCCTTTCTCTGGAACTAAACCACCCGGTTGCAGCTGCTGTAAGTTGTCCACGGAGGAGCTGTTTTTCCTCTCGGGACCAGAGTAATTTTCTCTGCTCTTTGACACTGGTGGTCTGTCCCCACCGTGGTTCTCGAGCTTCTCCCCCTGAGCCTTCCCGTGGGCTTTGGTGCTGTTACCAAGCACTTGGGCTTTGCTGTTTGTGCTGTTGTGTGAGTTGGGGGTTGTAGCTTGTGCATTGGCGCTACCAGTAGCTTTAATATTGTTGTTGAGAAGGGGGATTTTGTTGCTGATGTTGCTGTTTTGGAGAGTTTTTTCTCTTTCCCGCTCTTTGGACAACTCTCTGCTGCCTGCCATCTTAACTTTGGGGTGTTTCTCTTTGGCAGCTGAGGCTGCAGCTGTGGCGGCCAAGTGCATGGAGCCTCTCTTGACAACTTCCTCTTCTGCTGGTGTCCTGGCCGGCCACACCGGTTTCATACCTGCGGCTGTGGCTGGACCCGATGAGTAATCGTTGGATTTCCGTAAAGTGGATTTCTGAAGTGAAGACTGTGGGGAGCCAGATTTCCCAACAGAGTCCTTATGGAGCAAAGCTGGCACTACATTCCCAGCGCCACTACTACTCTCCTTTCCTGAGCTGGTCTTCTCTTTAGACTGGTTGATGTTGGACGTTGGGGTGGCCCGGTGACGGGGCAAAAAACCTGCAGACACATCCTGTTCTTTGCTGCCGTGTTTCCCTTGCTTGTCGCTCAGCTTCATGCTGCCAACTCTCTGCTGACCGGTGAGAACGGCAGTGCCCGCAGGAGGGGAGGACTGGCGTGCAGGTGGCAGCCTGGGACTCTTACTCTCACCTCCAGTCTGTTTGGACTGACTGCTGGGAATATTGTCTTTCCCTGGGCCAGAGTCTTTGTTTTTCTCTGTGCTTCTATAGCTGGAATCTCTCGAGGGAGGTCGAGCTTTGTCAGAGTCTCTGCTAGATGGTCTGTCTTTACCTTGAACCAAGTCTTTTCCAGTTTCCCTGCAGTGTTGTCTCTGCTTCTCAGAGTCCCTTAGCCCTCCCTCTCTACTCAGAGACCGAGCTTTTTCAATATCCTTATAGTTGACATTTCTGGAGGACAATTTGCTTTTATCGGTTACACTATTGCTTGAATCTCTGCTTGTCGGTCTTCCCTTCTCAAAGTCTCTATTTACTTGTCTTCCCTTTTCGGAATCTCTACCGGGCGGTCTTCTCCTCTCAGATTCTTTCACACCCGAGTCCTTACTCAACGATCTCCTTTTTTCTGACTCTTTGGCTGATATTTCGCCCCTGTCAGAGTCTTTTGGTCCAGGTTCTCTAGACAATCTGTTCTTGTCAGAGTCTTTAGAAGCTTGGCCCTGACTTGATGCCCTCCCCTTGTTGGAATCTCTCAACCCTTGGTCTTTGTTTGGTTGATGTCTATTTCTGTCCGTGGAATACATTCTACCTTTTTCATCGTCTCTTTGGACTGGACCCTTTGCCGACTCTTTGCTGAGGTGTTTGGACTTTTCGGGGTCTCGGGCAGGCGAGGGGATGAGAGGCGGGGGTGAGGTAAGGGATCGTGACACAACCTCGGGTGAAGAGGTAACCAATCTCTGTCTGTTAAACTGTACTGGGGAGGTCACTCATCGATAGCAAGGTGAGAATTCGCTTATTTGAGGCAATATTCACTTTCTTGTTTCTTGTTCTCCTGAGTTTGTACCCTATGGTTGAATGCACTTATTGTACGTCGCTTTGGATAAAAGCGTCAGCTAAATGACATGTAATGTAATGTAATGTAATGTAATGATAGGAAGACGGGACTGCTGACTATTTCAATTAACTGAAAAATGTATATATATGAAAATGAGTTGTAATTCGGTAACAAACTACATCAAAAAGAGGAGTGCAAAGTTATACCTGGAGAAGGCATGGGCCTTGGACCCAGTGAGCGCTGACAAGGGGGGTAGCTGGGGTGTCGGTTCCTGGTGTAAACCCTGAGCTTGGATGTGTTGGCAGGGGAAAGGGTGTCAGAGCGCCTTGGGGATTCAAATGGATCTGGAAATTCTGGATAAGCAGGAAAAACAGATTGACACAAAACACAGTTGAGATTCAGTTCCCCCCCAGACTGCTCTGATTCATCTTTGGTTTGAAATGATTTCCCAGATCTATTTTAGGGGTGAAAACTGAAGTCCAGGAACTAGATAAGAGATTTACATTTAGAGGAAAACTGAACTGTTGATTCATATTATCAATATTCTAATCTACGGTCTGTATTTTACCTGCTATGGGAGGTGGGCTGTGTGCTATTGTGCGATTCTCCTCAGGAGCCATCATGTTTTTCAAGTCAGACTCTAACACGGGAGGGTGACAAACGAGTATCCTGCAGGTGTACACACAGCGCTTTCGAGCATCCAAGGTACTCCAGTACACCCTTGAGCACCTGGGAGAAGAGAATCAATTTAGGTTCTGATTTCAATTTCCTCTAGATGTACGTTAATTGAAGGGAGACCAATATGGTCTCAGAGGACTTACAGAAGACTCAAATGTAAAAAAAACTCACTGGTATCCTACAGGGAAGAGTTTACGCTTGCAGTCTGAGAATTCAGTCAGTATCCCCAAACAGTCAATGGTCATGGAGCCTGTAATGACAGTGTTTAAATAAGCATTCAAGAGACCGTGAAAAGACATCAAAACATCCATCTAGTGATCGACCTACTGTACCTATCATCATGTGAACATTTTCAGGCTCCAATCCTGCCAGCCACTTCCTCCTGAGACGAATGCCCTCCAGGTCCACGAGTATCCTGCGGGTCACCTCAAACCCAGACACCACCTGGAGAAATAATATACAACCATAGGAAAGTTGAAGATAAAAGTAAGATCATTAAGTCGCAGTGCCTGGTTCATCTAAACAAGACACATGCACAGTTATTACTGACTGAAGTTTAAACACATGAACATGGCTGCCACCTAAACGCGTTAATGAGTTTTTTATTATATACTAAACATTGATAATATTCTTACTTCTCCCTTAATGAGGTCTTTGTGCTTTGGACAATAAACTTTCTTGTCCTCCAGGAAGACACAATGGCACTGGCGTGCGCACATGAAGTGGTAGTTGCTGGTGCAAGAGGTGAGGCAGCAACCAACTGTGGCCCCTGGCTTTTGACACTTCTCACAGCGCTGGATTAAAAAAAAATACAGGTTACAACAGGATTTGAATGCAAATCAGTCAAACAAATAAACACTTAAAAGGAAGTGGAAACATGTGATGTGCAAGGTTTCTTACCAGCTGTTTTCCCCTGAGAACAGCCATGTGGACGTTCTTCAGAGAGCCGTCATCGTCTTCAAAAACCTCAGCCGACCATAGAGAGCAGTTCACATGGGTCCACTCGTTCTGACCGATGTACAGCAGCCTGCCGCCATCCTGAAACCAACAGCCGTGTTACGAGTGACACAAATACCGCTCTCTTTGCGTTGAGTAGAGTTCAAGCATTTTCTTGACTCACATTAGTGTTTTCGTCTCCATACTTCAGACACAGAACACATTGCCTGTTATCGCTAATGCCTGGCGGAGGAGGGAGCTCCGGGCTGTCGTCACGATCTGAGGGGAAAAATGTATGAGAAAGAGCCACAGAGAAGATGTGCAAAACTGGTGTGCATGCAAGTATTTGAGCATATACTTGCAGATCGCCTTACCAGAAAGGAGTAGGGGTGGTGGAGGTAGAGATAAAGGAAGAAGGGGAGGGCAGGCTGGAGAATCTGGTTCGCCAGGGGTCTTGGGCCGAGGAGCTGGGATGATCTTTTTCATGAGGTGGGGGAGCTCAGCGCGGGAAAGCTCCTGTCTCTCCTGCCACTGCGCGTAGTTGTGGTCCAGGGACGGAGGCAGCACAGCATTCGGGAGAAGCCCACTGCTGGGAATAAAGAGACAGGCGCCATTAAATGATGTTCTAACAATGATTTCAAGCACCTTGTGAGCACCGTTTGCCGATTTCTTTCCCAAAACACATAACGCAATATGTAAATAATCCCACCCAAGGGGCTTTGCCAAATTATGTTTTGCCAAGTCAAACATCCATCCATCCATCCATCCATTGTCAAACCGCTTATCCTGCACACAGGGTCGCGGGGGGGCTGGAGTCCATCCCAGCCAACTTCGGGCGATAGACAGGGTACACCCTGGATTGGTCGCCAGCCAATCGCAGGGCGACACAGAGACATACAACCATTCACACTCACATTCACACACCTACGGGCAATTTAAAGTCCCCCAATTAACCTGATCCCCAGAGCTTTGGACTGTGGGAGGAAGCCGGAGAACCCGGAGAGAACCCACGCAGACACGGGGAGAACATGCAGACTCCACACAGAAAGGTCACTGGGCGGAATCGAACCCAGGACCTTCTTGCTGTGAGGCGACAGTGCTAACCACCACGCCACCGAGCCGCCTCCAAGTCAAACAAGCCAGGGCAATTTGAATGATGTGACTAATAAGCCAGCAGAGGCAACTTAAAAGAGGCATCCCTCCAATGACGACCACAAGACCCGCTGGATGGATCATTGGTTTCCTGGCCTGGAGCACAGCCACAGAACGCAAACTGACACAATTAGACCACAAGTATGCACCAAAGAGCAGTCACGTGAAATGTGACACTGCTATGGTTTGCTTCCCACGATGCCCGAAGGACACGCACAGCAAAAGGACGGGGGAAGCTGATATCTAAATGGAAGTGAGTGAGTTTAATGAGTGAGTTGGTAAGCAGTTTAATATGCAGAGCGGTAAAAAGTTTCAAAGTGAAAGGTTCACATTGCTGTTAAAAAAGAGCTTTTGAGTTATTTCTTTTTGTCATCACTGACACACTAAAAGCATAAATTATTCAATATGATCATTTTATCATTCATCATTAATAAAAAATGCATGTGCACTAATAAATAAGGCTGCTGTCCTCTGTGAATAAGTGACTGCAGCAAAGAAGACTTGCTTTCATTGATCTTATCCCAGTCTGCTTAATTAAGACAGCACATACGTGTATTGACGTTTTTTCTTTTCAGTAGATATTTTAATATTCAATCATCAATCAGTGTTATTCTGAGTAAATGGGCCTCCGTCATCTGTTACCGTCTCATATTGACCACTAAGCTGTCCAGTGGCCTCCTTCAACCAGAGGAATCAATTTTATTACTGTGGCTTTCAATCTAAATTGGTACATTTAATCACAGGAATTGTCCAGAGATAAGGCCCGTTGAAGGAAAATCACTTAATCGATCCATTCAGTCACTAAATCCTCAAGTTGTTAAAAGAGTCTCTTTCCCTTTTTGAACTTATGGCAGAGAAAGTGTTTTAGTTGTGGTTCCCAAGCTAAACATCACACTGATTTGCAGATTTCCTTAACCATTCAAACATATAAAGGGGCAATCATTTGGAACTCTGATCTTCCCTATTGGCTGTTATTTCCACTGGTTTCACCCAGAGGTTGCTGGTACAGTCAGCCACACATCTTATAAATATTAGTTCACTGCTCTCTGGTTTCCTCCTATATGCAGACGATGATACTGTACAGCTTATCCCGGAGAAACCACATCTTACATTTGAATAATTATAGACCAGCCGCTCTCAAAAACTGCGGAACTCCTCCAAGATCTTTAAGTGGGTGTACATTACAGTAAAGTATTACATTTGAATTTTCTTCTCTCTGATTACCAACACCAACTTGAGCTGCCTGTTAAGGCGATTAGATCAACTATTGACTTTCAGGCTTTGTACAGTTTGAGCTCTCCCTTTAACTTCCAGTCCAGTACTATTGCTTCATTTTATAGTCGTCTTTACAAAACAAAATAAAATCTTTTGCAAAATGCCAACGCAAGTACAAAAATCTCCCTGACTCGTAAAAAGAAATGATCTATTTCTATTGTGAGATGGATACTCACTTAGCAGAGACTTTTTGCCTTTCCCAGAGCCTGGAGTCCTTTACTTTGAACCACGGGAAGATTCGATCCATTTGCTGAAACAGAAAACATTCAAGTTTGCACATCCGCCGACACTTTCACAAACCTGTGATCTGGGCAAGATCGTGGTTAATGATTCTGTAGCTCGACAGATGCGCCCTTGCTTCACGTTGTCATATTTTTACCAAGACGCCTCTCCCAGTATAGAAAAGGAGAAACTCAGGATGAAGGAATTGTTTTGGTTTTGTTCTCAATTTTTAAAAGCACCAAGCGTTTTTGTGACACGTGTGTCTGAAAATAATATAACGGCATACAGCTGACATGACCCGAAAGTGTTCAATTGCATAATTGCCTTTGGGGAATTTGAGTGCTTGTGAAATGCACTGACATTTACTTGTGTTCTCAGCGGTGCTGATGGGAATGATATAACCTGAATTGATTTGAGTGTTCTTACCCGAATGAAGAAAGACTTGACCATGCTGTTGGCTTTCCTGCTTTCAGGCTGGCCCCCATCACTACTGATGGCAGTCTGAATGATTCGTGTGATGTCATCACTGAACTCCAGCTGGGAGAGAAACGAAGGGACAGATGCATGCAGAATGATTAACATTGGTGGAAAGGTCATCGCTGCAGTAGCTGACTTTGCTGACTAACCATTGTACATTACAGGCCTGATATGCACACGTGCAATATCAAAAGCTACTATAAAATGCTTTAAGGCTAGGATTTATTTTCTATATTAAATTCACACAAGCATTAGGTAATTTGGCCAAAATGAAAACAACAACACAACATTTCATATGGTCGCTAGAAACTACACCAGATTTAGTTTGTCCCTGCCTGGAATATGACGTTCTTACCACTGAATTGTAGCGACCTTGATCCATCTTTTTGTTGACGGACTCAAGATCTGGAGGGGAGTCACTGGGAGGTGTGGAGGGGACTTCTGTCAGGACTGGAGGATCTGGGCCCTCTGGGGAGCGACGTGATGGAAGACTCTCCTCGGTCTCTGGGTTCAGCTCTGGAGGTTTCACCGCCTGTCCCAAAGCCAGAGAGTTACACCGAGTAAAGATCTCACTACTAAGTTAATTTAGCAGCGGCTGTTCTTTTAGCTGTTTATAAGCGAATAAGTTTGTGTATCCGTCAATGTCTATTCTGTTAACAAGAATAAAGCACCCGGCACGGTAAACAAATGAATCGTGCCAGGAGGTCAAACACAGCTTCTTGTACTGGCACCACAGAAGCAGGGGAATGTGTATCTAACCTGTTTGTAGCGTAACAGGTGTGAGGATGTGCGTGAGTTGAGCAGCGCAGTGAGAACATGGCGAACGCATCCCTGAAGCTCTCTCTCCAACGCCGTCCTCCACTCGGCCGGATGGCGTTCGGTACACTTGGTGCACGTGTAGGCAACACTCTCTGGCAGCTTTGATAGCAGCTCATACATTTCATCTGTGGGGATAGAGAAAGATGTCTTCAAGCATCTCATTGGCATGACAGCCGTCACAGGACCGCCTGTCAGACAGCCAGCGGCACGGAGAGCGATATCTGACGAGGCAAACGGACGTAACAGGTGCTGCTGAATACCAAACACGGCATGCGGTTCTAGTTTGAATGTGGTCTTCTACCTGGCTTTTTTGGAAGTCTACTGACCTGTCAGACTCTCACACTTGGCATGGACCCAATGCTTGCAACGGCCGCACTCCATCATCTTACTGTCATAGTCATCGTCATCGTAGCACTTGTCACACAGTGGGCAGAAGTTTCCTAAGATAGAGAAGATGGTAACCGGTACAGCGTTTTCCAATGTTGTAATTTTGACCTCTGTAACTGATGAACCCTTCAAAATCCAGGTGAGATTCTTATCATTGTTACCAAATACCATTGGTATGTAAAGACTCCTTAAATGAAGAGCATTTTGGATTCAATGTGCTTGTTACTTACCTTTAGCAAAGAGTTTGGCACAGTCATGACACATGGAGAAGTCATGTGACCACTGGGCATCCCAGGACTTCCCAGGTTTAGTGGCTCCACAACTCTTACAACGCACACATTTGGTGCACACCTGTAAAAGAAAGAACACATAAACGAGGTGCAAAAGCAGTTGAGCAGGCGAGGGTGGTGTGAAAGCGACATTATGAGTATTGAAATGGTTTCATAGGAAAGTGTGTGAACAAAAGGAGAGGTTATGTGTGAGCATAATGCTAGTCGGGTGAGGGCGAAGAGCAGAATGAATGGACAGTGTAGATTTTCATACCCAGACTCTCTTCTTCTTGGTGGGTCTAGTCGGGTGGTTGGGACCCAGGCACTCTGGGTGATAGCTGTTACGGCACTTATCACACTCAAGCAGCTGCTGCTACAGTGACAGCGGCCAGAAAAGAGATTACATTATTTAAATATGACAAGCGGTAACATCCAAATGTTCATCCCTAACAAACAGCCATTTCCATTCAAAGCTAATTAGATACAACATGTAATGATGACTTCAGACAATCAGTAATTGTTTTGAAATCAATGAAGGGGTTGGATGCAGCATTCAAGTGTTTTCAAAAGAGGATTCACTTTATGAAGATATTTAACTAATATGTGGAACACAACAGGCTTTACTGCACACACCAGGATCCATCCCTGCATACTGAAAATAAGCACCCATGAACAGTTAAATGGTGTTCCATAAGACTTTCTATTTCTCCGGCTATTAAATTCTCATTAGTGTTTAAGGAGCATTCAAAGTTAGTAGTATCTCTATTTGTCCCCAACAACTTACACAAGGGTGCACTTGCATCCGCATTAAGGTGACACGATACACATTCATGCCAATGACTTCACACCATTCTACTTATCTACGTAAATACAGCAAAAGCAGGTAAGAAAACGACTGCTGCTGAACATGGATATCAACAATGCAGGCTTCAAAAAAAGTCAGTGACGAAGAAATGGGTGCTCCAAAAATCCATAATACTTCATTCTGACCTCTCAGATCATCTGTTGCATTTGTGTAACAGACAATAACCAACAAATCCATAGACATTCTGAACATGTAACCACAGTACCAAACAATCAAACGAGCGTGATCCTGAAATGAAAACCACTGAAGGCTCACACATGCACATTTCAAACAGGACATCGGTTAACAAATAAAATCCTGGCAGGAATCCAAGAAGCTGATTAAGTGCTGTCTGCTGGCAAGACAAGCAGGCTTCTTTCTATGAAGAACTCAAAAGCCTTTACACAAAGTCTCTACAATAAGCTTATTATATGCACATATTTAACATGAAAAGAACTGTACTGAATGGCTTACTTTAGTTTTCTGGTGCTGGTGTCCGCAGGCCTGGCAGAACCGGCATCGTCGACAACACCAGTTCTCAAACTGTTCCTGGAGGGGGCGCTCTAACTCCCCCAGGCAAAAGAGATGGAACGGTTCACAGCACACCTGGCAGAAGACAAACTATAGATGGAGAGAGAGAAACAAAGAGAAATGCATGTGGGAGAAAGCAAGTTAGAATATAGGTTTAGCTATAACTCTGACATTACCATTTGAAAGCAACATTCTTAAAACAACGATGTGATTTTATTGACCTCAACATTTCCACTGCTTGCACATAGGAAGCAGAGGACCCGGGGCGTGACAGGCACAGAGGTGAGCAGGCTGAGGCCTCCAGCCTCCCAAACCTTGTCCACATCAAGGTCTCTCTTGAAATCCACTCTGATACGATGCACTCCGTCGCAGGGCGCTCTGGACTTCGCCTGGCCCCTAGTCGAGGGAGTGCTTAGCCAGTTTAAAGTACTGCTGCTGGGGGGTTTGGTGGTCAGCGGCTTTGCCATCAGACGAGAGGAGAGGGACAGAGGGTTGAACATCAGAAAAAGATACTTGATAAGTAGTGTGGATTTAATATTTGAGATGGAATTGTGTAGGAATTTTAAAAAGCAATTGGATGCAGCTCACGCAGTGACCTCTTCTCACCTTGTCTTTTGTTCTCTGTTTGGGAGATGGAGGAATAGAACGGGAAGCTGGCATCTGTTTTGCTTCACCTATGAAAAAGAGACAAAACACAACATTCAAATTAGAACATAGCATATAAAGTGTGCATTTATTTTGAAAAACATCCATTAAATACAAGTTTGGAACCATTTTTTTACCGATGTCTGATGTAGTTGTAGTTAAGCTTTGCTGTTGCGACGAGTGCTGCTGGGGCTTCTTCTTGGGCTCGCTCAGAGAAATTTGGGAGGAAGCGTCTTTTCTCGTAGGTGCCTGACTGGTGAGAGAACGCTGCTGCTGCTGCTGCTGCTGTGACAGTTGGTGAGATTGCGTCGACTGGGAGGGGGAACTCTGGGCTGAAGACGACGGAGAGGAAGCTGATGAAGATGAGGCGGACGACGACGTGGTGGAGGACGAGGAGGACGAGGAGGAAGAGGAGGACGAGGTTGTAACAGACCGCTGCGGTTTGTGTCCCTTCTTGCTGGCGACACAGCTCGAGAGTGACAGCGGTTTGGCATCTGGCGTGAGGGCCGGAGACGGAGTCTGGGCTGCGACTGTGCCGGGCGCCTGTGGAGGTTCTACTGTGGCGGGGGAAGGTGCAAGGGCTGGAGAGGACTGCCTTGACAGCGGCTGCTGTCTCGACTTCTCCTCTCCTAACTTTAGCGGAGGAGTTTCGCTCTTTTTGCGGAGGGGCTCCTCCTTTAGTGGCGCAGGAGTGGGTTTAAGGCCGGACTCTGAGACCAGCCCTTTTCCTGGAATGACACCGTCTTTCTTCTCAGACAACTTGTTCTTTTTCTTGTCTTTCTTGCATTTGCCTTGCTTCGAAAGTAACATCTTTGAGGGCATCCACTGCAAGTTCTGACACTTCCTCATCCTGTAGACAGGGACCAAACCATTCAATTCTCAATGAAATCCATAAGAAATACATTTTGAGATGTTATTCAAGTCTCGCTTCATAATTATACGAATATATTGCAAAAACACGCTTGTCCACAAACACTCACTTGCAGCATTGCTTTTTAATGTTCCGTCCTCCAAATTTAGGCTTATCAAGACAGTTGGTACAGACACCACAGTCTTCTGGAACTTGGCAGCCTGAGCATTGGCCACAGCGCCGCGACCGACGCCCCTTCTTGGGAGGAGCTTCTTGAACCGCCTTCTGCCGCGTCTCCCGTGGCTTTAATGGAGGGGACTGAGGCTCCGCCTCCTCGGAGCCTGCTACTGATGACTTATCTGTAAGAGAAACACAAATGTCGGTATGAATCCGGGTACCGGGTTCATTTGACTGAAAGGTCTTTGGTTGGAAAACATTTATGAACTCATGATTTACAATATTTGAGGCAAAATGTCCATTAGATGAACCACATGTCACCATCATAGGTGACATGTATGGCAATAAAATGTACTAATTGTCTAACATTTCTGTTTCCAAATAAGACAGATTAAAGTGTAAAAAGTAGCCCATAGCTTTAAATGAAGAGCAAAACATTCACCTAAAACATATTTGAATACTTTAAATAGATTTAAGATAATGTGAGCTGTCCAGAAGCTCCACCCCATATCTAGAACACTAGATTTAATCTAGAACACAGATTCCTCTGAGTAAAAGACCAGGCAAACAAGGGCATTAGATAACTGACTGTCAGTCAATCAGAGTGAGTTACATTGAACCTTGTCATCCACATGCCAGTGGAGAGGTAAGTTGAGTGTGACTCACCATCATTCCCCATGGAAGATAGGATCTTCTCTCTCTCCTCCCAGGGCAAGGCACTAAGTGTGGGCATGTCGTCAGGGAACACGGCCCGATTACGGCCGAGGGCCACGGCTGCCCGGCGACATACGTGCTTGATACGTGGACCACGGACTGAGGCCTCTGACGAGTCACTCTCCTGACCCTGCTCACAAGTACACATCCACACAGGACGGTGAAACATTTTCCTTTTACATTATCTATATGTCATTTAATTTATTGCAAAAGTTTCAGGGAACCAAATAAAGCTCTCCTTTCTGTTGTTGGTTGGTGATGATGAGGATAATGAGGTGGCAGAGGAGACGGTTTGATACTTAATATTTGGCCAAGTTCAAGTAGGAAAGGAAATGTATTTTTATTGAAAATTGCAATGACTACCTAAAGTTTGGATTCACACCAAAGAACAAATTAGTATATTCTGGAAATACTTTCAAAGGACAGCTAGTGCTGCTTACTGCATAATGTATGAGGCGCACAGAATTCCCCGTCAGTAACACCCTCTTAGGGACTTTCTTACTATCAAGTTTCACTTTGATTCAAACACATACTTCTATTAATAGCAAATATTCATAGAATTGCTTGTGGTTTCATGATGAGGGTGAGAGAAAAAGGGAAGCTTTAAGGGGACAAAATAACTATGCGGCAAAGCACGAACAGGAAAAACTGACCTGGCCCTTTGTCTGCTCTGCAGGCTTCAGTTTGCTCTTCTTTATCGCAAAGAGCTGAGCTTTGGCCTTCTTTAGTAGTCCAACTACACGCTTGTCGGTCACAGGCTGCTTCTCTGCTTGTGCCAACATTGATCCAAGCGAGGAGACAGGGGGCTGTTGTCTGCCTGGCTGCCCTGGAAGGCTTGCGGTCTGCTGGCTAGGAGCACTTTGTTTCTCCTTCTCCTTTTCCCCATCCTCCATCTCTGGTCCTTTCTCAGAGGATCTGTTCTTCTTAGATAGACGTCCTTTAGCAATAGATATGGGAACAGTGGAATGGGGCCCACGGACGTCTGAGGAAGCAGTGTCAGAAACTGTGTCAACTGACGTGGATTTCTTTCTCCCTGGAGCCTTTTTTGGAGCAATAGGCTGAAGAGCATCTTCGGAGTCCCTCCCATCCACAGTAAACAGGCTGGAAGGTGTATGGGGGGAGCCGTCTGGTGTAGAAACCTTACTTCTTTTCTCCAAGTCCTTTCTTGCTTCCCTCTTGTTTTCCTTTTCTTTCTCTCGGTTTCTCTCAGAATCCCTTTCTTTTTCCTTTTGGGCAGGTTCCTGGGGAGCTGACAAGGTGCTTAGGTCTTTACCTCCTTTCCCAGCTCCTCGCCCTGTGTCCTGGGCACTGGAAGGAAAGAGAGGGAAAAGTGGGGAAGATGTGGATGACGTAGTTGACAAAGGAGCTGGGTTTCCTGCAGCCCCTCTCCTGCTATCAGTTGGCCCTTGAGGGGCCAAACCAATGGATACGTTGGAGAAGGTGCTGAATGGAGGAGTTAAGGCACTAGTGGCTGGTAGACCTGCAGGAACCCCTGGCAAAGAGCTGGGATTACTGCAGGGAACAGAGCCTGTCAGCACAGACATCTCGGAGGAGGAGCCTTTGCCCATCGACATCGGCCCTCCTATTTGGCTGCTGCGTCTGGTCATCGAGTGGGAGGGAGATCGCGGGTGCCCACGGGGTGTCCCCGAGACCAACCGCCTCCGGCGCTGCGAGCTCCGGCTGGAGCTCGACGAAGTCTGGTGCGGGGAGAGAGACCCGGGGCTGCTTCCGGAAGAAGAGTGCAAGGTGACGGACTCAAATATCCGGGAGTGAGCCTCGCTGGGTGTGAAGCGCGGCGCGCGGAGCAACGGGCTGCGCTTCTGCTGCGGCGGCGCGTCGAAGCGCGATGAAGACGGATGTTGGTGGTGGGTGTGTGGGTGAAGGGGGGGGAATAGACGAGTCCCCGTACCCGCTCCGCTGCCTGCCGCGGGGAATACCGCCGGAGCGGCTCCCCCCGCTCCACCGACACCGTGCGGCAACAACCCGACGTCCTGAGCCGTGAGTGGGGGAGGGCGGAAGTTGTCGAATATGGGCTTGCGGATGAGGCCCTCCTTAGCGTATTTGGCTGAGGAGAAGTACTGCTGTTCAGGGTGGGACAGGGACGTCCAGCGGAAAGTGGGCTCCCTCAGAATTGAGCGGCTTCGTTTGTCTGACAGGCCGGACAACACCGACGGCCCAGACAGGTACGGAGGGACGGGGTGACTCATCCAAGGCGACTGCGAGTGGTGTTCACTGATGGCGGCTGAGTTGGAGGACGCCGACTGGGGCGGCTGCGGCGGCGTGAGGAGGGGGGGAGGTGGCGGCGACGAAGAGGAGGAGGCTGTGGATGAAGCTTGCTGGGAATTTACATGTGCGGAGGAGGACATAAGAACTCCTGTTGGTGGGCTGATGATAGGTTTTTTCGCCCCAGTGGGGAGAGGTTCCCTCGCCCTCTGGCTTCCCCGGCCGCCCCCCTGCCCTCGCCGGCCTTGCCGACTCCGATTTGCCAACGCGTGCTCCGGCTCGGAGGGGGGAGAGGGTGGCCGTGAGCTGTGCAACAGGCCGGCTTCCCTCACTCCCTGCGAGGACGGCGAGTGATCCTCTGGCTCCGACAAGGCCTGTGTGGCCTCGGAAGCCTGGGAGTCGCACGATGAGTCGTCCAAGCTGGGGCTGCTAGACCTGGAAGACTCCGCGGAGGAGAGCTGGGAGGAGTGCTGCGACACGGCGCTCGAGGCGCACGACGCTGCGCTGCTGCTGAATCGCCCGTTGGAGGCGCTGTTGGTGTTGTTGGTGTTGTTGTTGTTGAGCAGACTGGCAGTTGTCGATGGAGCAGTGGGGAGAGACGCAGGGGGAGGGGCTGGAGGAGGAGGAGGAGGAGGGGGTAGGGAGTCGACCGGAGCCACGGTGCTGGCGCTTGCGACAGCTGGCGCAGAGGAGGCCAGTACAGGAGCGGGGGAGGACGAGGCGGCAGAGGTGGAGGTGAGTTGGGCAGATGTTGACACAGACGATGGGGCTGCTTCCAACCGCGCTATCTTCATATGGGGTGGAGGTGTTCCAAAGTTGCCCTCGTCTTCAATGAAGCGCTTGGGGGTTTTGATGATGCGAAGGGAGACGGTGCTGACCACGGGCATGATGAACTGCCGGATGTTCTTCAGTTGGGTCTTCCTGATGCCAGAGTCGACGGCTCCTGTCCCACTTCCCCCAATAGAGACAGCCTCTTTCTCCAGCCGCTTCTGCGCTCCTTTCTTAGCGCGCTGCAGCAGCTGCTTGGCGATGGTTGCATCAGTGCGTTTGGAGGAGGGGACAATCCGGACAGGCTTTCTATGGCGCGGGCTTTTTCTGATGCCCACCGCCTTGGAGGGCGACGAGGAGGCAGGTGGATTGGAAGAGTACTCGGCGCCATCTGCACTCCTCGGCGGCCCATGCTGGGGAGTGTGTGGTTCTGTGCCCCTGACCCGGAAGGCCTTGTGTTCCTCACATTCAAAGGAGGTAGACAGCTGTGCAGCAGCAGCAGCGGCGGCCTCCGCTTTGAGTCGCTCAGCTGAGGGCGGTCGCCCGCGTCTGCGTCTTGGTACACCGGGCAAAGTCTTGAGCCTTGACTTGAGAGGACTGAGTTTAGTCGCCCTCAGCCTCTTTAGGGTGGTAACTTTGGATTCCTCCCGCCCACCTTTGGGAAACCTGGACTCTGTGTCATGTGGCTGCCCAGAGCCCAGTGGCGTCCTCTTGGCGCCCTTCCTGTCCTCCTCTGTTTCCATACCCAGCTCAGTCCCTGCCTGCCTTCTATCCTCCCCTGCTGCATGGCTGCCTGTGCTCCAAGCTCTCTTGCTACTTGAAGACGGGGGTCGACCCCTTCTCTTTTCCCCGGTGCCAGGTGGCCTTCCAGGCAGCCTTTTCACCTTCTCAGCTGGCCTTTCAGGGCCTTCAGCTTTCGCCTGTGTCGGGGAGGGAAGGGAGGATGGGGAAGGTTGACCAGCAGCAGCTTTCTGGGTAGTGAGGGCCCGCGGGGGGCGGCCTCTGGGCTTCTTCTCCTGTATGGCTAGGCCTGTTGGAAAAAAAAACAGAGCAAAATGGATGCCATTTAATAATCTAGGGGTGCATTTGATAAAGACAACATTAGGTTATCTGATGGATCAGAGTTACTTTTAAGTGACTTTACCTAAAGGGGGTGTTGAAGGGCTCTGTATTCTGTTTTGCTCAGCCACCGGTCCAAATCCTCGAAACGCTTCTTCCTACAAATAGAGAAGAAGAAAACCTATTTCGATTTTTTGACCATACCATTTTTGCGACGCTAAAAGACAGGGAAAAAAGCTGACTTTTAACCAGCTGATTAAAAAGGTCACAATTACAAAGATGTTTGAGTCATTTTTTGAAGTCTGACTCAAATGAAGACCAGGCTACGGGCTACAATGATTCCCTCAATCTCACATGATGCCGTGACATCGCTGTTATCATGGAAACGATTCATCTCCAAGGAAGCTGAGGCTGACGGGATTTGAGTTTTTCTTTAGTAAAGGGCATGCTTGGCCTGTTACATTAAATCAAATAGCATCTTCAAAGACAGAGACATTCAGTTCATCCTTCAAATAGTTGTCACAGTATACTGCAAACTGCATTTTGACGGCCTGACCTTCTCGCATCAAGGTCAACGTTTTCCACCCATCACTCCAGGATTCAAGACATAACTGCTTCCCATGCGCCGTGAGTCCCGTTCTTCTGTTATTACCTTGGAACCAGTGCCATTTAAGAAAGACTCTTTGGCCGTCTGCCTATCACTGGGTCTAATGGTGTGTCTTGATATTTCACTTCTATTATATTATGCCAAAAAATATATTCTTTTGGACTTCACTTCAATGCTGGCGGCTCCCGAGATGACGCATGCTTCTGTAACTGTGACATTTACAGAGTAGCTTGTACATCAATCCGTCCTCGCCTGCATCAGAAAAGCCTTGAGATGTGCAACACAGACATCATTAGAAAATGGTTAACATCTTCCGTATCCTGATCCATGGCACTTCTTCTTGTAATCAGTGTGTGTGTGTTTAAGAGCGGAGGTGAGCATGTCATTTAATCATGTTTATTTATAGCAACGTGAGGGGATGCAGTCGAGGTCTCATTGGCCCACTTTGTAGAGCAGCTGCTATCCAAGTGTAGTACACGCGAGTGTGTGCACATGCAAACTGATTACACACATTTGAGTGTGAATAATTCATACCTCAATGTGTCCGAAACACATTGCAAAAAAACAGTATTAAAACCACTAATGTGCACAACAAAAAAAGTGTCTCTTTCATCATATATAAACAAACAACAATAACAAACAGTAAATAGTACTGTTTATCCTGGCAGGCAATACTGATCCAAACATCGTCCTCATGCTTCCCTGTCCACTTACAGTCTGTCAACCACCCCCCACTAGCCCCCATCTCTGTTCACCATAATACCAGCATCCTCTCCTCTGTAAGCAAGCTGCTGCTGCTCTTGGCTGGTGTCGTTGCAGAGCAGAGGGGGGCGGAGTGCCAACGGACGGCTCTGACTCGCTGTGATAGTGAGTGCGAGAAGCAGTCAATGACATCACAGCGAGCATGGAGCGCATTGCACTGATTTGTGTACACGCGCACGTGTACCTCCTGATGCCCTCAGCCACGCTCACGCTGGGGGGGTGGGCGGGAGGGGGGTGGGGGTAGTTAAACAGTCACACACCCCTTGCGCGTGAACTGCACAGCAAGATGTAAACATGTAGGACATAGGCGTGAGGATGCGGGGGAGGGGAGCACAGGCGAGGCCAGCGAGCAAACATGAGTGAGAAAAAGGAGGGGGGCTGTGCGAGGAGGGCGGGGAGGAGAGGGATAAAAAAAAAAAAAAAGAGACCAGGAAGCAGCGTTTTGACCACATGCGCCGTCAACAACAGAGTGCGCAGTCGTCTCCAGGGAGCAGTGATGATGAAAAGGGGGGGGTCGGGCTTTCTACATGCTCAAGCAAAAGCTCGATCTGAACGGGCCTCCCACGCACGACAAGCCTCCCCTTTGCTCTCCCTTATTCCCGTTCCCTGCTCCCAAACACATATTCAGTCACTCGCACGCTCGCTTCCCGCCCACTGGCTTGTGAGCACAGAGCGGCAGCGTGTGAAACGCAGTGCTCACTGTGAGCTCCCTAGTGGAGGCGCAAGGAGGCAACTCAGAGAAGTAAACACTGTAGTAGACCAGCAAAGAAAAGGGTCATGCACCGCATTGCCTTGCGGCATGCGAAGAGGTAAGAGGGATAAGAGGGATTTCTTTATTCTTTTTCTATTTCATCAGCTTCAGAGGGTGTTTTCAATAAGACGGTTCATCTTTGCAGGCTTTTCCAGTCTGCTCTTTTGTCACAACTCACTTAACTGATCAGTGCTTAAATGACTTGATTTAAGTCACTCAAAGACAGAGAAAAGGAAACGCATCTGAGTCATTGTGGAAGCATAGTCATGGTGGGACAGGTGGGACAGTCCCTGGAAGCTATGAGACGGGGGTGAGAGGGTTTTGAGATTCACCCCTATATATCGGTTTGGCTCTGACAACGGAGGGACTTTTTACCGCCTTTCGTGGCCACATTTAGGAGAACTCAAAGTGGTTAGAGACAATGGGCTGCCGCACTGCTTGTTCGGAACTGGATATATTGTATATTCAGAGGGAATTTCACTTTGTGGCCTATGACTCATTTGACATGCCGTTGATAATAATTTAGCTTTGGTGAAAATTCCACTTCTGGCAATTGCTGTGATCCTCACCAATGTCGTCGTGCTAGATGGAAATAATGGGTCTAACGTGCGAAGAAGTTTTGTGTAGAATGTGAAGAATGTTTAATGTGCGCAAACGTGGCAAATAGGACTCAGTCTGATCTGATTCTGAAAAGGTGACTAGCAGTGGAGAAAGTGACTAATAAATAAATATTCATCTAAAGCAGCCAACCTTAAGGCAACGCTGCTTCTCAAAAAGGTGTTGAACTTAAACCGCAACCGAATGCCCAAATGCATGCTGCAACTGGTTTCACATTGATTTGGTAGCATACAGTGAGCATTTTTTTATGCTCAGAGTAGGAATGGAAACGATCACTTTAACGATTGACGTTTGAGCAGTCAAATACCTAAAACACCATCTATACCACTCTTGCTCTTGAGTCTAAGGGACAACATAAAAGGCTGGGAAGGACACACGGGGATGTGAATAATGTTTTGAGTTGAATTGGAAATCCAGACATCGCGGTTATGCAACACGCGCCTCACTCACCGGCCAACCGCCGCAACCTCCCCCCCGCCCCCCATGTACAATGTACACTGCACGCTAATTAACTAAAAGACACAGAGTGCAACTTTTAAATAAGCTGAAATTCATTGCTCAACATAACAAACACCCCTTGGTTACAGATTTAAAGCCACTGCAACCTGCCTATCTGGGCAATATACAGTATGGGATTTAATTTAACGTCAAAGTACTACAGAGTAATACGATGAGTTTAAAGTAAGAACCACGTTACCCACTCTGGGAAAAGGAAAACATCAGAACAAGTATTAAGGAGAAAGGGGAGAACTGACATTTGAAAGGGATGTCAAAGAGATGTGTTGTGTTTTCAGATTAGGACCCCGTCGCTTAGTTTTGATGTCAGAGAACACATCTTAAGAAGTCCTTCCGCACCAGTAGTCTGAAAAACAACATTTGTCCTCACACATTCCAGGAAGCTTTCTTCTTGGATTTACTGAACAGACATGATGCCTCATTCCTGCCTGGAATGTAAGTTGGTGATGAGCTCATACTCCATACGCCCCTCTGATCACACATCTTTTAGAAAAGTCACAGAGGAATTTGAAGCATAATTTTAAAAGATACTATAATACAAAGCAGCAAATATGAGTATTAAAGTGTTTCGGTCCAGTCTTAGTCATTGATTATAACTCCTTCCGTCCCATACCAGAGTGAGGTACACAACGGCGATGGCTTGGTGACCCGTTATCCGGGAGCAAAAGGTGGACATTTGTTTTTTCCCCCTCAAGTGTCCCAAACACTAGCTGCAACTGTTCACATTTGCTTGACAGCACACAGAGCAAAACAAACACTTTGCAGGGCAAGATGACTCCTTTGCGCACAGGAGGACAGTCAACGGACAAAGACAAACAGACTGACTGGAACGCAAGCATAGTGTGTGTGTGTGTGTGTGTGTGTGTGTGTGTGTCTCTCTCCCACCCACCCAAGTGGGCAGCTTGAATTTAAGTTCTAATCAAAATAAAGACAAAGAAGGCACGCCTAGTCCTGAGTGCAATAGGGGACATAAAGTCTAACACCCCTACCACCATACACACACACACACACACACACACACACACACACAAAGAGTAAGAAAGACAACACAATTGCCGCCTTTCTCCCAGTCAGGGAGCTCCTAAAGCATTCTGCTGTAGCAGAATAAAGCCATGGCTGGGAGGGTCTGTGACTAATTCTCCACCCAGCGTTGTCCCGTTGTGAGGAGGGGGGTCGCCCCGCACTCTTTGATATCCCTGCCTGTGCTCTTTCAGCCGGCCGTACTTTGTGAGAGCTAGAATAAAAGCAGACACAAAGCTTCCTGCTCCTATCCACACGCTGTCTCGGGGATGGGTAAGCGGGTGGGGGGGTGGGGGGGGGGTCTTCCATTTAAATAGGCCAAACACCTGCTGGACTGAAGCCCCTTCCGCTCAAACACACTATTTCTCTCCAACCAGTGAGGCAGAGAGACATTTTGGGTTGATACATCTATTCAGTTGTCCATTTATATGAATGATAAAACATTGGTAATATGTGAGTGGAATAGATTCAGCAGAAGGCAATATTAATGGTTTAACAAAGTTATCGGGGGTTATACAGTCACACATTTACAAAATAACACACATCGACTGCACTCTGCACCAAAATAAGCAGCAGCAATTTGGCCAGATTAAGAAAATGAATTCCCTACACACATACAAAAGCTAACAAATGCCCTCATTTGGACAGCAACAGCCGACAAGTGGCCTTTTGAGTCACCCAATAGGGCTTAGTAATCCATTTCCAAAGTGGCAGCTGTCAGGAGAAAAAGTTGTTCTGCCTCTCAGACAGGGTTGTGTTTTTCTGAAGTGGATTTGGGTCTTTCAGCCTGGATGGGGGGGGGGGGGGGGGGGCTGGCTAAGTGTCCGGCTGGCGCTCTGTTCAGGGTCGCCCCGTGAGCTCAGCAGGCTGCAGTGAGTCTGAACAATCCTGCCCTGGTCTGGCCAGACGGCCACTACACAGCCTCTCAATGAAACCACCATGCTGCATACGCAACTTCCACAGGCTTCAGGTTCCATGTGTGTCTCCACACATCCGATACTGCCGTGGGAAAGCATTACTCCTAACTACTTTAAAAGCCATGTGCTTATAAAGATGGTGTTTCAAACAACTTCACTAATATTTTATAATATCATAAAGCTGTGTACATTAAAAGAAAATCAAGGAAAACACTATTGTGGGACTGCAGGTTGCACTTAAATGTTATGTCGATGTACTCAGACAAAATAGTGGTTTAATCTCCCCATTGTCCACCTTTTAAATTAAAAAATGTAATCTCCATACGTTTTGCACACTTTCCTTATAACTGAAGTTCCCTTGTCATTAATGGTAAAGTTTACACAAATCCAAAACAATGCTACACTGATATTGTTGGCCATATGATATTTTGAATATAGTGCATGTTTCTCTATATTAGAAAACGTGTCAAAGTCAAAAGTACATCTGTAAACATTTCCAAATCACGACTCAAATGCATGTAAAAACAAGTTCAGAATTTGAAAAAAAAAAAATATATATATATATATATATATATATATATACACATAAATGGCTAACTAATATGCATGTAAATAAAGCTGTGCGTCAACGGAATAATCGGCCTGCGGAGCACCTGATCTGGTGGTAAACATCCCCACACATTGTAACGTTACTCCCACTGCCATGAACGCATGCTGCTCATCATGAAGAAGGAAGATGGTAGTTCGCTAAGGCGAACACACCCCCACATCACACGGTCCGTCAAGAAGAGGCTCGTTGTTATTGTAGCCAGCCCCTGCACGAGCACTGCCACTACCAAGTCACATTTTCTGATAATATAAAATAAAAAATCCATTTAAAAAAAGCGAAGCCAAATCATACACCAAAACCCGACAGATATTATTTTATTCGCACTTCGGCTCCTGAAGAGGGCGATTTTGGAGCATCCGGCTGTGTAGCAGACGGTCTCTCCAAAAGCATTATACAACCCGATAATATTTTGGTAATAGCTTCGTACTGACTGTGTAGAGAAGGGGAAAACATGTCCACCTCCCATTTTCCCTATGCATCAGCAATAGCCCCGGTGGCTAGCGTGGCGTAGTGCGTAGCATGGTAGCTGACTCCTAGCTTAACCCCAAACAGCATCGGTAATGATGTATTGGTTTTTGTGTATGAGCTCCGCCAACTTTAGCCACGGTGCTGTAGCCCGCTGGGTAGCACTGTGCCCAGCGAAGGTACGGCCAAACACAGAGGAGCAATCTCCGGCCAACCTGCACCTTTAGCATCGCTCGGGACGGGAGGATATTGCTGTAGTTTTAGCTGTGAGATGTGGACAGCTAGCCTGCGAGCTAACCAATCAGCTAAGCGTTATGTTAGCCAGAGCCTCGCTGGAAGGCTGACACCTCTCACTGCAAGCAGCAAGCCCCGGAGCAAATGTGGGAATTACCAGGCTGTTAGACGTTAGCTGACAAATATAAGCGAATGGAAAGCTGAAAGCGAGTCAATAACGAGGAGACCGTTCTTGGATATGTTGTAGACGGACGCCAAATTCTCGTTAGCTCGTTACAAACCACAATTGTGCACTCTCGCCTCCTTCAAAATGACATGTCTTCTTTCCAAACATATTACACGCTATCTTGAAGGTCCCGTGTTATTACACCATGGGGAAACAACAACACGTTTAAATCCTGTTCGGAGTATATATAAAGATTGAAGCCAATTCAGGACGATAACTTTAACAGTGTTGATGTAACGTTACATGCTTTAGACAGGCAACATGTCCAGAATTGAAGGCTTTACGTCAAGCTAATGTCAAGTAAGCTAACAGTTAAGTCGTAACCTAGTTGTAACTGCGAAGTTACACATGGTTCTTGCTATGTGTTAACTGGTTAATTACAACATAAAGTGGGATTAACAGCGGGGTTTCTGTAGTGTTTTGGTCGGGATAGCAGAGTCCACATAAGCACCAAACCATCTGTGTGGATGTAGCCTGTCCTCTCACTCCACTGGGATGAAGAAAACTTTCTTTCCAGTTGGACCTTTCAGACCATAAATCTGATAACCACGTTGGTGTGTGTGTCGTTCCACACTAAAGTTAACATAATCACAGGTTACTGTGGAGTTTTAAGGCCACACGAACCACCGCAAAGTTAAACAGAGCATCCTGGAAAATGACAAGTTTGCTCATAGCCACAGTTAACGTGAGGAGGAAAAGATGGTCAACGTTCGGTCAGAGAGTAACCGTTAGCTTTCCACCTAAAACGGCTCTCCGGGGACACCGGACTCCGCGGTTGACTAACTGATGCTCCCGGGTTACCGTCGGGCTGCACCCGTCCTGTCCAGTGCTTACCTCCCCGCTGCTCGAGTCACTCGATTCCCCCAAAACATCCCGAAATGTCTGCAGGTTGCTCCCGATAACCGAAGAGACCTGTAGTGCAGCGTCAAAACCGGGTCCGAGCCCGGCGGCGTTCGGGTGGGCTCCCGAGACGCTCCGCAAAGAGGCAGTAACCCTTATTCGGCCCGCTCTCCTCCCGGTACCGGAGTTGCAGCTCCCTCCGGGCCGAGCGGGGAACCGCCACCGACAGCTGTGCGCCATTTTACACTCTCTGCCTGTCTGCCCCTGCGATCAGAGATACCTCGGTGGGCGGAACCCTAACCCAGCACTCCACATAAACAACCTCTACCACAGCGCTCCGCTCTCACTGGCCAACACGTCGTTATTCAGGTTGCGGGGCGGAACTGGAGAAACCCCGACAATGCATTTTCTCAGCGGCCCTATTCAGAGACTGTATGGCTGAATCCAAATCAGGTTCAGGGGCTTTGCCCGGGAAAGGTGCCTCGTACTTGAATCGCAAGGAAGGAGGAGACCGTTACCTTGCAAACATTTCCCCAGGCAATTAAAGTGAGAAGGTTTGTGCTAAGTGTACGAAGGTAAAAGTGTGTCTTTATTATACAAACAAAAAGAGCGAGCAAATTTCTTGCCAGGCAAACAAAAATAAAGTTTGTAAGTAAAACTATATACACTGAGAATAAATTATTTGTTAGTTTGGCTTATGAAACTACATACTTTTGCCTGCAGAACAAAAACGTTTGCCCTCAAAACAAAAAAATCCTTTGGTCTGGGATCAAAACGTTTTGCGATCTGATGGGTTTGTACGTAGTGGGCGGGGCTTACGCCGCCGAATGAACCAGGAGTTTCTACTGGTGGATCGACTGGGCGCTCGGTATCTGCTTCCACCATTAAGCTCTGACGGGAGGCGACTCTGAGGAGCAGTTGGTGACATCACATTAAGCAGTGACCTCATCTGATGTCACTGGAGGTTGTCGGGGTTACTTTATGATGCTACATGTCTGTGACATCACAAAGAGTACAGAAATAGCCCTTCGTGGTCACATCAGGTTATTTTTATATCTGAGGCCATATTTCTGAACAGGTCATATTTCTGAACAGAAAACGTCTGAAAAAACTGTTCTGTTATTATTTAGTTTGGCATTCACAAATATTAGCAAGTAAATATAAAATGAACGTTATCCATATTTAGGGATGAACTTGTCTTTTAAAATCTTTTCTTTTTTATCCATTTCATGACAGATGTTATCTACTGCAGTGAGAATTACTACATTTACAAGTGTAATATAGTGAACTCTGAAACTGAAAGATATTGAGAGAGCAAACATTAATTGTCACTTTGGATAAAGGCGTCAGCTATATGACATGTAATGTAATCTAACACACATTAGTTTGTATTGTTTACTCATACTGTACATCCAAAAGAAACATTTTATAATTACAATTAAAACAAAAATATTGCATTATAGTTTAACCCATGAAACCATTCAGGTGGTAGATATTCAACATACGAACACGCTTGGTTTTGAATTAAAAACATTTAATCCAAAAGCATCTCAAAAACAAGTTATCCCTCTTCTTTAATATTCTACCAACAGCCCCCCTGTATACCCTACAGAAACAAACTCATGATTATGTATGAAAGTCAGATGCTTATTTTTGACAAAGCTCTTGGTTTTAGGCACCGATTCTATCGATCATTTGTTTGCCGACATGTTAATATTCTATGCTTACACACAACAAACGTCTGTTCATAACGCTAGAGCAGAATACATCAGTTAAATGTGTCAATGTTAATTCATAAGATGACAATGATTTCAAATAGTATACATTGCAAATGAAAAAATTATTGAACACCGTACATTTGGTCTCTTTGAGTAGAATCATAACAAATATTCTTATTGTAAAGAACTTTAAAAAAAAATAATTGAGGTTGATTAGGTTAATTGAGAGAAAGGTGTATTAAAACGTGGCATTTCATATGTAAGTATGGTTCTGTGACTGCAATGCTAATTCTACACCTCGGATCTAGTTGTGTTAAATTTGGTGGAACGTTTAAGAACAGGCACCATGTTTTAGAAGGATTAAAAAATGAAAATTAAAAAATGTAGTATTGAAAGCAGTAGCAATGTGCAGTCGTTTTGTGCGTGTGATCACAGGGCACTTAACACACTTTGAACATGAGAATCAGTTTACTACTTGGATTATCAGGCATGTAGCTCTAGAGGGAGCTTCCTAAAACTGGTGACTTATTTCATGTACAATTCAGAGAAGTTGTGTGTCCGTGTAAGTCTGTAGTGTGTGCACAGCAAACTATCATGTTCCAGCAATGCCACCCGTAACTATCAAGCAATTGGAGTATGCATTCCAGCATTTCAAGATAAAGATACTGTAGTTTTTATAAGATAGACTTTGTTGTAGCCTGTATGTACCTTATTCTAAAAGGGTTTACTTGTAACTGAAACATAGTTTAAACCCACATTTCCAGCAACCTATTAGCATCAGCATTAGTTAGAAAGTTCTTAGACCCCATCAATGCCCTTAATTAGTCCCTGATTAAATCTAAGTTAATACAAAATAATAATGTTCACAGTATGGTTTTGTGCTTCAGGTGCTGTATTACAGTGAACACTAGTTTAAACATGTAAATAAAAATTATTTTCAATAACAAAAAAAAAAAAGTCCCACACAATTAAATTCTGCTTTACTCGTGCCTCGTCTTTAATTAAAATGTACATTTACAACACAGCCTTAGATTTTAACAACAAGAGCTGAAATGTAGGGTGTTCAAAAAACGTATTCATCCATTTGAAATCAAGGTGAAATCATAGTTCATAGTTCAACAGTTCCATCCATATTAAGCCTCCAGAGTTCCCAAAAATACTTACCTTCCAGTATAAAATGTGTTTAGGGCCAGCTGTTCAGTCCAGAGTTCATAAAGCACATTCAACAAGTCCTGTTGAAAATGATAGTTCTGGCCACAGTTCTGATTGCAATTATAACTAATTAATACATAGTTTTCAGGGAGGAACAATTGATTGGATTGATTTGAAGTTGTCACCAGCTGATGGGCTGCAGTTGGCTGCACCGTTGGACAGAATCCACTGAGCGTGAAGGCTGCGTGAAAAGGCTAATGCGATCTCAAGTCTCACCGTAGAAGAACCAGAAGAAATCCAGAGGCAAGCACATTATGGATTAGCCAAGAAGCAGAAGAGCACTCGAGATGTGAGCCGGTAGAGAAAACCGGGATGCGGTCATTGTTTTTCGCAGCGAGGGATCCCGGCCTGGCTAGCCACTGGGTCCCACCTGCATCCTATCCTGCGTATGTGTATCCAGCCACTGTAAGATCTGCTGTTTGAGTTCCTGGTTCGGCCGGATCTGGTCCATGGTGAGAGGACTTCGGTTGAAAGGGTCTGTCTGGTCACTGCGAGGAGGACATCATAAATCTATTGTTGCATATTTGACTCCAGAACACCAAGTTTAATTTCTGACCAATAATAAATAATATCGACCAAACTAGATAACAAAAGATCCCAATAAAGTCACAGACGTCTCACAGAAAAGACAGATAATGACAATCATATATAATGAATTCCGGTGTCTTGTAGGAAGTAACTAACCTGAGGAGATGCCTTGCTATGGTTGAGCGGTCAACTGTAACATTGGAGGAAGGGAGAAGAACGGGATCGAGCATCAGCGTGGACATGATGGGGTCCAAGAACTCATCTGGGGCATCTGCATACGTCTCCTCATCCTGCAGCTGTCTATCTGCATGGGACTAAAACAGAAGCACAAGGACAACAACATGTTTGAGTGTTCCCACCTGTATCGCCCACAGGAATCACTTCACACTTCACCAGATTTGTAAAAGATAAAACATACATTCTATTGCTATTTGGCAAACATCAATCAAATGATACCTTTATTTTGTCAGCAAGGAGCCCAAAAGCCAGAATCATGTCTCCGGGCTTGTTTATCTTCTTCAGCACTCTAACTGTTTGGGAGAAGAGGGTGGGAGAGTACGAGCGTCCATCCTTTGGAACTCTAGCACAGAAATTCTCCTCATCACTGCCAAACACAGAACAAAAAATTGGAAACTACAATAGTTATTATACTCAGCAATGTGTGTTTCTGCTCCAAGGGATATGGCACCCATACAATCTGGACTTTGAAGAAAAAATATCAACTAGAGACACAAACCTACCCGAGATTGAGGAAGATGGTGCAGATGTCAGAGACAAGCTGCTGGGGCTTGAAGTCAAACTCACTGAAGTCCTTGACTTTAAGTGCCCCCATCTTTGGTCCCACCAGGTGCTGAAGGAAGTAATTCAGCAGGGAGATGACCCTCTCAGCCAGGAAGGGGGGCACAAAGATCTCCTTGATCTCTGAGGGAAAGAAAATACACACACGGAACGGATGAAGGCAAACTTTAAATGAGGGAATCAATGTGAGGAATCCAATTTTTTTTTTCCTGACAGACCTGACGTGAGGAAGGCCAGCGTGCCGATGGTCTCGTTGGACATGATATTATGGAAGCGTCCCAACTGTCCGAGCATCTGCAGGCTCGACTCCTTCTCCTTGCGGGCGTCGGGGGCCAGTCCTTCCCACTCCCCTCGATCCCGTTCCAACTGCAGAACTTTGATTTTACTAAGGTACTGTGGGATAGGAAAATGTACTTGAAGATTGAATAATATAAACAAAATATATATATATATATATATATATATATATACGGGGGGGTGTTTGGGGTAATTTCAAGTGGGTGGGGACAAACTAATCCATTGAATAAATACCAGACAAACAGAAGTGGACATATTACAGCAGTTTGTCATATACCACATATGAGAGTAATGTGACAGAAAAGCTTATCTGTCGGGTGTCGACTTTTCCCTGTATCGCCGATCTTACCTGAATAGCCTCATCCAGTAGAAAGGTGGCATCATTCATCAGTAAATTTAGGAACCGGAGGAACAGAGGGGGGTTCATGGCCTCCAGGTTCTCGGACGCATAGTGCGCCAAATGCTGAAACACGAGGTGTCAATCCACATGAAAGCATATTGGGATCTTCTGCTAAATGAATGCATTTCTTTTTCTCAATCGTTCTTCACTGATGCTTCTCTCAAAGTCGAACACAATTTGAAGGAGATGTGGTGAGACAGTGAGGAAAAACAGCGTATCTGCAGCTTACTATAATACACCTCATGGCATACACCTGCTTTTTAGTAGAGTGTTTCTGGTGTTACTATTCTTAAAGAAAGATATTTAAGGAGTTTCAATCAAGCTGAACTGTGATAAGGACATCATTAGACTTTTGAGGGGATTCTCATCAACCACATGGGGGAAATACCAAACTACCAAAAAAAACTAAACATGTGAGCCACTTTTTCAAAAGGTCATGAAATAATTATTATGCCAATAGTTTACATTTTGAAAAGAGTTTACTTTGAGGAAAAAGTGAATCTTTACCTTGATACTCTCTCTGTAGTTATCTTTGCCCCACATGAACTTGAGAATGGGATACATGGGTCGCCTGTAGTTGAATTTCTGTTCAAACTGATGAGGATCACCTGAAAAAATGAGGGAAACACATTGAATAACTACAAAACTGGTTAAATAACTATTTGTTTTCTCTTCATCCAGCTTATCTTCTTATTGTGATAATTATCTTAAACCCACACAGGTGTTCATACACAACCCGCCTCCTTCACCTGAATAAAAAAAGACTCCAAATGATAGTTGGAACTTTTCCTTTCTTCTTGTAAATGTTGTGCAACCTTTTGATCAAATAGCCTTTAATCAGGTTCTTTTCAAACCTTCCAAGAGTGCATACTTGTTACAGCACCTGTTAAGCAATCTGAATGTGCTTTTATAGTTCAGGAGTTCAATGCAACTTCCATCTACAAGTAGCAGCAGCGAATCAAAACCTATGAGGAATACAACACCTGTGAATTCAATGTCGACAAACACAGCGATGAGGGCCTCAGCCAGCTGAGGTGCGTGTCTATAGGAGCAGAATACTCTCTCTCGCTGGAAAACGATTGGCTGAATAGCACCAGGAGCTACCGGCTCCATGTGGGGCATCACCGCCTCTAAGACCTCTGCAAGCTTTGCTCTTAAATGAGGGTTCTTCATCCTGTTGTGTATACAGGACAAAAAGAGATTGAAGCAAAAGGTCCAAGGGGGTTTGCACCATTCAAGCCCCATTGGGCACATCCAATATTCTGTTCAAGCAACACGGCCACTGACAGAGCAGATTAGGACACGTACCTCTCCATGTTACCCATGAAAACAGTGACAAAGTTAAGAATCTGCTCCAGACTTTCTGCGGAACTCTCCAAAACGTCGTCTGCAAATCGACGCAGGAAGATGAAAAAATCTCCCAAGTTCTCTGCAAAGAATTCTGACAAAAAAATAAAAATAATTAATTTGCAGCATAATGAACAACTGCACGACGAGTGACCACCCACTTCCTTACATGCACATTCAGTTCAGTACATTTTGTAGTATCAGCTGTTTATTCCCCATCAGGTCCAGAAGTATTTCAATTTGAATTGTTTTCAAGTGGAAAGAAATCTTTATGAAAAAAATGATTTGTTGAAATTCTGTAATACATTACATGCTAGCAAGTCAGTCATCCACGAGTAGATACATACTGTAACATTTATGTGTCTGCAAAAACAACTTTATGTACCTGGAGCGCCTTGTCTACCATGTGAGCTATCGGGGCACAATCATGTGTCAATTCCATTGTTTTACATGCACTAAAAGGTCAATAACAACCCCCCCCCCCCCCACCAAAAATAATAAACTTGTCCTCATTCAATCCTGACAAAATTAGGAGAAATTACACACCTCGGTTCAGTCTCTAACAATGGAAGCTGAAGTTGGGTTTTTAGATCCAACCTACCTGGTACATAGCAGAGCATAGTCTTCCGTAAGGAGGAAAGGGGGAAACTGAGTGCTACATGTTCAGGCCCCTGGTTCCCGACCCCGAGCTGAACCAGCAGGGCAGCCGTGGAGGCTTGGAGGTTAAGGCAGCATTGCAGCATTGCAGGCTGCGTGCTGGCGGCTTTGGTTGAGAGGTAAACAATCATCAGACGCTCAAACTGCTCCAGAAGCTGCTCTGACATGGGGTTGCCCGTTCGCTGGGACTCCTGCCACGTCACCTGGAGCCGGTGAAGAGTCTGGTTCATCTTCACCATCTGCTCGTGGAGTCTGCACAGGTGCGCGGACACACACACACAACAATATTGTTTATTGCTGACGAATGACATGTGAGGAAAAGACAGCACGGTACATTCCTTGGGGATCTGTGAGACAGAAACTTCATCTTTGTGGACGTTGTGCTGCCGCTTGTTGGAGAGTACCTGTGGAAGCCTAGGTGCAGGGTGAGCTGCGTGAGGATGAGGTTTTCAGTCAGGAGGCTGTAGGACTGCACTGACTCCACCGGCTGCTGAGGGGGGACGGGGATCAGACAGGTTTCCTTGTCGAGACCTGGTACAAGACATTGGGGCCAATGTAGTTATGGAAAGGTAACGCTGTAAAACACAGAAAAAAACAAATAAAAAGAGAAGGCGACGATGCCCATTTTCACTCGTATGAACCTGTTATGTGCACGTTGCGATTGCGCCTCTCTTCTTCGCTCAGCTCTTTGAGGGCGCAGTAGGTGGGGTTGAAGGTGAGCAGTTTGTTGGACCGTGGCTTGCAGAAGGGCTGGCACAGCTTCAGTAATGTTGTGCCCAAGTTTAAGAAGAACGCGTCTGAGGCGTACATCTGGGAGAAGATCTCTGGCATCTGATTGGCCCAAATCTTGGCCCGGCCAGCATTCGCCTGCAAACAGCTGCCCAACCACGAGAGCAGCAAATGGCGAGTCTCACCAGATCGCTGGAGCAAGTTCTTCAAGATCTGGTGCAGCTTGTCATGAAACTGACCCATAAACTGGAACGTAAGGGGAGCAAACATCATAAGGCCTAATGCATTTTTAGTTTGGCAATCACGTAATGGTTTAATATCTATAGACGTAACATAAAATAGCCACATGAAACTAAAGAGTCTATTTACCTGATGGATGTTGGCTTCCTGGACCTTTGTCTCCTGGGCGCTGGAGCGGGAAGGGTTCAGGAAGTAGCCGTGTCCCTCCACCACACCTGGGGTTTTCAACAAGCAGGATATACTCAACACTGCTCCCAGTAGGGTCTTCTGGTACTGCAAACCATTAGCTGGGTCCTTAGGTTGAATGTGGTGCACCAATACCTTTGGGAAAAAAAGGAGAAGCACAGTGAAATAGTATGGCACTACAGTATGTCTGATTACAATGATGTGATTACTGCTTATTATTGCATATTAGTTGGCCAGTAGTGGGCACCTAATATACAACTACATTTACAAACATCCCTGTGTGTCTCCCGACCTTAGCGATATCCGCATGGTGGCTGAAATAGAGCAGAACATCTAGGTAGGTGTAGAGGAGAGGCTGGCACAGGTCCAAGTCTTTGATGCGTCCCTGGAAGATATCCAACACTGGCACTATCACCTCCTCGAAGGTACGCACCTCCTGGTCAGCGAGCAGGCCGGCAATGACCTCCTCCAAGAACTCAATCACCTCTTCTGGCTCTGAAACACAGAAGACTGTGTAAGAAACGTAGTAGACCAAAATTCTAGGAACACTTTAGCAGAGAAAACCAGAGAAATAGCATGAACATTGGAATCCTGAACCTACGTGATCCATCAAAACTTTCCAGCAGTAGGTCCAGAAGCTGTTCGTAGATATTCTGGCTGACGTAGATCTCTGGGGTGAGCAAAACTGTCCGGGTGTTCGAAACCGTCAGGTTCTTACAGCGAACAGCGAACGACAGCAGCTTCTCTGGTACCTTCGTCACCTGACGCACAGATAATTAAGTTATTACGGAAGAGGACGGTTTTTTTTTATGTGTTAATTAACATGACGAGTCTGATAACAGCCGTGAATCTCTGAAAAAAAAGGTCTCAATACATTTAAGTGCCACAATTACAGCCCGGTAGAAAAAACATAAAACACCTCTTCTTTGGCCCTCTGGTAACAGGCAAAAAGGTACGGGATGGCTCGCTTCTGTCCAGCATCACGGTCAGCGGACAGGTTCACAGCGCTGCACGACGTCATGTAGATGAGGTAGTTTCCGGGCTCCAGTACCAGCAGACGGTTAAACAGAGCCTGGAAGACACACATTTAGCACAGCGCTCACTCACACGTGTGTTTTCCAAGTACCTAAAATAATGACATCTTCCAATCAGTCAAGCTTCAATTTCTGTTTGCATTCTTTACATAATCAAGTGATGGCTTATAAACACGTTGGCATCTGACCTGTTCTATGTTATCCATGTCCAGCCAGTCCTGTCCATCCAGATCGGCAGCCATCTCTTCCAGGTAGACACAGCGCAGGGGAATCCCATTACCTCCTCTCAGACTGGGGTCACCTAGGGTGAATAAAACCAGGGCCCTTCAAATAAAGTAACGTCTAATCGAACTACACGTAACAACCAGTCACACGAACCACTCCAAACTACAGATCATCTTGCGGAAGGATCACACAAGTCACTGCCAAATCGGGCGAGGGGTGTGTTCCTCCTGGATACCCCCTACATTTGTTCCTTTTGCTTCAACTGCGGCCATTTTCAAACTCGCCCTTCATTTTCATCGCAACCACACACAACTATTGGGACTGCATCTTGAAAAAGAATCTGTCCACAAACTAGACAGAATTATAAACACTGGCCTAAGTATTCAAAACCAGTTCTTTGACAGTTTCCGCTAGAGTTGTTGGTCTAAAAGGGGTTTTGGGAAAGTGAGTCACTGCAGCCGCAAGAGGTCTTTGACACAGAGTTGCACACAGTCATTCACGTACACAACCGATCTATTTGTCACTGACGGAAATACCCTTCCGGAGGAGAAAACTACATTTGAGGACGGTTTTGTGTGGTACTGCCAGGTAGCTATCCACTGTTGTCTTTCAATACAGTCGTGTTATGCTGTTACAATGTCTTGAATGTGCAGTGCGTGAATATACGGTATTAATAAGGGGTCTTTGAATTAACCCATAAAACACTTGTCTGTCACATCTTTAGGTTGAGGACATAAACAAGAAACTAGACTAAGGCTAACTAACTGATAATGGTCGGGGAAACACTGCTGTATGAGAGGGGTGTGTATAGAGTAAGGACCAGAGTCAGACTGTTTTTCTCCTCTTACTTACTGTTGTCCAGCGTGATGAGAAATATTCGCTGGATCATGTGATTGACATTGAGCTGTTCACACAGCTCCTGCCTGGACCGGAAGGAGCGGCTGATCTCTGCCACCGAGTCGTCATTGTCATCAACACTGTCTGACACAGAGTTTTCTGACTCCGAATGACTCTCTCCTGAGTCCTCCACTGGGATGTAAGGCACAGAGGTTAAACGTGGAACCATCTGGATCCATTCAAAGAAGATGTTACTGTGCGTAATTCTAACAAGAAAATATAAAAAATATTATTTCTTCTCTTACCCCCAAAAATATATCTGTATTCTAATTGCCTTTTGACATACATTTTGATTCGTAGGAATTGATCATGCTAACTAAGAGGATTGCTGTAGCTCTGGGAACTCTACTTACACGGTGGTTCAGCAGATTGTTCTGGTTTCTGGCCTGACGCAAACTGCTTGGCATCCGCCACTGAGCTGAAGAGGGCAGCAAAGGGGTTGCAGGAGATGTTCTGGTTGTTGTTGCCCTGGTCAGTCATCTCATTGGGGCTCAACACTCACTTCATCAAGATCCCAGCCTTAAGGAACAATGCAGGCACGACAGCTAAGTGAAAATGGAATTCCTTCTTAATTTATATAAATGACACGACATTGATTTAAAATAAACACAATGTCATTTCAGATACAAATTGAAAATACTACAAATAGTTTTGTACATCAGCCCCACTGCCCAATAGCCTCTATTACCTTAATTATCTAGAATGGTATCAAGGCCAAATATGTCAAAATAAAGAAAAAATATATAGCTATTTCCATAAAGGCAAGATTATGTCTCACGTAACGTTTGGTTAGAATGCATGCCGTGGTGTGTTGTTTGTGTGCGTTGAGAGCAAGTCACAAAGGTTCCATTATCTCTCAAAATGTATTCTATGAGGGAAACTGAGAAGCGCATCGCATCCAATTTTCTTTAATGTGGCATTACATTGCCTCCGGGACTGAATGTTTTCTAAAATGCCCAGTCTCTAGAGGCCAGTTGTACTCAAATTTTAACAGTTTTAATCTGCCACGCCAAACTGTTGTTTAGCTTTTACAGAAGTTATATATGTGCGATTTTGCAAACGTTCCCGATCTCTGCTGTGCATGCAAAACTGTAATGCTCTACAGATTTATTCTACGGATACAGTTTTCAACAAACTGCTGAATATTTTTCAGATTACCGTGCTAATCTCAATCTGATGACTATACTCACTGCAATGTCGTCATCTCGATCCCACTATAAAAACTCTACATTGGATTAAATATATAAACGCCTGTCTTTTCCCAACCCTGACGTTTTCCCTGTTGATGTATCATCCCCCACACTAGCGTTACGATGTTTCCCCTGTGACTAGATAAGGAAACTTTTTGACAACACAGTTACAATGGCGGTGAATGGGAACCAACAACACAACTCCCCGTGCGTACAGTTACTAACGGAGCAGTGAACGTGTAGCTGTCACTGTGGTTCACTGGACGGATCAGTCCTCGCCGTCCGACAATTAACGTAAACATATGTTGTCACGGTTACCCATCACGTCAGTTCAACGCCTCACAGTTAATATGATCGTGTTATTGTGTGGAGCAGGCTCTCCGGCTAGCCACTATTACGCTATTTCAAACGTGCCATGTCACCCTTTAAGGGATTTAGTAACGTTAGCACCTTTTGCTACTTGACGCTAGTTGGCTAACTAGCTAGCAGGGTTAACGTACGCTAGCAGCACTAGCCGTTCTGCACTATGGCTAGTAAGCTAGTTAGCAAGCTAAGCTGTCACGGGGTCACCACGACTCTATTTCAGCATTGCTTTTATAAACAGTTATTTGGATTTCACGTAGGATCTATAATAATAAGTCCGAACAATGTCTACGATCGATAAAAATAGCTGTCCTACCTGTTTGGATGGAAGAAGTTTGTGTTTTTGATTAAGAAAAAATGCCTCTACGAAACCAGTGGCAGGTTCTATGTAAATTGAAATTGAAACGTCATCAAAATGAGACGGAGTGTCTTTGCGAAATAAGTTTACAGAACATAAAAACATTTAACAAACGGTTAAATAACCTTCTGTGTTCCTGTGTTATAGGAAGTAAATACATGCAATACAATAATATATTAATATTTTTTAAAGATTCAGCTAATATATTCCACGTTTAAACTATATTCTCTATATTCTATTATCTGTGGATTTTTATTTACGCAAGAAAGAAAAAAAGCTATTTTCCGTAAGTGCATAAACATGTCTTTTTGTGCTTTTGTGAAAATCTGTATTTCCAAATAATGATTTTAAATGTTTTATGATAAATACAAGAAAACAGTTGATAATGAACAAGGAAAAAAATGCTCAAAATGCTCAAAATTAAGGAGACCTTGAATGATAATCCAAGGTCTTCACATTCATATTGCTGTGTAAATAAGAAGTTAATTTAGATTTGCAGGCTGCAGCTATTATATTAATATATTATATTAATATAATATATTATATTAATATAATAGCTATTATAATTTATATTAATAGTTAATTATATTATATTAATATTAATATATTATATCAATACATCCCTCTACTGTCACTCTACCTTGCAGCTATTGTGTCCATAGTTTTACATTTTGTATTTTATTGCCATTTTCGCTTTTATACCCACTTTTCTCTATTCATTTGTTTTTCTTGTGTCTTGTTGCACAACCCAATAATCAAATATTTGTGGAAAAAGTTTTCATAAAATATCAATAACATACAGATTTCTGTGCAATCAGATCTCAGTAAGTGTAATTAGTTGAGAACATTTTTCTTTTTTTCCTCATCAATATGTTGACAGCTTGATCGGTTTGTCCTGGGATTTTTCTTTAATGTTGTGCTGTTGTGTTGACCATCAGCAGAGGGCAGCAAGTGCATCTCCCACTCCTGAGTGTCTGAAACTGTAGTCTGATACATAAATATATAAACACACAACCAGACACAAATCCTTTAATTCGTAACAGTTAAATAGATCACTTAAAGGCCATTTGACTAATATTGGGCTTTTGAAGTTCTTATAAATACCTTTTAATTCATCTCCTTCCATTTTTTTCAAGCAGTGTACCTCACATAAGGCTGCCTCTCTTATTCAGGCACTTGTTTATAATTTGCGTATTTGTCAAACAATCTCAGTTCATGGTCCTCCTGGGGCCCGTGCTGCATTTTAACACTGTATTTTACTCTATATTGATGAACAACTACTTCTCCAGAATGACGTCAATGAGCAAATTCGTTTTCCTGACTTAACATCTTTACTTTTTCTTACTGGTCAAGCAGCCATCTTGTCCAGATGCGTAGGCAGCTTTCCAATTCTCCCCCACTTCTGATCAACATTCTGAACACAAATCACTCAAAACCTACAAGGATTATTTTATGTTTCATGAAATGATTCCAGCTGTGTACATTTATACAGTTTAAGGAACAGCTCAGTCTACTGAGCAGAGTTAATATTGAACATTAAGTCACAAACACATTGTTCCGCTAGACACTGATTCATAGCAAGTTGTCCTCCAAAGAACAAAAACAAAATTGTAAAAAATAACAGCCATCTCAGCGTACAAAGACATACAGTGTTTCTTGTATAAACCTTTTCACATATTTAGCTTTTGAGCAAAGCTGTAGAACATGTAACTTCTCACATCAAACTTGGTGCGCAAAATCAGAATGATTCAAATGCGTTGTTTATTTCCTGACAGTGCTTCTCCCTTTTGATCTGAACAAATACTCTGCATTGATCTACACCTACCATATAAAGTCTCAGTCATAAAGACATTCACATTTTTTGCAAAACAAGGCACAATATTTACAGTCTCAAGTAAACCCTTTCATGTAATTCTGTCGAAAATGGTTTTTAAATCACAATTGAGATTTTCACAAGGCCCTCTCAGTGAAACGTGGACGATTAAGGGCCCCTTCGACAAGTCTTTGTCCTCAGCGGCTCCGTTGAATGACAAGAGTCTTCGTGGCTTCTGCTAACCACGCATGGAGTGGAAGCTGCACTTGGGACCTCCAACCCATTATTCTGGTACATCCTCTCCTCAGCACCACAAGAGGTTGGCATGGCACTCACTGTCCGTTGTTTGCCCCTTTCCCCCGTCGTAACCAGTCTCTCCAGGGTGTTTTGCCCTGATTAGCGTCCGAACTCCAGGTGGAGGAGGTGGAGGCCGCCCTGCCCCCCCTGCGGAAGAAGGACGTGCCGTTGGAGGTGGACTTCTTTTGAGGATGCTCCATCTGCTGCTGGGACCTGAGCTGCTGGTTGATAATGATCTGGATATCGTCCTGAGGAAGATGGAGGACAGGAGGACGTTTAAGGAGCAGATTCAACACTGTCAACGCTGCGCTTATATCATTCAAACTCAGTATACAACTTCCGTTTTAACAATATGACCTTTTTTGTCACTGCTTATTGGGCTTTAATGAATTTCTCTTGACAAAGGATTAATCATCTATATATTAAAGCACCAAATAGGAAAACTCTGGTAACATTTTTTATATTTCTTATTGTCAACTAATCCGATGAAAGGTCTAACCAACAATGAATTGATCCACTAACAATATTGTCTCTGTAGTTAAACTGAAATATTGTTGCTGCCCCGTAGAGCTTTATTGTTGTTCAGAAACTTTAACATCACTTAGATGTTGCTCAACCATTTAACCCTGTTTAAGTTGAATTTTCTTAAAACTCTGGTGCCGAGCTGTTTGATGAAACGCTGAATCGGTTTTCAAATCAAGTCAATAGATTTCTGATCTTCTTTTGGAGATTTAGTTCATCAGTAGGACCAATGGAAACAAAGATAAGAGCCAGTCAGACGGCGCACCAAGAAGTTAACACATTTTGACTAAATATATAACGAGGTATGCAACCTTTGGCTGAACAATTCTAATACATGTGTATTTCTGCATACTTGTTGTGGAATAAGGAATTAAAGTTAGTCTGTATTTGCTCATCAAAGATATTTGTTTAAAAAAAAAACACACAAATTGGATTTATTTACATTCATTAAATTAAAAAGGAGTATGGTGACAGACAAACAATGACATATTTCCGTTTTCAGCTAAAAATATGATCTGCATCATCTTCAACAACAACGCTAGAGATCATAACCTCGTGCAGATGGCTCTTCTGTGCGTAATACACCAGCAGCAGAAGGATTTGAAAGAAACACCTGCTGCTCATATTCTTCCCATCTGACTGAGCGGAGAGAGATATGGCTGTGTCTGTCTTTTCACATGATCACTGGAACTTTAGTTTGCTTCAGATCTTAATCCTCGTTACGCAGTTGTGCGTAACGATTTCAAGGCAGTTTGGGAGAAAGAGACGGCACGAGAGATAGTTTGACTGAGACGCTCTACAGAAGGAAAAGGGATCTCACCTGCCAGGCTTCCAGTTCCTGTGACAACTCCAGTTTGCGTTGGATGGCTTCTAATAACTGGTTGTTGAGAGACATCATGTCACTTTTACTTCTCACTAACTCAGCCTCCATCAGGTTTTTCCTAACAGGAAACGAGGAAACGATTCAGTCACATTACAGTTGGATAAAAAGAAAAGATTAAAACTTGTAACTATGGCTACAAGACAAGCTCTCTATAAGAAACTATATTGATCATTTTATTTGTGAACAAATGTATTGAAACAAAAATGTCTTTTGATCTGCAGAATAGGATTTTACAATGCAACAATTCACAGAAGAATGAAATATTCAGCTGTGACGTCTGATAGAGATGTCGTAAAGTAAATGATACTGGCACTTTCCTTTATCCTACTTCAAGTCCTGCTGGCCACAAAACGACCAAAGATTCACAGAACCATTGTATCAAATAGAACAGCTGACATTGTAAAACAAACAAATGCTTTTGAGGGAGAATATCGAGGGGAAAAACAAGGTTCTCACTTGGCTATGGCTTCATCTCTGTCTCTGATGGCCTGTTGGACGACATCAGCTTCCTCCTGCACGTCCTGCAGCTTCTGTTTCAACTCTGCGTTTTCCTGCTGCAGATGGACGTTCTAGAGGAGGAAGACGTTGTCCGTGTTTAGATCACTGTGTGAAACGAACTGCATGTGTCCTCTCATTATATGTATTTAACACAATAAAGCCTGCGGTGCACTAAAATGTGATGCCATAACGTTTGGTTCCTCTGGGGCCCACAGAGCCAATATCCTAAAAAATTAAAATAATAAAAAAGCAGAACATTGATGCAACTTAAGAACTAATGTAGGTGTTATACCTGACCACATACTTTGTTGGTTTTAACCTGTTAGCCAGTTAAAGCTAATAGCCAAGGGTCATTTTGAGGGAAAATAATAATAATTTAACCTCATGACTCTAGTGAAAGTGCTGCAAATTAGTCACTGAATGAGTCCACGACACTAAGAAGGATAACAGTGACGGTAGCAAGGTCGGCAATGACGCAACCAAATCCTACAATAACAGGCTGCCGTAGACGCTTCTCCGCCCGGGCAGACGTGTGCGTTCATCGCTGTGTTACCTGATCGCTCAGCTCATGTGCTGCACTCAGATTCCCACGCTGATCGCCTGTCCTGTCGACAAAAGCTCGATTCAGCTCCTGGGACAGAGACGTTAACAAAGAGATCAGGTGTCAGTAGCGTATTTCACAGAGATTCAGGCCAAAAAGAAGCTACTGTTAGGTTGGCCCATTTGCAAAGTGCTCCGACGGAGGAATGTGGCGGGCAAGAATATTTAGTTACTTTCTGAAAGCATTAAGACACAACGGGATCATTGTAAAAGCCAACTTGTGGCAAATGGGGGCTTAAGAAAAAAGAAAAGAAAAATTAAAATGATCAGTCAATTCAAACAATCAACTGGCATAAACGAGGACGCGCAATCCCCAGCATGTGCTTCCAACCGCCAACAGGGAGGTAGAGAGGCCGAATTCATTCATGAAGGACCTCAAATAACAAGGTGGGAAAGTTATTCCACTCAGGGGAGTCGCCCTTTCTGGATCATAAAAACATTTTAGGAATGCAGTTTTCTCCCAAGAGAAAAAAAAAAAGAAGAAGAAAGCCGAGCAAAGGCAGCCTTTTGTTTTATTTCCTGTCGTGCTTCACTTGCTCATTCTCTGGCTCACCTGCGGGCCGGACGCCAGCGCCAGGGTCTGGGCCACTCCCTTCAGCTGATGCAGCATTGCCTGCAGGTCTTCCTTCTGATTCACGACCTCTGACCTCCCCGAGCTGTTCAGTTTCTGTGTCAGTGGGAGTAGCAACTGAAGACTGGACCACATTTCTTGTGTAATCTGAGGGAGAGGAGAGGAGTCATGTTTGTTAATTAATAACCACAATCTGGGTAGTGTTGATCTCCTCTCATTTTTTATATTGGGCTTCAATGTATCTGGACTATATTTAAAGAAGAAAAATAAAATATGAAAAGTAAGCCATTACAGACAGCAAACTGGGTGAAAAATCTTTGAAAAAGGGGTGAAAAGGGGGCATTTGTCTCCTTTCAGTTTCAGCACGATGCCTCTCCACACACTGTTGACGCCTTGAGTGACGTCATCAATTATTTGAAGACTGGGAGGAGAAAGCATTACCTCATGACTTTATTTAACACCGTGAGTCATATACATCTCATGGCGACTGAAAGATATTTTTAGGTTGATCATTCACTAAAAAAAGGATGATAGGATATTCTGTGACGTCTATGAGTTCAAAGACTCTTCGAGGCGCTAATGTGCGCTGCAAGCGGAAAACTCCAATGTTGTGACTGTGACAAACAGGAAATGTAGTGAATGACTCATGGGTGCAGTTATACATCACATGTTGCTGCTGAAACCAAACAATAGCAGAAGAGGCCCTGGGAGGAGCGTTAGAAGACTTGGCTTATCTAAAGTGTCCTCACATCAAGTCATACTGTCAGAGAACTTGTGCACCATATTCCTTCCACTGAAACATTACTTTTCCTCCACCCCACTGTTCAAGTATTCCAGTAAAAACATTCCAACAGTTTAATATTCTCGTTTCCAGTCATCTCAAGAAAAAAAAAAAATTCCCCTCAAAATACGTGACTCAAAGTTTGCAGGAACACAATAGAACAGGAAAAAAAAAAAATAGAACACTCGAGTATAAACTAGCAGCTAAACTATTCTGGTGTTATTTATAGTACAGTGTTTGATTTACAGCCTCAGTGAAGGCTGGTGGTGTCGTTTACATCAACAGAATATGTCCTTCTTTTGAGTATAGACTTACTTTTGCTTTGCACCATTATTCTGTAGCAAATACAACGGTATTTGACCGTAATATTATTATTATTTCACAAGACCGGGTAAGATCTGTAAATGATGATGTTTTACCGTTTTTAAATTCTAAAATGATGATGTCAGATGTGTCAGATGAATAAGGATTATTTGGGATTCACAACCTCAGAACTGCAATTCAAGCTTCAACCATTTATCTTCCTCCCCATCTCAGAACACCATCAAACTTGTATCACAACGTTTTTTGATACATAAAAAAATAGATGGCATTAATCCCAGTTAATAAAATTGATAAAATATATTGAATATGTCATGTTGAACATCTTTTTGTTGTTCTTTCTTAAATTCCCCACGTGCCAAATCTGTCTAACGTTGTGGCTTGAAGGTCTTAAAAAGAAACACAGTAGTCTGGCGGTGCCGGAGACTAATCTGCTGTAGTACCTCTTCTTTGCTGACCCCGAGGCGCGGCGTCTCCAGGCTGTTCTCCAGCTCGGACAGCAGGGAGGCGTCTCCGTAGCTCCTGCCCTCCTGCAGGGACACCTCCTCCTGTAGCTCCTCCACCTGGGCCTGTAGCTGCTGTGAGCGACCGTGTGCAGCCTCCACCTCCTGCAGCGCCCCGGCTAGCTGAAAACACAAAGGAGGCAGGTGAACACACACATGAATATGGAGACAAAGCCTACAGGCACATACATGGCTGTGAAGTAACAACGATGACAAAGGATAGCGAAGAAGAAATGGCCTCATTAATCTTTCCATTACGTTGATGCTAAATAGGGAGAGGACAATGACCCAAACATTCTTTGACCCAAAAGACGCATGAGCTTTCTCAAAAGTCGTCAGCACACTTTTTTTTTGTCTACAAACGAGTGCGAGAGAAATCCCGACGTGCCAGATTCCAGCCTGCAGCCCAACGACAAACTAAATAACCACGAGAGGATTCCACAGGTACAATGACGGGACGCGGTGATTGTTTAGTAACGCTCTCATCAATCCCACCGAAACCCGGGCCGTCTAGACCGGGAGCGGAAAATCCCTTTGTTGTTGAAGGCCCTTTCAGTCTCACGCACACACACACACACACCAACCGCACTGAGCAGTTTTGTGTCGTCGATGTACCTGTTGGCTGTGCTGCTGGTTGACTTGGTCTTGTAGAGCCAGGCGTGTGTGCAAAGAGGCCAAAGTCGCCCTCAGCTCAGTGTTTTCTTGACACACACTTGCCAAACGCTCCTCCAGCACCTGCTCCTTCTGGGTGAGACGCAGCACCTTAAAATTCACACACAGAAAAAAAAAACCCATTTACTTCCCGGAAAAGAGTGTGGCTCCCACGACAACATTGGCTTGTTTTAATATTTTTTCCTTAGAATTCTTTATAGTACCTTTTTCTTTTTTATATGTTGAGATTTGTACCATTTCCCGTTCTTTATGTAAATGTTTCACGTTTTATTTTTGTGTAAGGTTTTAAATGTTGATCCTAAAACACAGACTTGCACCAGCTGGCAACACAATCAACACTTTTGACAGGAAGTACAAAAAAACAAAACAAAGCAACACACGCTAAGCGTTGTGGTCATCCTGTTCGTGCGAGTACATGATGTTCTCAAGGCTGGAAACATTTGACTTGACAATCCTTCTCATATTAAGGATTGGCCTTGGTTCACTTTCAGCGTCGATGCACAGTAAATGGCTACCTGCTCCCTCATGGCGCTGACAAGCTCCTCCTCTAGCGGCCTGTTGTGGGTTCCTTTTTGTTGGAGCTCCTGTTTCAGCGCCAGCAGCTCACTGGACATGGTTCTCTCCACCGCCATCGCCTACACAATCACACACACACACCAGAGAGAAAACAGACACATGAGATTCACAACAGAGAATCTGGCTTTTGTATCTGACAGTTTTCTTTGCATATTTTGCTCATTCAAAGTTCAAGTGGAAGAAATCCTGTAATCTGCACCCAGATGAGTAGAAGCACAATATGATACCTGGTGGGGATTAGGAGACTAAAATTGATGTGTTTTGTGTGTTTTTTGCTACAGGCCATGCGGCACAATGAGATTTATTGTTTATTATGAAATATGTGTAGCTTTGGCCTCCAGTAGAACTACTCAGGGTTACAATAGTCAGTTTGCCTACCGAAGACCTCGAGTGAGTCTACCTTGAGCTTAAGATAATTTAGGAAGGGTCACAATATGATGAAAGGGGTAAGAAGACAAACATTTTTTTAAATATTTGGACTTAAATAAAGATATTTCCAGCTCTTCAGGTCTTTAAAAATCTATCAAATAAATATATTTGAAAGGGATGAATAATTGTTCAGGAGTTCATAACCGACATTCCCACAGGAAGACCATAACCTGCAGTAAGGGGGTCATATGTGCACAGTGCCTGTGAAATCGGTACCATTTGGAGGTTTTGACTTTAACATGTTGACAAGAGTTCACTTGTTTCCTGTCTAACCAAAAATGAAAACAATATAAGATCAAATTCCACCTCCCTTAAGAGGTCAAAAGTCAGAAGAGCTGGAATCCATGAACAAAAGCAACCCAACTCCTGTGATCACTCATCCATCAAATGACAGAAATTGAAGAAAAAAACCCAAACGAATGCACTCAAGTGATGAATAATGATCTCTTTGTTTTGTTAGCTACATGCCCTTCTCAAACGCGCTTTAAAAAACAGGAATTTAAAAACACGGTCGGTACCTTTGGAGCGATGAACAACGACCCATCGCTCTCACACTCCCCTCACTCCCACCCTCGTTTGAGACCCTCGGCTCCCGTGACGCAGCAGTTTGGTAGGCCCCTGTCAGGTCCCATCACCGCCACATAATACAAGATTAAAGGCCGACCTCTGCAGCAGATGGAGCGCAGGGCATCTTGGTTGTGTCTGTGACATCATCACGCCACATTAGACGACAATGTGGCGCAGGGTAATCTCGGACATCACGAGGGTGAAGCAGAGGGGCACAGAATGTACAGAGGAAGTGAGGCGGGCGCGAGTCTAAAATTAGTGTGTGTGTGTGTCTGAGAGAGAGACAAGAGTAAAGGCGACACTGATGGACAAAAACAAAACATAGCATGCAAACACAGATTCGGGGGGGCAGAATATGAACATTTGTGTCCATGAGTCGTCGTCATTACCGCTGCCTCTAATGTGGAGAAGGGGGCCTGTGTTGACGAGACGAGGCAGCGGCCCAGAGAGAATCACAAAAACAGGAGTGGAAGGAGTAAGTGGAATGGAACACGCTCCATTTGGTAAAGACAGAAAGATGAGGTGCCCTAACGGGGGCCCCCGCGAGCCCCGGGCCTCCGCCGAGCCAAACGCTGAGGTATCCCACAGCTGACCCTAGTTACAGCCAAGCCCCTCAGAGAGCACGCAGAGAACACGGCTCTCGTAACACGTAAAGGGGCGACATCAGAGCAGCAAATTAAAGATTTATATCTCTCCTTTTTTGTCCATTAGCTGTGAGACGCTGGTAAAGGGGCAGAGGTCACGGGGTGGGGGGGGGGCTCAATTGATAACCAAAATCTCACACCAAGAGATTTGCAACAGTCATCCAATAACACACGGCGATCCAGGCCAGGAAAGATGATCATGCTAAGTGGAAGCTCACAAGCTAATGAAAGCAACAGGTTTGTTTGTTAACCAGAAGAAAAGAAACAAAAAAAACAAAAAAAACATCACCAAGTATTTAATTTACACAAAAACATTTGACCTGGAAATAATAATATTTTTCACTAAGCGATTAATCTGTCAATTTTGTTTCAATAAATCACCTACAAATTACATTTTTTAAAAGCAGTGAGAAAACGGGAAAAAAAAGCACCCTGACTCGCAAAAACACTCGCTGATATTTCAACATCTACTTTCCTCGGCTGCAGTCTAAGCAAGCGGCACTGAACCATGTGGCCAACTGGCACACGGCAACGTTGTTTTTAAATGGAGCCGCTTCCTCGAACGCACCAGGACGAAGAGTCAAAGCAAAGCTTTCCTCTCTGGCTTTGCGGTTGCTGGTAAACAAAGGATTATTTCTCGCTCAGGTTTCTATGGTGCGGTTCAGTGACACACACACTCAGAATCTATGAAATACAGTGTAAAGAAAAAAGGTTGTAAAGCATATCATTGGAAAAATATTAACTTTTAACTTCAAACATTGTCTTCTTACCAAATGTATATATTTGCAGCATTGAGTATGTTTTTCAAGGCATTTGTAGACACTCCAACACTATATTCTGCTATTTTATTAAGTTACCACTGAAATTAATTAAATTAAAAATAATTACTGGGGCACGGTTTTTCCACCGTAAACGTGGGGGCGTCTGAACAAACACACACAATCCCAAAAATGCAGACACAACTCACCAGGGCAGAACCAACAGCACTACGTGTGGTTTAAGAGACACGGCAGACGTGGAGCTCCGTCCTCCCTCAACGCATTCGCTCTCTCTTCTCGCTTTTTACAAGCAACGAGAGCTCACAGTGAAACATGTCTGATGCCAAACGTAACATTTCCTCCCCTTCATTTTCCCTGAACAGCCCAAACCGAGATAGCCCCCTTTTTTTTTCAATCTAAATTGACTTTTTCCTGAACTTCTTTGACAGTCTGTTTTCCTCGGCAAGGAGAAGACCTTAATAGTTCCTTATTCCTCGGACCTTGACTCATGGGAGGGACTGTTGATTTGGATTCATTTTTAACTTTCACTCAGGCCTGTTGCTTCTTTTGAGAGAGCACAATTAACCGCTCTGCTAAGTAACCGGCCTTGTGCGACGCGAGACGTCACAGGTACAGTAATGTTTAAGAAAAACCTTCCGTTCCTCTGCAGTTTGGATAAACACTCAAGGGCGTACAGCTGTACGATCCAATCAGCGCCTCCACGTTAACTGATAAGAGGCAGTAAGATACAGTATCACCGGTTGATTTCCCCAATCATAAATGTTTGAACACATAATGATGAATCGGCCGAATGTTGACGATTATTTTACCCATTACGTCACACGTGTGCCGAAGCACTTCGTTAAACGTTAACTTCATGGTCACTGAATGAACTGGATCTGGGTAAATAGATATCATATAATGGTTATCAGGTAGGGCTATGAAGGATTATCTATATAACCTACCAATCTAACAAAGTTATTGTTAAAAATCAAATGGAAGAAATGCACACAAGTCTTTGAATATCTGGTCTTGTTCAACAAACACCCAAAAGAGGTTCAGTTTAAAAAAAGTAGAAGCTGAAACGCATAGCTCAAACAAACTACTTTTCATACTCCCTTTGTCCCGGATCTAAAAATCCCACCGTGGCATCAACTTCCACTCCCCTTCTTGTTTACACATCCTGTCCATTCTGCGGCACGGATCATTTGCCTGCAGGCTAAAGCTTCGTTTCATAGATACGGACCAACCAGCCGCCGTCTCTGCAGCTCAGATTAAAACTCAACCCCTGCGCCAGTAGTCATTTTGTCTTGTTCCGAGTCTGTGAACAGCCTGAAGGTTCAGCCTCCATTGCAGAGTCAGACTGATGCCCGGCTGGTTTGCAGAGAACATGGAGTTTCAGTGAGCGGATCGGGCTTCGGCTCGTTCGATCTGGTTTGACTCACGGAGGGCCACTAGATTTGGATCCTCGGATCACTTTGTTCCACAGAGCCTCGGTCACCTGTTGCAGTCCTTTGAAGCAATGTGTATAGTTCCGGACAGAGTAAACCATACACACACACACACACACACACACACACACACACACACACACACACACACACACACACACACACACACACACACACACACACACACTGTCTGAGGCCTTCTACCCAGCGCTTGGGACTCACGGTGTTGAGCTGCTCCCCGAGTCGCTGCGTGAGCTCGCTCTGCTCCTGCTGGGCTCGACTCTTGTCCCGCTCGGCCTCGCCGAGGGCCCGGGTGAGCCGCTCCACCTGGGCGCTCAGCTCCCCCGCATCCCTCTCCAGGTCCGACACCTGGCTCTCCCACTGGGACCGGCAGCCCTCCAGCTTCAGCCGCAGCTCATGTCTGCCCTGCTCCAGCTCCTGCACAGATGAACGGCAATCCGTGATCACGGTCATCTCAGCGCAGTGTTTATAGTAAGCATCGGTTGGAAATTCTCCGTATCAGCAACAGAATGTTACAGCGATAACGGGAGCTATTGAAATCGGGGGACAAAACAGGCTCGTTCAGAGCTGCGAGTTTCGTGGGAAGTGCACTGAAAGTACAGAATGAATCCAAACAAATGACTTGTTGACTCATTCCATCAGGCCTGCACCTGTAGATTGATTGATCGAAAGAAAATAAGTGGACTTTGATCATTAATAACTTGACACATTAGTTGTTTTCTTACTGGAGTTAACATGTGCACTTGAGCTTTTGTAAAGCGGGAATTTATCCCCATTTTATGGAGCAATTAACATTTAAATCAGTTAATGGCAAATGAAAGTAAATCAGTGTCGGCCTCTGTGCTACATGGATTCATCACACTATTCAGACGGTTTACAGCACTTTAATAAAGTATACTAATTGAAGACGTAGTCATGCCAGATGAGATTGAACCTCGGAATCATCGGCATTCCTCCAGAGAAAAACAAAGGAGCCATTACGTAGTCGTCCGTCACCGCGCTGATGTGCACCCTGGACACTAATAACCTTTAGACAACTTAATTGCCACTGCTATCTCATTTCTCTGATGTTAGATGTAACTTTGTAAGACAGTCTATGATGCTCAGTCTGCTGATGTTTCATGGAAAAGTTTGTGTTACACAAGTTCAAATAAAAAACAGCAGATTGACGATTTCTTCCACAAGCTGTAAAAAGGCGCATTTCAGGAGAGACATTTCTCTGTTGCACATAGTGCAACAATACAACAGAGAGAGACAGAGGACAATGGGAGGACACGATCAAAGGAAAAGTTTAGTAAAGCAACTATTTAAATGAAAAATATCTGTTTGCATGACAGATACAGTTACAACGGATCCCCTTTGAATATCGAATACATTATCAAACTATTTTGGAAGAACCGGTTAGGCGTTTTTCACATACACCGGTTAAATAAACCTAAAGAAAAGGTGTGATCCTTCGGTCTGTGTGATTTGTGGAGGCCTTTTCTTGTCCATACTGGACACATTAAAATATATTACTTTTACGTTTGAAGCTTTTTCTGTTACCGTTCTTTTTTTAAAAGCAGGAAACATCCCAAATGTGAGAATATCAGCTAGAACCGCCTTGTCGGATCGTTTAAATCGCGCATATTGAACCAGAAATCGGTCGTCGCACATAAACAAACAGCGAACAGAAGCAGGTCGGTTTCTCACCTCCAGCTTGTCCGCGTACTCGTCATGAAGTTTGTCGCTGCGCTCTTTCAGCTGACGGTTCTCCAGCAGCAACGCGTTTCCCAGCTGGGCCGCCAAAATAACCTCTTCCTCCTTTTGTTTCAGCGCAGCCAGCAGTTCACCGGGCTCTGGATAACCCGTCATTTCCTCCGCTCCGTAGTCGAAGAAGAAACCCTCCTCCAGGTCCATTTTCTGGGACTTGAAGCTCCATTCATCCAGTCGATCCATGACGCGACAGGTGACACGAACCTCTGTGCCTCCAGCTGTGAGAAAATATCGCTTCAAGAAGAAGACGCAGAAACACGTTGGTTCCACCCGCGTGTGTGTGTGAAGAAGTGGTCAGTCCATCACACCGGTGTGTGTGTGTGTGGAGCAGCAGGTTCGAGCTGCGTGTGGGCTGATCCGTCTGTCACCAGCACATGACTGTCTCCAGGGGGGCGTGGCTTCACCTGGGCAACCGTTGCCCCACAGACAGACACCTGTCCCCGCGCGCGCTGGGGGTTTATAGCGGAAAATCACCGCAGCGCACGCGAACCCCTGTGATTAGAGTTCCGGAAGAAGTGTTTATTTATATTGTGTAAAAGTAGCAGCACCACTTGGTAAAATGACTCCGATAAAAGCGCATTCGAAATGTTACTTAAGTAAAGGAAATCTTTAAGTGTTGGCATTGAAATACATTCACGTGTATTATATTAATGGATCATACTGATATAAACTGAGACAATTGAACTGATTTTAACTATTTATGTCTTGCAGTCTTATCCATAATAATTATGTTTTGTATTTGTAAATGATGATGCTTTGAATAAATAATATGAATCTCTAACAGAAATATAACTAACTGTAAATAACAGATTTAGGGGTTTATGATGTAAAATATTTTTCTCAGGAGAAAGAAAAAGCTTAAAGTAGAGAACAAGGGCCTCTGAATGACATTTCACAGAACCATTTTCCTTTTATTTGACCATTTTGTCCCAAAGTGAACCGACATGTGTATTATACGTGTGTCCACTTATGTTTTGAATGCCCAGAGTGTATTATTCTCAGACTTACATGCTATTTTGAATTACAGGCAATATGTGCCGATACAATATGGCTGCGGTTGAATCGCTACATTCATCCATCCACCTAACAAGTGCTCAACAAGTCCACCGAGAAGGGAGTGTCTGGTTGCTTTGTCTCTGGCTGCTTGCCAAAGGTCAAAGTTCAGCATCCCGCAAGGTTTTATGAAGCAGAGGGCAGTGTCGGGGGAATAAAAGACGCAGCTTCCTGACGCATGGCGGGGCTATTGTTGTCAAGGGGCGGCACGGTTTCTGTACATATGGCAGCAGAGACCAAGCAAACATTTGAGCCTCAAACGTTTGACGCGATCCACCACTGTCTTCATTGTTCCTGTTCAGATCACAGGCTGCTGATGGGGGGGCTTGTTGCCATGAGTGTGACATATGCAGCCAAGCCAAACTCAACGAGGAGATGAAAGAAAATTCAGACAAAGCTAATGAGGCAGAACGTGTGTGTGCACACAGTCATTTGTTAGAGGAGGAGACAGTATTAGGAAAAACTCCTTCCAACACCAATAAAGATGACCCTTTCTTCTGCTGAACCAGGCCCCATACTTTTCTCTAACAGTAACAGCACCACTTAAGTCCTACATTTTCTGCTGTACCAGCTTCTGCAGTCGCTGTGAAGAAGACATTGACCAAAAGCAACTGAGACAGAACGGACCATAAAAGCAGGGTTGATGTTTTTATGTTACCATCAACTTAATGGGAGCTGCACTGTCTGCATGCACCTGTGATGGTGTCTAAGGTGCTAAGTGTGCCAAAGTATGCCCTTCTGAGTGAGTGGCACTATAAATCATGGTTATATAAGATTCCTCCAGTAAATAGATAAGATAAACAAATAAGATCCCCATCAGTACGTCTATCAATGGCCAGTGGTTGAAGGCTGATGTGTTTGGTCACTACTCATTTTGCACATCCATCAAAAAGGAAAAAACAAAATTTTGCAGAACAGCTAGTAATATATAGGATAATATTTTTAAGAGTCGAGGCCAGTTGAAATGCCATGTTTTTTTAGTTGTTAATAAATTTACTCCGGACTTCATGAACCTCTAGTGGCTCCTGGTGGACACTAATGCAGAACACAACACTGATGGTGTTTTGTCTGATAAGGGAGCGCAATGTTTTGCGCAATTATTTTTCCATTTTCTTAAACATTTTTTAGGTGTTAAATAATACGTTAAAAATTTAATTCAAATAATTAATTTTGTATTCTTTTTATTGCTTTCTTTGTTTTTCTATCTCGTCAAAATGTTTTAATTATTTACTATTTATTGCATGCGTTCCTATTTCATAAACGACCACCTCCACCCAGCAGGCGGCGATATGTGACCTTTCAATAAAACACCATCAGAAGAGGAAGCGCAATTTATGAACACGCTTGAACTTTCTTCACTTGGGAGCTGCCGCAGCTTCTGTAACAGCTTTAGAGAACCTGTTTGCCTCGTGGAGACGATGGAGAGGAGCGCGGGGACAGTTTCATCTATTCAAGCTTCGGGGTGAGTGACGCTTCTTCTCGTTTGCTGCGTAGTCACGGGACGCGGCGTTGAGTCACCTGCGTGCCACCCAGTTCAAAGCTAGCCGTCGGGACGTGACAACACGAGTGGGCCTCCCTCCCCTCCTCTCCTGTGTATTAAGACCCACCTGCAGCAGACCTTTCACCTGACGTCATTACTTCCTGCCCAGGTACCCGGGCCGCTCCTGCCGCGCGCGCTGTGACTGTGACGAGCTTCCTTGTCCGCTGCTCACCTGGCTGACCGCGGAGCTGACGGCTCTGTGTCCCGAGCTGCGAGGTTGACAAACCTCTGCCTGCCTGTCTGTCTGCCCGCCCCTGTCTCTGTCTGCCCCTGTCTCTGTCTGCCCCTGTCTCTGTCTGTCACTGTCTCTCGCTCTCCCTCTCCCTCTCCCTCTCTCTCTCTCTCTCTGTCTGTCAACATGTACTTTACATTGATACAAAAATAATTCATTAGGTGGCCTAATGAAGTGGCCCACATTATATATATATATATATATATCTCACTTGTTATTATAACCTTTCCTTGTCGTCTTCTCATTTAGACTCCAGCAGGACCGGTGACGTCCTGCTGGTGGGGGAGTTGAGAACTTTACTGTCAAACATGTCGTCTCCCCTCGCGGCGTTGACCTCGGAGGTGCTGGGGCCGTCCGTCCTCAACAAAGTCACAGGTGAGAACTAATAACTGTGGGTTGTGTGGTAGAGCTTTAAGGCTTTGATTGTACTGCCCATGGATTTCTACATTTCCCACCAACCACCTTTCAGTTAAGGGGGCATCTTCTTAAACTGGCTGTTCCATCCTTCAGAGTTCCTTCTATCCGAATTGCAAGCGGCTCGAATAGTAAAGCGTAAGGAATTGCATCCCGAGGAGAAAAGCACAGCCGGTGAGTCCGAAAAAGAGCAGCGAGCTCCCGAACGCAGCCGTGAACTCGCTAAGTTTGGTGAGGAATATGAATATGAAGACGACGAAGACAAAGACCGAAGGACGGCGGAGATGCAGGCAGAATGGATATTACTGCTGCACGCCCTTGACATGGATGCCTCCGCTCAGTTTCCGGATGTGTTGAGTGAGGTAAGTTTCATGTAAGAGCGACTGAGATGTGCATAAGTCGTGGCCACCAACTGCGAAACAACGATTGCTTTTTTAAAATGTTACTTGAATGCAGGTGGAGTCGAGGCTCACTCGTCTCCCGTGTGGAGACGTGGCAAAGCCGCTCCTCAGCGCCAGCCTCAGCTCACAGCAGTGGGTATGTTGCTCGGGTTACTAATATGTAACTCCAACGAGTAGTTCAATCTATTAAATCCTCTTTCTGTTTCTCAGGCGCAGGTTAAAAAAATCAACACGGTTCTTCTAGAGGACTACGACTGTCGGCGACAAATGATGATCAAGCGTTTTCAGGTCACACTGGAGTCATTCGCATGGGGAGAGAAACAAAAGGTAGACGTCTCCCAGCTCTTTAAGAGCAGTTGCACCAAACTGGATCATTCGTGTGTGGGGTTGTGTTGACGGCCTTCTGGCCTTGCGATGCATGACTTTTGTTTTGTCTATAAAACAAATTCAATAGAGGTATAATGTTTACAGTGTTCACCATTTTACTTTAACGTGTTAACTTGCTGGCATTTGCAAATCATCACCAAACACATTCTTAAACATTCCGTGTTTTTTAAATGTTATTTACAGGAGCGCAGTGTAGCTCTGGCCACAGTGCCTCCTCTTTCCTCCCTCTCCTGCTCATCCCTCGTCTCCTTGTCTCTGCTGATCGCCGCCAGAGAGGATAAGTTCCTCGTCGAGCCGACCAAGGCTGCAACAAGCACCCCCGTCTACAAGGTACGACCGTAAACCCACGACGTGTAAGACGGTTTGAGCTCAGTCTCCGACTGCAGCGAGGGTGATCGGCTGCAATCTGCCTTCTCACCAGGACTTGTTCGCTTCCAGGACCCTGAAACGAGCTAAAAAGATCGTAGCCGACTGCTCTCACCCCGCACAAAAACTGTTTGTGCCCCTTCCATCTGGAGGGTTAGGGTTAGGAGGCTGAGGTCCATCAGGACTAGGACCTCCACACGAACAGTTTCTTCCCATCGGCAGTCGGGTTCATCAACAGAGCCCGGTCCCCCACTGACTGACTTTGTCATTCCACCGGTCACTTTCTTTCACACTGCACACGTCACTTTCTGTTCGCTGGTGCACTTTATTTTTATCTTCTAAATATTTTTAACTTATTATTATTATTATTATTCCTTTTTATGTTTAAAATAACCCATAGCCTTATACTACTAACCCATAGCATTATATTTTATTTTATTCCTCGTGCACTGTTGTCTTGTCGTACTGTCTGCTGTTACGCGCCAACCGCCAAGTCAAATTACTTGTATGTCTGACATATTATGGCAATAAATGTTTCCTGATTCCTGAGATGGCCTCTAATTATCTTTTGGTCTCGCTAGACGTTGATGGGCGGCGTACCGGACAGAGGTGGACGACCAGGAGAAATTGAGCCTCCAATGCCAATGTGGACGGATCGGAAAGCGAAAGGAAACCGGGCAGGACGAGGAGGGGGTGGACAACATCAAAAACATAGATTTTCCGATAAAAAGAAGCGTGGGAAAAACGATTAACATGTCTTTCTCTCGCTGTTTAATTTGAGAAATTATTGACCATTTTTCTTTATTTTTTAATTCTTGTTATGTATGCGTGGTGAACTGCTACATAGGATATGATTCTATGGTTATAGAGGAGGGCAAAATTCTTGCTTATTGTACTTTTCTTATGGCTTGTCATTTCTATAATGTTATAATACCCGATATTTTTGTTGAGAAAATCCATATTTGAATACATTTTGTATGTGTTAGCTTGGCACATTTATATGCAGTTTTGTTTGCTAAATAATAAAATGATTCTCTGATATGTATGTTTCCATGTTGGTAATGCTATTATGCATAAGACGCCCTAATAATTACTAACGTTAATTACTTTGTAACATCTGGGCTGTAGCTCACATTTTTAGCAAGAAGAAACTTACACTGATGTAAATTCTATTCTATGTATTTTTTTTATTAACTATTTTACAGGTTACCCCGGGAATCAGAAATCTGGAAACATTTCTTGCCAAAATATGTCAAACATACAAGGAATTTGTCTTGGCGGTTGGTGCCGGAGAAAATATTAGCTTTATAGTAATGATTAGCAGAATTTGTCTGAACAATGTAGTTTCATAAAATTGTGGGAGCTAAACGAGGTGCATTCTTTGTCTTGTTTCTTTTATACTGGTGTTATGGCAAAGTCGGTTCCCCCGTCGAGTTGTGTCTCTCTCTCGTCAAAATGACAGCGTCACCGTCGTTGGTTAGTGCTTCGGTTAGGGAGGAACCAGTATTTGACATAACACCGGAAGTTATCCGAGAGACATATGATGTAACACAGAAAGTTCCGGACCAGCCAGCTTACGTTAAAGGTCGTCATAACAGCCGACAGAACCGCGTACGTCTTTATTAGCCAGCAAAGTCCGAAATCTTCCCTATAATCATCAAAATGCCAAGAGGAAGCAGAAGCCGAACATCTAGGATGGCCCCTCCAGCCAGGTAACATTTGATAAATTATGTTGAAACGCTGAAAATGGTTTAGGATGGTGTGTGTGCTACTTTAGCTAACTGCTAACAAGCTTAGCTAATGTAGCTAGCGTCACAGTTTACGCTTCACGTGGACTTTTTCCGGGGACATTATCTGTTTAGAGTAGCGTCAGTAATAGAAATAACATCAATCAATCAAAATGTGTTCTTTTAATACCAGGACATTGTAGATTGTTCAGAAGTCGTTGATTAAATAATGAAGGTTACAATGTGTGATCTGACTTTGCAGCCCGTTATGTGACATCACAATTAACTAAACATTTTTAGCAACATTTGCATAAAATTATAGACCAAAATGATCAGTTTATGAATACATATGTTAGACTTTATTTTTGTTAAGCCACACCTACCTCATTATATATAACAATTACAATTCTCCTCGCCTCAGTGCCTTATGGCATCTTTACTTCTAAATCCAATTCCCTTCAAATGATGTGCCATTATGTCCCAATCACTTACACATACTAACTTGTGTGTGTTTTGTAATCATGTTAGCCCCATCTAGATTCTGCGTAGTACATAAAGGCTTTGGACTCTTGATACTAAGCCATTGCTCCTTTTCCAAATTGTCCCGAGGTCCCACTTGTTCTCCGGTGACACCAAATGCCAGTCTGGCTTACAGTTTCCACACTGAACTGATCCTTTATACTTCACTCTATTCTACACTTTAAATAACATTTTTATGGTTGATGGATCTGTTCATTTTTCACATGTACATTATTTATGGCCTGTGGGTTGTCCACCATCAAACTAGCCCTGGTGAAATGCATAAGACTGAATTATTTTTAGCCTTCTAGATTGGCTTTGATTCAAACTAATTTGAAGCCAGCAGTTCCAGGCCCTGCCAGTCGTTGGGGGTGTGTGTTTGGGTCCTGTATTTGAAATTCCTCTCTCTTTACAGCCGGGCCCCACCTCCACCAATGGCCAGGGCCGCTCCCCCTCCCTCCTACGCCCCGGCCCCGGTGCACGCTCCTCCATCTGCTGTGGGTGCTCCGGCTGCCGCGCCCAGGCAGCCCGGCATGTTTGCCCAAATGGCGACCACGGCCGCTGGAGTGGCAGTGGGCTCTGCCGTAGGACACACCCTCGGCCACGCCATGACTGGAGGCTTCGGCGGAGGAAGCTCTGAGCCCGCCAAGCCCGACGTCACATACCAGGTAAACACTGTGTGACTTAGTCTGACTTAGCCTCGGGGGCCGATTAGTGTGTCCGACCAATGGGAGGGAGTTAGCAGTAACGTAATACAGGTGTGTTTGTTGGGTGGAGGGTTAGTGATCACTACCAAAAGGTTTTAACTGGTAATCCGCAGATAACTGAACCATTTACATAATCATATCCTTATCCCCTTTACCCAGGCTCAGCCATTTAGCATGTATCTTTGCATAGCAGCCTTTTAAGACATTTGGACACTTCCAACGTCTCAGTATGTTAATCTTTGCAGTATACATTTTTAATTTTTTCCTTTTAGCATTGGCAAGAATATATTATAAGTAATACTGTGTTCAATTTAAAACAAATGACAGGAAATCAAGAACTCAAAATATCATGCTTGCTCCAGATGTGCGTGTGCATATGTATGTATGTATGATGGATCCCATCGTCTGCCTCGTGTCTTTCAGGAGCCGTACCAGCAGCAGCCCCAGTCCATGTACCAGCAGCAGCCCCAGTCCATGTACCAGCAGCAGCCCCAGGAACAGCAACAGGCCTGCTCCTATGAGCTCAAACAGTTTGTCGAGTGTGCCCAAAACCAGAGCGACTTCAAGCTCTGCGAGGGCTTCAGCGAGGTGCTGAAACAGTGCAAGTCCTCTTATGGTGAGTTAAAAAAAAGCAGTGGTACAAAATGACATTACACATGGATTGCTCGCTTGTTGATGATTGGTTATATATTATCTACAATAAAATGTATCATTTTTATTCCAATGTTTTGAAAAGCTCACACACTTTCGTATTTCAGCGGATTGATCCTTTTGTTCCTCTGCAGTCGTGCTGATTCGCTAAGTCATTCGGACGTCACAGCCAAATGACTTTGCATTTGTAATTTGTTGCAATACTCAGTGTGGCCAAAAGGTGGCGTAACTATACAGGTCTTTCTGAATGTTACATAAGTATTTTCTTGTACTGTATGACATTATAAACCATTACAAATTATTAGAAAATGACATTTATTGTCTCCACAGGTCTGTCATGAGGCAAACTCCAGGAGATTGAAGAGCACACGCACAAACTATGTTGAGCCTACGTGTGGGACGAATACTAGGAGTGTTTTAACTTGTAACAGATCAATAAACATATTCTGACAACTGATCGTTAGACAGCATCATTGTGTTCATTCTCAGGATATTGCCGCAGTTTGTAATAATAGTCGTATAAATAGTGTTTATATAATTTGCTGCATGTTGATTTCAATTGTTGTCATCAGTGATTTCCATTGGCTGCAGTGCTTTTGATTTAGATGAATGAACCTGTTTCCAGCCTCTGGCTTGTCTGAGGTTTGTTTGCAACGCTTCTCGATTTCAAAATAATAAAGCACTTGAATCATCAAAAAATAAAGTGTGTGAGCTGATGCATTTCTCTAAGAAACGTTCCTATTTTTACATGCATCTTATTGAATTGGAGGCCATTGGGGCCCCGCAGCTGTCCCGTCACTCCGGGCTGAACGCTGCGTGGGGAGTGCTGCTGTGGATGTAGGACAACCCCCTCTCTCTCTCTCTCTCTATCTCTCTACCTCTCTCTCCACGTCTCATCGCCAGCGCAGCAGGGTGTCATTTCATGGAACTAGTTTTTCGTGGCGTCACGCGTTCACAGCGCGCTGCCGCGGAAGCATCCATTTTTTTTTGGCTTTGACATTAACGCGCATCCCTTTTTAGTGCGATGGCGCCGCGGTCTGACCGGAGCCCCCCGTCCGTCCCGCTTAATGTGCTCGTGAAGGAGAACCGGACCGACGGGCAGTGACCCACTCGGTGCGAGGTGGGTGTTTTATTCTCCTTTTAAACCGGCGGTTTTTTTTTTAGTTAATTAATGGAGCCCGCGAAAGGTCAAATAGTTCCCGCGTAGTGGCACGCGCTGCTCCGTTGTCCTGATAAGTCGACGGTGACATTCAGTCCTACTCTGTTATCCGTTACAACCAGCACGAGAAAATGAGCCTAAACCATGAAAATTAAAACAATGTTACGCAAGTATTTCCCGTCCTTGCTAAGAATGGCGTCCATCTGTCCCGGGGAACATTATTCATTTATTTGAAGTGTGATTTGTCACATTACACCGCAGGAAAGCCTCGTTACTAACTCACCTCTCATGATGGCTGAGCAATTCCTTTTAATCTCCCTCATACTTAGTACAGTGGGAATTAATTTCGACTGTGGATTGTGCGTTTAATGCTGTTATGGGCTCCTTACATTAAAGATTAAGGTGTTAAAACAACTTATATTTTTGCATTTCTGTTAATCTGCAAATAGCAATAGTAATCATTCATAAAATAAGACAAATATCCATAATCTCTCACATATTTTCTCAATATAAATAGGAGAGCAACAGCTTAACAGTAAATGTTTGACATTTCTGCATAACATTGGCTGACATTTTGCTCAATAAAGATCCATTTACAACACAGAGCTCCTCCCGATGTTTGCTGAGTAGTTGTAATAGTGTGTTTTGTCATTGAAGAGAACCAACCGTTACCGCTGTGAGAGGAGAGGTTGTGCAGCCTCGCTGGTGAATCTGCATCAAAGCCACCATGACCAAAGAGGAGGATGAGGCCCCCGACTGGGTGGGGGCCCAAGAGTTTTACGCCAAGTACGAGACCAAGGAGGTTCTGGGAAGGTACGCTCACAGACGAATACAAACGAACAAATGGTTTCCCAGAAGTTCCCCGAGAAGCGTTAAACGTGCTGGACCTGTCTGTCTCATTGTCATTCACCACCGCAGACGGAACGGGGGGGCGCTGCTGTTACATAACCTGCACATTGTGGGTGGGAGGAAGCGTGCGATAACTCCAGTGAGTGGTGGACAAAGGCCCTTAGTTGGACAGCAGCCCGTTAGTTTCTCTTTGCGTCTCGGCGTTTGGGTCACAAGGTCGCCAGACGGGAACAAAATGTTCAGCCGCTCGAGGGCTCTTCACTCGAGCCTCAGGGAGCGGAACAATCAAGCGGATGGAGAGGCCGTTTAAGTCCAGTTTCCCTCTAAATGGACGTCATCCATAGAAGATGACCGCGAGAAGGTAACATCAGAGTAATATAGGAGCAACATAGAAAATGTCTCCACTCAAGAGTCCAGCTGTACAGACTCGGGGGGGGGGGGGGGACGTATAACCCGACAGAGCCGTAGATGTCAATAGTTTATTGCTCCTCAGGGGAGTGAGCAGCGTGGTGCGCCGCTGCGTCGACAAGATGACGTCCTCGGAGTACGCGGTTAAGATCATCGACATCACCCCCTCGGACAAGACGACCCCGCGGGAGATCGAGGAGATCCGAGAGGCCACGGTGAAGGAGATCGACATCCTGAAGAAAGTCTGCGGACGGGACAACATCAGTGAGCTCATCCATTCATTCCCCCCGATGTGAATCTTGAGTTATAGGACTCAGAAAGCCTTTGTCTCGCTAATCTGCTACTAGAGGTCTTCTGTGATCAGGGTTGCCCTTTGACCCCTCCTATCAAGTGTCCTCTTAGTTGTGTCCATCGTCATTAAACACTGAATATACCTTAGAATGTCTCCATCTCCTCTCCAGTACAGCTCAAAGACTGCTACGAGTCCAACGCCTTCTTCTTCCTGGTTTTTGACCTGTAAGTTCCGACAACTGAGTTGTGAACGGAAATTCAAGCAAGCGGACGATTAAATGTTTATATTTATTTTTCTTTCCTGCAGGATGAAGAGAGGTGAACTTTTTGACTACCTCACAGAGAAAGTTACTCTGAGTGAGAAAGAAACCCGGTCAGTGAGAGCCGTTGCGTCGCTATTGGATCGATCCACGGAGACGAAGGCGATGAATTGTCCCTAATTCTTAAAAGACCTTTTAGAGTTGTTGCCATGTGTTGTTTTCAGGAACATCATGCGCGCTCTCCTGAAGGTGGTCCAGTTTCTCCACGGCCAGAACATTGTCCACCGGGACCTGAAGCCCGAGAACATCCTTTTAGACGACGAGATGAACATCAAACTCACCGACTTTGGCTTCGCCGTGCAAACCCAGCCGGGACAGACGCTAAAAGGTCGGTAAAAGTTTACATGAGAAAAAAAAAGGCAACAACCGGTAAACTTTATTATATTCTCTGAATGCATTTGAAGGGATGTCAAAATAACCAGTTCACATCTTGATGCTCAAATTCTAATCGGAAAGCCCAGGCAGTGTACGTTCAGCTGCAGATGCATCTGTTTCTAAAAAGGTTAGTGAGTTTAAAGCCTTCGGTGCTGTTGGAGCAGCTGCTGGTGGTCGGCTGAGTATCAGGGTCTGGTTGCACAACACGCTCCGGCCTCTCTTAGCTGCTCCCACAAAGGTTAAGTTGCAACGGGACACTCAGATGTACTCGCTGTGGTCTCGGACGCTCGGTACACTGACCTTTTAAATCAGACTCTACTGGAAGTGTGCATCCTCAAACCTTTTTTTGTTGTTGTTTAGTTGACAAATGTGCCATTATCAGCCAAGATTACCTCTAAATGAATGCCTACAGTTTTAGGGGGGTTCGCGGAGGTACTGCAGGGGGGGGGTCATGAAAATTCAGGGTCAGACATCTCACTAATGTGGGAGTATGTGTGCCATCCACAGATGCTTGAGGATTCACAGTGCCTCCTATATGTATGTTAAAATAAAAACATAAATCTGTGAAATATTTTAATAACTTATTAACTTTTCCGCTCAGTGTTGTATGCCAGATGTAGAATTCGAAATGGCAGTGGCACGGCCCCCCAGTACCTTGCACATGTTAAAAATAAAAATGAGGATGATGAACCTGTGTATTATTTGAATAGCTTAGTATTGAATACACAATAACAGGGTAGCTATGTTTATACATGGCACTAGGCCCAGTATAATATAAACACAATTTTATGCAATTTATATAGTGGGGGGTCCCTGCTCCATCTCGCCATCAGTTTGGGGGACCGTGTCCTGAAAAACATTGAAGACACCTGCTTTAGTGAATTTGCTTTCTACTTTGGAATGTAGCGCTGTTCTATAACTGAAGCCCACCAGATTATTAGTCTTATTGGTCTGCTTAACATGGGGACACCCCTACATTTTTCTTCTTCCAAAGACCAAGTGGGGAACAGTTTTTCCACCTTTGTCAATGCGGGTTCTAAAGTTCACAAGTGTGTAATGCGTGTTGTGATGCAGAGGTGTGTGGCACTCCTGGTTACCTCGCTCCTGAGATCATCGAGTGCTCCATGGACGCCGGGCACGCAGGATATGGCACCGCTGTGGACATGTAAGTAAGCAGAGACCAGAAATACAGCAGAATGTTATCAGAGTGCCACGATAGAAGCAACACAACTGTTAGAAATATTGAGAAATTGCTTATAACTGAATATACTATGCCAATTTTCAGAATAATTTGTTCTTCATGCCTGCAGATGGAGCTCGGGGGTGATCATGTACACGCTACTCGCAGGCTCTCCTCCCTTCTGGCACAGGAAACAGATGATGATGCTGCGGATGATCTTGTCTGGTAGCTACGACTTCTCGTCTCCAGAGTGGGAGGACCGCTCAGACACTGTTAAAGATTTGGTAGGCTTTTTTTCAACAGTACTTTGAGTTCTTGACTCATAATCACTTATGGCGATTATGTGAAGCTGCTACGCGGTTTTAATGACAGAAGTATGAGCGAAACCTTTTCTTCCATTTCCTCAGATCTCCCGGATGCTCGTGGTGGACCCGAAGCATCGGTACACAGCTGCAGATGTCCTCAACCACTCGTTCTTTTCTCAGTATGTGGTGAATGAAGTACGGCAGTTCACTCCATACAGGCGATTCAGGGTGAGACATGAAAGACTTAAACACCATAACAAGGTATACAATGAAGTTCATTTTCCACTTCCCATTCCATGATACCCACAACCGTAACACTAACTACAGGCAAACATCTGAGATGGCACCCATGAACACACCAGCAAGGATAAAATTGTTATGGTGAGCATTCGTCGCACCCTTAGTGCTCCAGTGAACGTGTGATGTGAATGTTCTCTCAGGTCATCTGCAAGACTGTTCTCGCCACCATGCGCATCTACTGCAACTACCGCCGCGCCAAACCAGTCACCAAGGAGGTGATCGTGAGCGACCCGTACGCCGTCAAGCCCATCCGCAAGCTCATTGACGCGTGTGCATTCAAGATCTACGGCCACTGGGTCAAGAAGGGTCAGACTCAGAACAGAGCGGCGCTCTTTGAGAACACTCCCAAGGCCATCCTGCTGTCGATGGCTGCAGAGGCCGACCAGCCGGTGCACCTGATCTGGTGATGATCCGCGGCCTACAGATCTGCTGCACATAAGACGAGAATGGTCTGGTAGTTACAGGAAAATAACTGGCAACTTTTAACCAATGACAACAGGACGTGGTTAAGTTTGGAGAGCTTAACATGCTGCATTGTTGGGATTTGTTTTATGACACAACAGTCTGAAAGATTGGAGTAACAGATTAACCGGGAAAATGGCAGTTTAAATTTTATTTGCCAATTCTCAACTGTCTTTTGACTGCAAGTGGACATTTGATGCCTGAAACATTTTCCTTTAACTATGCATAAATCGGTCTGTGGTGCTTATGAAATTGGAGTGATTTAAATTGTTTTAGTACAACAAGCCTAAGTTGAATGTTGAAAGTAGAATACAAAAGACCCATTCTTGAGACATTCACAAGTTTATTACAAAAGTCTGTAGCGCTTTGCCTCAAAGGCAGTTGGTGCTAGTCTTCGGCACAAGGCCCTGCTTTCCCTTGTGGACCTGTAGGTTGAAAAATGACAAAAGCATTAAAGTTTGAAATGGATTTGGATAGGTCAATCATGTTCTAACCAGGAATAGTGAGTTGGCTACGTTTTCCACATGAGTCGGAAGAGCTGCAGAATTTAGAAAAAATAAAAGCTTTAAAAAACTAGTGCAGCGCCTTTATTTTCCAAATGTATTGTGTACTCCTTCCTGCATAATCGGATGAGCCGAAGGAAGCACTCACCCAGTCATTTAGCAGAAAAGAGACTAGGCTTTTGCATGGTGTCTGACTGTATCCACCACAGACCAGCTGGAACAGAATTCGTCCATGCCTCAGTGGCAATTTACCACCACCGGGAATACTAATTGTGCTGCATTTCAGGGTAGCGTGTGTGTGAGCAAACCTACCTATGCTGGGACTTTCAGTTGTACCAATTGTGCTCTACTGCACTTTTCCATTAATCCATTTGCTGACGACTTCTGTAACAAAAGCAAAAAAATGTATAATCGGGGTACGAGATCAACTTGACTTGCGTAATGTTTTTACAAAGAAACTATTTAGTAAAAAAATGTAAATTACTAATCAATAATTGCATCCGTATAAAACCACAAATATTAGATATGTAATTCTGTATTCACTATGACATAAGAATAAGGCACATCATTTGCACTTATTCTGTTGAGTCAGTGTGTGAAAACAATAATTTGGCATAGTGTCTGACTGCATTTACCATTTCAAGAGTAAACCAGAATTCGGCCATGCTTTCAAATATATTTGATCGGGATGCGAGTTACCTCTCAGTGCTTCGCCTCATACGGATCAACAATCCCATTTTCAGACGCGGCATCTGTAGAGACCAGTAACAGAAGGTTGTTTAATTCTGAGAGATTGACACATTAACTAAGTGCTTGTTTTTCCATAATGGTGAGATGATCTCTTCACCTTTGCCACATGGTGCGTTTCAGGCCGAGAACTCTTCCATGACGAGTCACATCAGGCCTTCTCCTCCAATGTACCCTGTAATCATACCACGAATTGTTATCACCCAGAGCATAACAGTAAGTTGAGTACAAACACATAGTAACGTAATTTTAAAAAAAAATCTTTGGGTCCATCTTTTGGAAATACAACTTAGAATTTACTCGTTAAATGCAAACAATTGTATAGCTATTTTCGTCGCGTTACAGCGATATATGTGGATTAATATCTGACTATTTCCAGGTGCGACGTGACTAAGTTAGCTCACCACGTGCTTTCCGCGTCCATATCCCAAAACTTTAACCAAATGCATTCAGCTTGAATAGAGCTAACGTTAAATAAGATTACCTTTAAGGTTGTAATGTTCCATTTAAAGCCTGGTTCCGTTTTACAGCAAACATGAACAATAGAAGAGACACATTTTGTCTGTGTGTGAGTCTGCTTGCCGCTCACAACGTGGTACAAGCTGAGAGCGCTTCCGCTAAGTACCGGAAGTAAAGTACCACGTCCTGGTTCTCTTCTTCTATGGTGGTTAATGGCGGTTGGCATTCTGAATGTTGTTTGGCCGCCCCCTACTGGATGTAAACGGGACACCTGCTGACTAACAACAATAACTTAACAATCCAAATAACTTCTTTACGTTATACGTGCATGCTAGTTGATTGTCTCCTAGTCCAATACGAGGTTTCATATCAATAACTTTGATAACAATTCCCAGCTTTGGATGCAATGTCAAAATGAACATGCGTCTCCTCCTCCAGTTTATTGCACCTAGTTCAAAAATCTTATTTAGCAAACATTTGCATTTCAGTATGATTATTTTAGAATTGGGTTGTACTATATTTCCCGGATGGTCCACGGGATGTACTACATTGCTGCTTGGTTGTGACACTTATCTGAATAAAATCAGTTGGTTATATTTTCTTTGAACGGGGAACAAAGAAATAATAACTAACCTTGCATTGTCCGAGGTTATGCAGTTAGTATTATTTTCTTAGCGTCTTCTTGTGTATATATATAAAAATTAACATCCACATCAAATTATTTTTTTTAATTATTTTAAGTATTTTTTATTTGTTCATATGGGCTTCAGAGACTGCATGGGGACTTGAACCTAATTATTAGAATGTATCTTAAAGTGAACATTTAGCTTTAGCCGGTACTTTAGCGTCGCTGTCGTCACGTAACCCTGCCAACCAGCTGGTCTCGGGCAAGTGGGCGGTACCTCACCGGCGTCCCTCTCATTGGTCCATCATTCAGCAGCTCTCTTCCTCATCATTGAAGCTCCACAGCGAAGCTGCCCTCAGTGCCTTACCAACGCCGCTCTTACCAGAACTTCACTCCCCCCCACGCCGGAATAAATTAGCGTTGTGTGACAACTTGAGTAGTTTACAAACAGTTGAAGCAGCGGTTTGTTGGCAAAGTGCTTCTATCAAGCAAAGTGCAGCGCGCCGGACAGGTAACGTCAACCCGCCATCCTCTCCGAGACATTTAACGGTCATTTGTGACGTAAAACCGTGACGTTGAAGTACTTGCGTTACGTTCGACGTTAAAACATAAGGAAAACCGGCCGCTATATTGACCGACTTTAATTGTCATGACGTGTTTTTTTTCTTCTTCTTTTGTTTGCTATCGCCTGCGCAGTTGCTCCGTAGTGTGTCTCAGGGTGACGCAATCCGTGCAGAGGATGTCCACGAGAGCCTCTCGTTCGTTTAGGCTGGCGGCTTTATGTAATGATTTTTTCACCAAACCGGGTCACGTGTTTAATTTGAGATCCATCGATGCAGAAATGCTTGCACATATTTCAGTCAATGAATGTGTTTGCTGGACAGAAGAAAAAAAACTGCACACATGTGGCTGCTTTGGGAAACCACTGACTGCATTTATCCAACCAATTTATTATCTTATTATTACCTTATCTTATTATTACCCAATATGTACCCTTGGATAACTTCCTAATATAGCCGGATGTTATTGCAATGAAGTTAGGAATCATCTTTCTTTTTTAAAGCTGCTTTTTTATTTGAGTTTTTTTTTTTATGTGCCTTTTTCTTTTTCCAGCATGATGGCAACTCTTTCACAGACAAAGGAACTATTCCGCAGAGCAGACGCGGTCTGTTTCGATGTGGACAGCACAATCATCAAAGAAGAAGGCATAGATGAACTTGCCAAATTCTGCGGTGTGGGGGATGCAGTCACTGAAATGTATGCGTATTAATGTTATCAACAATCAAAGTTGACGTGCACTGGAAAGTACACCACTCATTTTAAACCTCATCTGTGGATTTTTTTTAAACATTATTGCAAATGTGTTTCACAATTCAGGACTCGAAAAGCTATGGGCGGCTCGGTGACGTTTAAGACGGCCTTGAATGAGCGCCTTTCCATCATCCGGTGTTCCAGGGAACAAGTGAACAAACTGATCACGGATCACCCACCTCAGCTGACTCCAGGTATCAGGTGAGTGTGTGAAGCAGCCGAATAACTGTGAATCCTTGAGTTACACGCAATGCAGAAATAGATGTCTATGTGCATTGAGTCCAGTGGCTTTAAGGCCGCAGTAGTTCATGATGAGTCTGGCTTATGTACAACAGTTGGTCCTAATAAGAGTTTGCTAATGCCTACTAACTATCCCAAAAATGTTAACGTTGATACACGGACCGTTCCTTTCCATCCAGGGAGCTCGTGGAGCGCCTGCACCAGCGGAACATCAAGGTGTTCCTCATCTCGGGCGGTTTCCGCTGCATCGTTGAGCACGTGGCCACGCAGCTCGACATTCCTCTGCACCATGTTTACGCCAACCGTCTGAAGTTTTACTTCAACGGTAAGGCCTTGAGAGGACTTTCTAATGTTATGACGGCGGAATGTTGTGTGTCTGCATTGAAGAACAAGTGTTAGGAGAAAAGGCCCGAGGCGGCTCGACTCCTTTTGAGCCGATACTTTGCATATCGTCTCTAACGTGAATGAAATAGTCCTTAAGGTGTCGCAACGCTCTCGTTGACTTGTTGCAGAGGACTCGGTTTACATTCCTAATGTGAATTGCGTGTTATCAAGGAGAGTATGCAGGGTTTGATGAGAGCCAACCCACAGCGGAGACCGGCGGAAAAGGAAAAGTCATCAATATGTTAAAGGAACAACACGGCTTCAAGAACGTGGTGATGGTCGGAGACGGAGCGACCGATCTAGAGGCGTACCCTCCGGCTGTAAGTGTTCACGCAGTGCGTTTGCTCATTAAAACACTCCGTCTCAGGAGCCGGAGTGTGATGTGTTCTCTCTTGTATCCTCAGAGTGCTTTCATCGGATTCGGTGGGAATGTCGTCAGGCAGCAGGTGAAGGAGAAGTCTTTGTGGTACGTCACAAGTTTTGGGGAATTGCTAAAGGAACTGGAAAATATTTAAAAGAGTACAGTCCCCCATTTTTAACATTTTTTTGTCTATGGTTGTGCCTATGATAGTTTTGATTCCTTCACGTTCTCCCTCTCTTAAATTTTTTTTTCAATATAATGAAAAATGTTTACGTTAGACAAATCTTACCTCCTTGACAATGTTGCTCTATTGACTTTTATACTAAAAGATACTAAAATAACAGTGTTATGAATGTTTAAAAGAGCCTTTTAATGTTTTAGTTTTTAGCTAAGCTAATAAAACAGATGCATATTATCATGCAATGAGCAATAGAAATGTTTGATTTCTATATGTCTACTAGACATGTCAATGACTGTAAGGAACATATACATTAAACACTACACGGGAACGCAAGGATGTTGTTTCAACTGCTTTAATCTTTGTTGTTCTTGTTCTTCCCTCTGCACTGTTCCCTATAACCCAATGAACAAACAGACGCGATAAACATGCTTCCTTTTACAGTATAATCTGATATTACAATGTGCAGCAGCATGGCTGCCCACACGGTGCCAAACTCACTCAGCCCCTTAGGGACAATTTCATCATACGTGATCGTTATGACCCCATTCGATCCGTCTCCAAAACTACGCATGCTGTCTTCACACAAAAAACAGGGTAGGAGTCGTTGTTACAAACAAAGCACCAGGAAACTGCAACATTATGACGGGGAACTCGGGGGAAAAGCAATTGAAAGGAGTCATTTTCCAAAACGTGTGATTTACAATAGTCCTCAGATACAATATTATGAGGTTCACATTTTACACAATATGTTACTTTGAATCGTCCTCATCTTTATTAGGAACGGAAATCTGAATATACAGAGGCCTTCTCTCCCCTCAGTAACGGCACTGGCTTGCGTCAAAGTGCCAGCACGCCTAATAAATAAACCGCTCCTGCATCGCGCAGGGAGCTCACGCAGCACTACTCCTCCTATCAGTCCTCACACAGCTGCTCATCTTTAAGTAACTTTGGTTGTCTCTTACTTAACATAGAGACAGAGCTCTCGTCATCGACCAGGTTTAACTAATGTGGCACCACACGTTGGATGTGACAACCACCGGGAGGATTTAATCGGCTGGATTTACTCCCCCTGCTCCAGAACTCAATAACGGATGAAGAAAGGATGCATCGCCATGGCTTTTTCAAGTCTTTTTGACTATTGGGTTTGCTGATACGTGATAGGCTCAGCTGTCTCCTCTGTCCCGGGGACATCTTGAAGTGATGACACAAGGGCGAGGGAAGGGATGTTGTTGGGCAGCACTGACGGGAGGTTAGAAACAATAAAAGCGATGCTCTGGGTGGATGGATGTAACATTCAAAAAGGGAGCCACTTGATGGCCGCTCTCATTTCACTTCAGAGGGGAAGCCTTCGTCGGGATCATGATCCTGGAATCCATATGTTGAATGAGAGGAACTGGGGAGAGGTGGAAAGATTAAGTGTGTCCTCACAGTTTAAAGTCTTTAAAAAAAAAAAAACATTGATCAGGTTGTACAAGTTGCACAAAGCCCTAGTGGATTGCAGTCACGCGACCCAGTTTTCCCCTCCGCCTTTTTGTTTAGTCAGGACGGTTTTTTTATGCTCACCCGTGTAATACACCACCTCGTCCCAGCCCTCCTGCTGCCAGGCTCCATTCCGGGTGTCTTCTCTGGACTGGAGGTCTTTGTAAGCTGCAACGACAAAGCACACGTTATTGCACCGCTCACAGTAAAAGAGACTCGCTGCCTACGACCGGATTAAAGAATGGAAGTTTTGGGGAGGATTGGAGCAAACCAGCGCAGATTTACAATTTGTCGAGGAGCATTCTCAGCATTCACTTGGAAATGTTTAGTATACTTTCAGCTCTGTTTTGGTTTCAGGGAAAAAACACGCAGCTAGTCTCTAACTTTATCTGCTGCTTTCTCCCAGATAATAATATCCTTCTGCTGGAGCTGGAAACAGTTTGAGTGGACTGAACCAAAACTGAACCGTGGGAAAGAAAATAAAAAGGAGGCTTACAGTGTTAAAATGATCTGATCTGCTGGAAAGAACTGCAGAGTTGTGCCGTACCGATTAATGTTGGTTCTTTACAACTGACCCAGTTGAAATTACACAGTAATCAGTCCTCTGATCCAACGTTGGTTTAAAAATATCAATTACTGCAGCTGTAAGTTTGCGTATATATTCAATGTGACAACTACATTTGCTTTTTTTTGTCCAGTCCACAGGCTGCTTTGCAAGTGATCCAAAGCGCTGACGACTGAGTTTCTGTGAAAGCACTTTGCACGTTGATCCGCTACTCAGTCAGGAAGTCATTTCCCATGGAGCGGTTATCTGAACGCACCCCAGAGGTGATGGACCATGTAGAGGTTGCCGATCTGTGAGAAAAAGCCTCCCACCGCTTCGCTGTTGTGCTGGCGGAATCTGATGGCTCTGGCCCTGCAGACGAGAACAACTTTAGTCACAAAGCGAGTCCAAGACCAACCTAAAAGCTTGTGCTCAACGTGGCCCGACGAGACCGGGCCGGCACACACAACGTACTTGACAAGTCTTCCTACGAGGATTAATGAATCTTCTTTAAATTGATTCTGGACTGTTCTTCAATTGAGGTTTTGTTAGCGTAAAGTCGTATTGGATGCGACGCCACTATGTGCCGTACGCACCTTAACTTAAGTCCTTGTGAAAAGGAAAAAGGTTTCACGTCCAAGAAACTCATTCACTCATTCTAATCCTAATCACTGTCTGGATATAAAGCTTTAGGTCTTTACGTTGCTGCTAATCTAAGAAGATGTTTTATCTTTTAGTTACACAAATTAGATTTGCTGGCATGAACTACATGCGTACAGAGGTCTGTACAAATGTTAGCTAGTTAAAGTGGGCATAAAAGCAAACGGACAATAGTAGCTTTAAGAAAAAAATGATCTTGAATGATCTTGTGCTAGCAGGTGTTTCTCTCCTTTAATAATATACATCATGTCTGCTTAAATAGGGAAATGTAAACAGTCTGATTTTCAAGTTATATTGACGCATAAAATCATGCAGGAGACTTGAATTAAATACAGAGTCAGAGTCGACAGGGTGACGACATTTGGGTTACACTGGAGGTTTATCGGTTAAAGCCGGCATCCCTGAAAAGGGTTCAAAACAAGTTACAAAATTTGATCCGGTGGGACGAGCGAAGACAAAAACAAAATTCCCCTACAAGGCAATCAGAGGTTTAAAAATCAGAACACTGAGGCGTGTGCAGAAAGCTCTCGTCTTCATTCACATCATTTGCAATCAACCGCATGACGCAACATGATAAGTGTTGACCCGTTGGCTCTTTCAGCTACCCCCCCCCCCGCCCAAAAAAACAAAAAAAGGATCCTTATGATGAATCATTATCAACACACTTTTGCGGTGCGCCTAACATCCCACTTGTACTTAAATCTTGGCTGGAGAGCAAGACAGTTTAGCTTCAAAATAGCGCGTCTCTGTGGAATCGCTCCCGTTAATGACAGCGCGGGGAGGAAGGTTTCATGTAGTGCAGCTCTCCTGTAACTACAGCTGAGTGAAAAGAATGAAGACAGGCGGCCTTACCAGTAATTACCCCACTCGATCATGGTTCCTGGCTGGAAGAAAGAAAACAGTGTTCTTTTAGTACAATTCATGAGCATTCCAGAGCCACAGATTTGGTAACACACCTTCTTTCCAACACACTAACCTTAAATAGATGGTAAGCACGTAATACAGGTATTTTGTCCCTGTGATGATAAGCTGTAATAACAACATCCCTCTTAGGGGCTGTCTAACGTTAAAACAACACACGCTCTGCTGCCTTTAAGCTGTAATCCTCTGCGGGGGTGAGAGATAATATCTTGCATTCACCACACGTCACGGGAGCGCTGATCTACAGACAGCATTTCTTGTCAGATCACGAAGCGAGATTAAATCCCAGGGCGTGCGTCGAGCATTACGAGGGCACTGAGGCTGTTTTCAAGGAAACCGTTGAGCCGCTGGATGGCTCATTTTCTACAGTGTACAGCGCACGTCGATGAAAAGCCTCCATGGAAGCTAAAAGAAAAGCACCGCGTCGGTGGCGGTAGTCGCACGGGGGCGCAGGTCATCTAGAAGCCTGAGAGGCAAAGCATGTAAAGACTGTGATTCTGCAGCGCTCTTCTGCTGACCTGCACTCCTTCGCAGGGAGGTTTCTGGACTATTTCTGATCTTTTACTTTTGCAACGTGGATGTTGTTATAAACCGGTTCTGATTGCGATTCGGGGAGATCATGAGTTTGAATGAATCAGCATGGCAGAGGTGAAAGAGTCTCCTTCGACAGCAGAGCGTTACCTACCCTGAGCTGGTAGGACCTGAGCTCGTAGATGTTGGGCCCCTCTCGGGGAACCGGCTCGTTCCAGAAGCTGAACTCCAGCAGGAGCTGGTTTCTGCGAGACATCAGCATCTTCCCACGCTCCTTCCTGTAGGCTGTGAACTCCTGCCAATGGACGGGCACCAATCAACGGGCTTTACTTCGACTGGTGGCTGCAGTATCTAAAGATGTATCTGAAGGGGCCTTTACCTGGTTCTGCTTGAGCTTGTTCATCACCTCCGTTAGAGCCGGGTACCCACCCCTGTAGCGCCACAGATGGACTTGGGAAAGGGACACACATGGATCACAGATGCATCACACCAACTACAGGAAAGGTCAACCAATTCAAAGCAGCATCATTAAGTAATGATAAAAAAAGGTGTTCTTCCAACCCTAGAACACATGACCTTTGACATAAATCTTCTCCTTGTGAGAGTGTTACATTTGTACACAGCAGGAGATTCCTAAAGTCCATAAGTCTTTGTCAAAAAATCCTATTTTTACAATGGATTTTAAAAAGTGAATATGCGGCATCCTGATAATTTAAGACAGAATAAATCAGCGTTAGGTTGTATAAAGCAATGTCACAGTATTGTTTTTCATGGACATGTGACTTAATATGAATCTGTTGGAATGCTTAAACGAGGTATATATCGTTCTATAGCTGCGTGACATGCAGTATAACGTGAATGCTGATTTGCACACTGTGCAGACATCAGGACTGTCACACTGAAGAAGTTTTGACGTTAGCGTTCCTACCAGCTTGGTCTTGTTCTCCATACCAGGTGTTCCAGGTGCCCACCAGCTCACAGGGGTAGTACTTATCAGCGTGGATGGAGGGCAAAACCTCCTCACTGTGAAAAATGTGAAACATCAGCCACAAATATAGTTTGACCACCAGTTTAAGTCTCCTGAAGGCAAAAATCCACTAGTAAGCAACAACATTTAGTGCGTGTGTGTGTTCATGTTCATGAGCGCATTCACACGCGCCTCCTGTCTAAAGTTGCAATTCCAAAATGATTCTCCAACTATATGTAGGAAAACTCTTCTTAGTCGTCTTGGGTATGAGCAGGATGGTCCTTGAAGGACTGAAGTCCGACCAGCTGGTCAGTAACCTCACAGGAATAGATCGCTCCCATTTATTTTTAAAACAGAGTACTAGGTAGTCTCGGTCTACGACTGTTGGCACTACTTATACACAAGTACAAGCTGACAGCCGCATGCGGCTCAGACGACAATATGAAGTTACACTCACCAGAGCTTGTTGTAGGCATCCAGGCACTCTGGCTTGACATTATGGACTGAAAAGAAAAGGTCACACTTAAGCACAGTTTCATCATTCCAGGATAAATGTTTTTAAAATACTGATAAATGTTTCTGTTAAAGTACAAAAACGGTAAAGAGAACTCACACTGAATTTTGTACAGATTACTCTCCTCGTTTTTGGTTAGTAGGGTGGCGTGTGCATCTTTCCTGGGATCGACTTTCCTCACAAACAGTGACTTAAACCAGCTGTCCTTCCCGCTTCTGCTGACGGAGGTGGTGAATCCTCTGCAGACACACATGAGTTATGGTCAACAACAAACGAATGGATGACTCTACAGGCTTCCTAATATCTTATTGGTATATCGGATTAGATGTTAGATTTATTATCTTCATAAGAGCGAAAATGATAAATTGACAGAAAATGAAAACAAGCAGGAGCCGTTGTTTAAGTCAATTGTAATATTGTCCTCCGATTGTAGGGAGGCCAATATTGCATATATTTGATACGTTTATTCAGAAGTTGCTTTGCAGATTAAAAATACAGTCAACAAATACGAGTTTATTATTACAGGTTAAGAAAATATATTTTCACCACTCTACAAATGATCTCACAGTGCCGTACAGATCAATGCAACAACAACTCTGATCCAACTGTCACGCTGACATACGTCATTCGTACATTACATATTTATATACACGCACACACATACATGCACACATACAGAGTATGGTATACATCATGCCTCCTGCTTGTAGTGCTTATACACCTTGATGTCTCTATTGTACTATCTGAATAGTACATATAATACTGAATACTACTAACAGTACACTAACGATTATGAAGTAGACGATGACAATTATACACAATGACAAAGACAAACATCATGATCAGAACAACATGAAGTAACAGTCACCGGATTGACCTTGAAGCGTTCGACGTGCTCAATAAGAAAAGATGACAGAAACTTGTGTTATTTCTCCTCCACCAGCAAACACGCGCAGCTTAAATCTCAAATCTGCGGGTAATAAAGCGTTTATAACGCAGCGAGGTCTCGTGCAGGAGGAAGCTGAAGGCCGCGCACGGCAGGCTAGCAGGTAGCGGGCTAACTTAACGTTAGCTCACGCAGGACAGACACACGCACCCACACACGCAAACACCCCGCAGGGTGACACGAGGGCCCGCCGCGGGGAGGTGCGCCGTCCCCTACCTGCTCCACACGACGAGGCGTCCGGCCGGCCGGGCCCCGCTGCTCGCAGCCCGTCCCAGGCCACCGCTCACCCTGTGAAGGACTCTGGTCGCCATCTTCGACGGTTGAGAGAAGCGCCGCGCACCGCTGTTACCGTGGGTGGCCGCCGGGGGGCGCTGCCGCACACGTGATCAGTGCCGTGTAATTGACTATTCCATGTGACTGTTAAAGGTTGGAGCTGGAGGTGAGTTAAACTATTTTTTGTTGCTGCAGCTAATGGTCATCTCATCTTTCGTTATGGATCTTATTTTTTCCATTAACCAATTTAATATCACAATGCGTGTTTCTTTCGACTAATAGTACAACATTACACACACACTAAAATGGTTAGAAATGTTTACAAATAAAAGGTAAATGTCAATTTCAAAACCAGTGTAGATTATAGTGCCTGAGGAAATTTTGAACCAAGACACATCGGCATAAAGCATCAGAGGACTTTACTGGGAGCCTACTTCGTTAAAAGTGTAGCACCTGCACTTAAAGATATCGCTTTCATTGCAATGGAGATAAAGGAAACTATAACTGTAACATTATTGAGGATAAAGTACAGCCTCACCCAATTGCTCAAATACAGTATTTTGAATTCAATGCTGCAAAACACTGCAATATGAATAAAAAAATGATAACAACAATCCTAACACAGCCTCTGGTGTGAATGACATCCAACATAAAGCTGTTTGTAAAGGTGATCAGGAATTGCAAACCTCTGAGAAATTAGTATCAAAGTTATCCTTTGGAACTATGCATGCAGCGTGGGGCCCATCGTGGATGAATACTTGCCAAAACATACACAGGTTGAACAGCTGAGGGCGCTAGAATTTAATCTTCAGCACTTGGAACAGCAATTTGAATAAACCACCAAGACAAGCGTCCATTTACTTACGGATTATAGACACCATCAGACAAGCACTTCAGAACTTGCCGTGGAAAATGGAAAAATGGAGACCTTATCAGGTTGCAAAAGAGGAACATAATTTATCTATGACGGGGTCGCTATGAAGCTAAAGGGGAGCATGTTGTAAAAGCCTACTTGGCTTCAGAAGAAATACTTATCAATGGAATTCAGAAACTATGGAGGGATTTGTCTTAAGTTCAAAGACATGAATCAAAAGGGAGTGAAACATTTTTGAAAAAGAAACCGGCAAAAAAGGAAAATGTCTGGGAATTCAAAGTATGATTTTATCCACTTAAATGTACCCTTTAAGTTTGAAAATGTATCCAGCTGTCAATTTTACTCCAACATGTTTCATTAATCCAACCAACATCCAACATTTTAATATGTCAAACCTGTTTTATATGATTGTATTTTTATTGAAAGGGCCCACAATCATGATCGTCATTATTGTTCAATAGTACTAATAGGCTACCCATTGTAAATTAGTCACGTTCAGTTGCTATAATGTCAGTATTAATCTGAATGGCCTGATTTTTATGTCAAATAAACTTAGTTTGAGGTGGAATACTTTTAAAAAGGGAATGTTTTATTAATGGAAGAAGTGAAATCATCTTTTTACAAAGTTCTCCAGCACATACGGTGCCTCCTTACCGCCTTGGAGATTATTTTGTTGACATGCAAACACAGTTACTGTTTTCATTTCATTCTTCAGAATTTTTGAACTTGTTGGACTTCTTGTTTGTGTTGGCTTGAAAGTGAGGCATGACATCATTCTTTATCGAGGACATAGTGGTTTGATAAAATAATCCCGACAGTCCAGAAAATGTACAACTTTTTACAGATGCAGAAGAATGTTTTGAATATAAAATAATTGTCTATCTTCACTCTATTTCGGGGGCAACTGGCCGTTGCACTGGAAATAAAAGTGATTTATTCATCAAGCCTTTGGACTTTGGACTGCACTGTCAAACAACCTGCCTTGAAGATGGGAAGAAATTAAAATGATATTTTATACTTCTATTAATCTTGTATTATTCCTTGTGCTTCAATTTTGTGTTTTTTTCTCTCGCGGTTTTGGTCTTTGCTAAGTCTGCCATTGAACAGCTGCAGCATTTATCTCTTTGGTTCACATCCTTCCTTTCTGTGGCACAACATCGCGCTGGTGCTGCTCTGGCAAATCCCTGCATTTCTAAAATCCCTTACAACATACTCGGAATTTGCTCGGACACCATGGGATTCTTAAACGCAGGGCTTCAAGAACAACAGCTGTACAAACAGCTCGTATGAATCCCCCCACTAAAGCACTAGAAGTTTAGAAAAAGAACTCGTTTGAAACCAGATAGCTGAACCACTCACTCCGGCCCTGTGAGCAGCGCGCCAAATAATCTAACCGGCTGTCTGCGTCCCTCCTCTTAATTTCTCTGGCTTTATTAAGGTCATGCGTTCTGTGGAAAGCTGTCCAAGAAATGGCATGTAGGACGTGAGAGAATGTTTAAATTGTGTTTGTCTTGTCCTGGCACAGCAGTGAGTGAAGGCAGCAGCACTTCTGCACACAGTGGCACTAGAACATTACTCATGTTCGATGTGAGCTGATTAACATCCTGGGATATGTCTGTGTTTTCGCTTAAAAGATGAGAAAAAGAATCGATGCCAAGAATTACCAGTGTTCCTAATCCTCACAGTCCTCTGGAGTAACGTTTCAATTGCAGACGAACCGGTGGGAGTCAAAACAACGTTGTGTATCTTGAAAGTCTGTGATTTTTGGGCATCACTTATAAATGGAGATCAAACACTGATGGATGAAGACAATGTGGTTCATCCATCATGTGTTTCTTGGCCTCCCTCGACTATTTTCGACATTTACTAAAAGACAGATTCTATTTTTTACCCAAAGCATGATTATATTATTTATTAAGGCAGAGTTGATTTAACATTTAGTTTAAGCTCACCAGGGTGAGTCTAACACCAAGTAAAACAATGTGAAACAATCAGGTTAAGTGCTTGAGTTGGCAAATACGTTTTTATAATGTGACATTTCTCTAGCAATGTAATGTTGCTGCTGTTTAGTTTTGTATAGGAAACACAAGGTGAAACCTTTGTGTTGGACGGTCAAGTCTCTTCTGAATGGTTTAGAGCAGGGGTCTCAAACTCGGGCCAGACTAGCGTCCGAACGGCATGGTCGACAATAACACAACTTAACACTCACTTTCAAAAGCAGTCATTGAACCCCACCCTGGGGGATCGGTCCGAATGAGACTACAACACTAGTCCTTTAACTCAGCGGGGGAGACCTAAGGTCATGTGACCGTGGAATTCCTTTATAGCCAAACGTGAAGTTACGTGAATCGAAGCTGCGTAGTAATGGACGGAGACGCTCGTCGGTGACGTCAGATGCTTCATGTGTTGTTAGTGTGAGTCGTAAAGGAAAACTTTATTAAACGAGCGATGCTAACGGTTAGTCACATGATCACCTGCGCGAAAGAGGGCAGGAAACTGAATTTCACCCTCCTGCTCTCTGCACCTCGGCCGACACACACGACCCGCCCCCCATGTCAGTCACATGCATGCCACGTTCACTGGACAAGCACACAGTAGGAAACCAGAACATCATAACATGTCCCACACAGCAGCTGACAGTGGGGGTACAGTATAAAACTTGCGGGCCGCACAAACATTACACTTTCATATTAAGGATGGGGCCACAAAATATCGTCCCGAGGGCGGCAATTGGCCCGCGGGCCGCGAGTTTGAGACCCCTGGTTTAGAGCTTGCTAATACATATATAGTATATATATTTATATATCTTTTTTTATTTTGTTTTAGATAATCCCTCCAGCCTTTGTGAATAGACAGAATGGGCTCTGGGGAAATGCCGAAATCCTGTGTGCTTACTGTGGTATTTTATGACGTCGGACTCTTTTGTTGTCTGTCTTTGGTTTATTCTTTCGTCCATCTGCGGCGTTCTCAATGCCGCGGTACTTATATGAGGTCAGAGGTGTGAATAAAAAATGAGGTGTTCATCGCTCTTGGCCAAAAAATATGATTTATAAGGAGGCGGGAACAACCTTCATCAGTCTTTTTTAACCTATGAGAGGTTTGTCTGGAAGCAATCAAGTAGTCACATCATCATCGGTGCGTTTCTCATTCATCACAGACACAAGGTCGCTGCACAGCAGTATTTTATAAAAACAACAGAAAAACAGAACAGAAAAAAAAGGCCATTGATCTGCAGCCTTATCTGCGGCCAGCGGGGGCTGCATCCTATTATTTTTATTACTACAATGACCTGATATCCCCATCTAGTTCTATAAGAACACATATCCTATCTGGTGAAAATATTGGGTATGAACGTGGACGTTTCATTATGTGCTTCATCCACTTCCAACATATTGTGTGATGGACAATTTCCTACTCATTTGCATTGTTTTACTTGGCTCTATTCGGGATTAAACCTGGTCAGAGAAACCATAGATGAGTACAAAGATAAATAACATTTATTGGGTTGTCAAGTTTTCTTTTTGAATAATTAATACAGGCCAATATTTTGAAAAAAAACTAAACTTTGTCCACAATCTCTGCTGTTATGAATATTCTGCAGTTCAGCTGGAACCAAAATGAAGATCTCATTGGGTTAACTAAACCAGAAATGACACATCTCCGTGCATGTTTTGTACAGTCAAGAGACAATGCAGTTATTACAACATGAACATAGGAAATAGTGGAACAGATCAATGTGCCTGGAAATAAAACACATATCCTGAGAGGTCGGAAAGAGTGGGAGATTAGGGTAAACATTGATGGCAGCACACTCTATTAATATGCAACTCAGCTTGACACGGCAAATAGTGTAATTTAGCAAAATGGTGAGCAACATTCCCCCTGAAGTCTAAAAAAGCATTACCATGTATGGTTGAAGTTTGATTTCTCAGTCGATGGTGCAGAAGTCTGTCCTCAGAAAATAATCTTGTACTGTTAACTGAGACACTGAAATGTTGAAATGTTTTTTTCCATGACCTTCCATCATGTCATTGCCCGCATGTGTTACAGTTTAATTATTTTTATGTGGTGAAGGTTTTCATTTAAATAACTGTGTTATTGTTGTGGAAACCTACTTTTATCTTTGATATTTACGATGCTGTTAAGACTATAATACAAATATGTTCGGTCGGAAAGGTCATTTTGACTCTGAAAAATGCTTCAATAAAAACGGCTTAAGTTA